GTCAGATATTTTTGACTTGTTGTATTCTATTTTAGAAGAATGCATAATTTGTTTTGCTGTTCAATCATAATGCGTACATAGGAATATTACTTGTTGCCTAAAAAATATATTTATTTTGTTCTCAATATTCAGTGTTTGTGTATATTTATTTCTTATAATGTATGTTTGGTATCACGTCATTATGAATCGCAAAAAAATATTAATACTACCAGTTGTAATAAAATATAAATTCAATTAATAATTCAAGTCTCTCCGATCTCCGCCTATGACTCCATATAAAATCGTCTAATGGTAAGGTTTTTTCATCGCATTTCCCCCTTTCGTCCCTAGCAATCTTTGGCTGGTCGATCAATAAATGGTATGAGTGGGAGCTCGGTTAGTCAGAGTAGTACAACACGCGGATGACGCAACTATCGGTATGAACGGAGGTCAACCGAACATAATTTTACTAAGATTTTTTAAACGGATTGCGGAATTAAAGGTGAATAGTAAATACATTCAATACAACGTATACATATCCGGAATTAAAAAGAGTTCCTGGTGTAGTTGCTCCAGCGAGAGATATGAATGAGGTTTTAACGTACGAGTTCGAAACACGCTAGCGAAAAAAAGAGAAAAACTGCTCCAATTTTAAGAATCGCTGCAAGTAATCTATACATCCATCTGTATTTTGTCAAGGTAGATGATACCACATTATAGTTCAGACATTTTATTTGCTATTTTTTCTGTTTGCGATAGTAATGAATAAGTTGTCATGTAATAGTTCCTGGACACAACACTGAAGTTTAAACTGTAATACTTCAAAAGATATATAGACATTTGTTTGAACAAATTATAGTTTTTTGACGACATATTTCAGACCTTAAAACAGTTGAAAAAGGCTGACACCAAGGCTTATAATATTACATTATAATACTAAAACCAAGTTGGAAAAATAAATTATTGATCAGTCATTATAAAAATATAATATTCTCTTTTCCTCTTATGTATGTTATATGTCTTTTCAGTTCACCATGTTGAGGTGAATTTTAATTTTTTTAATACATTGTTTCTCTTTTCTTCTTCTAGTAAATTCCTCGGTATTAAATTGCACATTTGTAGACTTCTCTTCAGAAGGCAACTTTGTTTTTTTGCGGTTCTGACTGTGTTGTCTCTAAAACCTTTATTCGTTCTTCTATGATAGTTTTGGATATCGCGATTCTGTTTAAGTTCCATATTAATCTTTTTGACTTTATAGTGAATTTTTTGTATTCTTTTGATCTGCTAAGGAATTTTTAATTTGTTTATGGTTAGCAGATTTGTTGTTTTGTATGATATGAAATATCGAAAATGTGGTATTGTGTAACAAGTATCTAGTTTTTGTGTTCACCTGATAATACTTTTTTTCACGAAGTTGTGCTTCAGTTGTTTTTGGACCAGCCCCATAAACCATCCCTTTGAGTTCTCCCCAATACCAGAAATCCATCGGATTGAGGTCAGGAGATCTTGCTGGTCATTTTCGAGGATCAGGAGCATTTTGACCGATCCAGCGATTTGGATAATGTTCATTCAAGTACTGAATGTCGCCTCTAAAAATCTGTGGTGGTGCCCCGTCATGAAGAAACCACAAATTCTGTCTCCGTTGTAATGGCATGTTGTCTAAGGTCTGTGGTAGGTTATTGGCTAGAAAGCTAAGGTATCCTTCTCCTGACAACTTTGCGGGTAACTCGAAAGGGCCAATTACCTGATCGTCAAGAATACCCGCCCAAATATTTATTTGTTGGAAATGACCTTCACGAATGGTATGAAGATTGTATTTGGCCCACGAGTGAGTATTATGGAAATTTAATATCCCGTCTCGCTTAAAAGTACATTCGTCCGTCGCTATAATGTTTTTAAAAAAAATCCGGACTTTAATGTTTTTGTGCAAAAACCACTGTTACGATATTTAAAATTTGTAAAAACAAAGTAAAAACAAAGCAACATACTAACCACTGTTAACCGTTTGCGATCGATTGCCTGTTCGATAAGAGTGATAATGACCGACGCGCTGTTGTCATGTGTGTTTTAAATATCCAATTTAATGAAACTTACTTACTGACAACAAAGTTTGGCTTAACTTAGAAAAACTTAGTGCCACGTTTTTGTTAATTACCCAATTTAAAAACGTTTTAGATTAGATTATAAAAATTAGTAAGATTGTTGTGATTGTGGTCGATATAAAGCACTTAAAGTTGTAAACTATAAAGCAAAATCTATTGACTTTTGGACCATGGGTCATATGAACTTTTTGACTTGTTTTCAATAATGACCACCATAACGCTTACACCCTGTATATGATTCATAATTCAATCTGCTTGTTATTGTTAACCTTACATATTTGTATTCATCCATCTTGTGGATATGTTGCCTTATCAAGAGTTTTTCTCTATACCTACTCCACGTTGCTTTCTAGCATAGTCGCATATGTGTTCATACATTCCGTGTAAACAAGCCCTAATTGATAACCATACGCCGTGTCATCGGAACCGAACAGCCAAAAGTCGAAATTACAGAATACAGACAAAAGAACTCCATACTAACTGCCATTTCTCGGTACCGGATCCAACGGAATGTTTTTGTTTTTGTTCGTTAAAATATTTGTAGGTTGATAGTATGCACTGGCTGCCAGTTAATTCCCCGTTTTTGTATTTATTTCATTGTTCGTTTCAAAAAAAAAGGAGCAGTCGCGTTGCGTGTATTCCATGCAGAGGGCCACACGGGTCGTTTTCGATAATTTTGTCTGTGACGTCACGTCCCATTTTTTCTGACTGTAATTTTTAAGCATAATCCATAACTAAAGTGAGTACCACAGAAAGTATAAGTTTATGGTTTATAATTCGTGTGTGTTCTGAAATAAACCGATAATCGATCTCCTTGGAAACTTCGGTGGATGATGGAACGCCGCAAAGTCACCAATAAATGCGAGGGTAATCGATCCAGGCAGCCGTGGAAAAGTCGGAATGCTAAGCGGCGCGGTGTTGCCACATACCGCGGAAATTCCCAGATGTCCCGCCGTGATGGGGTTTCTGGAAAATTGAGTATGTCATCTAACAAATTGACTGCTTTATTTAGTCTTTTTATTTCTTTTATTATTACCAGAGAAATCAAAAAGGAGAATCGGTTGATGTACATATTTCGTATATGTGTTTTGTCAGAATTGAGATGCCCAAAGCACTTCGGACAATAATAGTTTATTGGTATTAATGTGCAAGATCTGCTTACTTAGATCAGAATAAAATAAAAATTTATAATATATACAAAGAGATAATAAATAACAAAGAATGCGACATAATAAATAATACAGTCGAAGGCCAAATATGGTGACTAGAATGGTGGAAAATGAAAAAATGGGAAAGCTGTGCTGAAATCGAAAATGCATAAGCGATAAATCCATGGTTGTGATAGAAAGCTGTCAATAAAAGGAAATTAATTGTAAACCCGCTAAAATCATCAATATCTAGAGCTTCTCATATGACATGGCAAGGGATTAAACAGTTTCAATCCAAAAAAGTTAACGGCATTTCTAGTTTGTGATATTCTATGTAATAGTTTGACTTATTCGAGAATTGTATGAATGGATTTTTTGGGGTATTGCTTAAGTGAGGGTTTGAAATGGGGCAGTAATAAATAATCATAAGACAAAGTCATGATGCTTAGTTTTATGAATCCTATAGGGATCTCTGAACTTTAAGTACGCTATGTTTACCTAAAACACCTTCTCTAAAGAGCAAAACCTCGTATGTGGTCCACTGGCGGATTTAGAGGGGAGACATTTGCAGGCAGGTAACCTCAATTTTTAGATAAAAAGAAAAGCAATGTGTGTCGTTCCAATCTGTATCACCATTTGGCCTATTGAATTGTACCTGAATATCTTTTACATGATCGGGTGCAAACTTGTAGTATCTGATCTGAGATTGAGCAAATATTGTCAGTTATTTGTTATAATATTGTTTTTGTTAAACAGGTGTGCTTCAAATCGGTGATTCTTATGCTTAAGATTCCTCGATTCCTAATAAACGATCTCAATTGTCCCGTTTGCTTACCATTCTAAACGTTCGGTACCCACATAAGTTTTCTGCTCTGCATTTTGATAGAAACATGTAAAATAATCTTACATTCGACTCAAATAAGTAATTCACCAGTTATTGCAATAAAATATGCAATATGATACAAACTACAAAACTGGTAATTATCAGTTGTGATATGAACGCTATAAAAGAGGGACTCAGTAGGTAACATCTTTTTTAAATTCACCATCCAATCTATTGATTGGAGTTCTAGCCCCGCTTTCAATTAAAGTGGTGCCTAACACTTCATCAGTTGTACCTATTTCCAATGCAAACTCATAGCGGATCTGTATGTGCACAGCCAAAAAAATCACATTTTATCTTAAAATGATACTAACCCTATCATTTTTTATTAGAAATTAAGTAAGTCAAGTGTCATCTTCGTATCAGAAAGCACTAACACCGCATTTTCTTCTATTTCTGTACAAAAAACAATTTAACATGTTTAAATATACATATACTCTATGCATATGCTTAGTACCTCAATTTGGTAAAACGACATTCCAGCTCTGAAAGGAAAGGAAACCTTATACATTGATTTAGCCATACACATATTTATAAGAATCGTAGACCGACATTTAGGGAAATCCACCCCCTGAGCATCGGCAACGCCGCATTACCCCCTCGAAACAAAGAAACACCTCCCCGTCGCTTTCCCACGCACCTCTCCACCATCCTCCAGCCAGTTATGCGGCTGCTTTATGAATATGAAGGCGTTCTCCGTCCGCACTTTATGAATATGATCAAGGCGGCGCCGGCAACAAGTGTTGGCCACGCCCAGCTGTCATAATCGCCGGCCCTGGCTGGTCGTCACTCATATCTGGCGCCCCCACCACCGCTCATAACGCGCTTATGATATGTCGTCCCCCCACTCCCGACGATTATTAGTGATCGCTCGGCGTCGGCCGTGAACGGGTCGACCAGCGCCGTCGGTTATTGTTCCGCGATGTACGATGAGGCGCAGAAGTGGCTGTTGCTGCTCCGCTGGGCCGTCTTCAGGGCCCTGCTCAAAGCCGCGAATGGTAATTTGTTCGTAGCTTAGGCAACAACGCTATGTTATGTGTACGGTACTGCTTGATGCATGTGCTACTATGTGCAGTTCTGTGATGTGCGAAAATTGACGAGTTGTTCCGAGGTTACACGAATGTGAAGTTTGTTTTATGTTTGTGATTTTGGGGGTTGCTGTTCTGTGTTTCCCATTCTATGTTGCGGCGATCAATGATCAATTTATTATAGCATGAATTTTGCTCTTATTCGCTGTTTGTCGGTATTTGAAGCACTTTCATATCCAAAAATTTCTAGTTGTAGGCATTGCTGCTTTTATAATAGAGACATTCTGCGGTTTCAGATTTTCCAATGTGGCTAGCTGCAATGAAAATCAAGTTAGATACCTCTAGCAACTCTACCTCTTTCATCATCTCTCAAAGAACACTTTGAGAACATCTTATAAGGTCTTTATAACTATCTATTTCTGTGTCAACACTTTGAGACCATCTTATAAGGTCTTTATAACCATCTATTTCTGTGTTAGAAATAATTTTAAATGGAACACCTTGTCGGTTACCCTATTCACTGCTTGTTTTCTAGCAGTTAAGGATCAATACTTTTTGAAATATTTTTCTTCACTTGTTGTGATAATCATCAAATGGTAAGGATTATCGTTAGTGTTACTTACGTATTGAGCTTTTCTGTTCGATCGTGTGTTAGGTGAGCAACTGTCCAGCGCTCAGAATATTCTGACTGCTTCTTGTGCATATATGATAAGCTATATATGTAATTGTGATATCGCGATATGTCCCGCTTTGCGAATGCGATTTGTCATCATCGTTTATAGTTGCTGCTTCTTCTTATCATTCTCTATCTTATCATTGATTTTGAAAGTTAATGTCGTCTGATTTGCCTTTTAGATTGTGCTTTTTAGTGCGGTCTCTTGCTAATGCAATTACTTATGATTAAGGTTCGGTTGTATCGTCAATAGTGTAATTCTATTATGTGGAACAACGAAAATTTGCAAACCGATTCTTTGGTTTCTTCCTCTCGTGACTTGCTTATGTATTCTATTTATACCACTATGTATAAAGCTTTCCATAAGTACACTTCGGTTAGTAGTATTTTCCTTTTGTGTTTAGCTGTGGTTTTAACTTCTAGTCTAGTAATTAATCTATATCGGGAAGAAAAAAGTTTCTCTGATTGCTAGTCTTATTTTAGTAGCATTTATGATCTTTTTTAACGGTATATCGTCTCTGGTGCGCTAATTCCGAGTATTTACTAGAACTTGAAGCTTATTGTTTTATTTGGTATATAATTCGCTATTTGCCTTCTTCTATCAACGATTTCACCAATTGCTTCTCGTGTTCGCATCAATATTCATTATTTATGGAGACAAAAAAATAATTCTTCTAAATTCTATTTAGTATTCCTCAACATCTCCTCTATTCTTTATTATGAAGGGCGTTAGTCAGGAACTACCATGTGTCGTCGATAATAGCGTTTCATAACGCATTATTGCATATTCTTTGTAGTGAAGTTTCTGTTGAATGCTGGAAAGTCGAAGCTTTTAAGTTTTATTAGGCTATTGCTTGTGACATGTATCGTACTCCATCTCAGGTTAATATATAGTTGTACTGTACCAAATTAATAAAGTACTTGCTTCTTTTAATCGTCTCCTTACGCTCTAGGGCTTCGATTCCGTCTAATACTGATTTTGAGCTGTTTACCTATAGGAACGGCTATACGCCCAAGTTGCAACGTAGTTTGAGATGGGCTCTAGTAACTCTTGGTTGGAAGATTCGTATTTTAAACATTAGATAGTTACAAGTGGTAAATTGAGCTTTTGTAGTAGTCTAAAAAAAGCGGCTTGGACTGTTACCACTTAAACGTGCATGTGTCAACTAGAATGTTGAGGTAAAAGACAAATCATTACAGGTCTTTGGTATTTACGTACTTATGGGTATAGTTCCTAACAGGATCCAGTACTTCAATTCAAATATTACGATACCGTTTACTAGCACAATTCTTATAATACAGAGAAGTCAATTAAGTTAGGCATTAGGCATTTATTTACTCCATTATATAAGAACAATAACAGCAGAAAATTAATAAATAAATATTCCAATCCAAAGAAAGACGATTCCTGTACTAGATCAGTTATATGTTGGAATGTGTTCCAAATCAAAACAAAAAAGTTAAGAGAAACCCTAAAGAAAAATTTGTTGGAGGTGTATATGTAGAAGAATATTTAATAGAAATTCAACAATATGTGTATTTAGAAAGTCTTTGAGTACGTATTCATATAATTTTGGAGCCAAATAGAGAAAAGATCGCTTCATTATGGTCCGAAGAGATATACGGATTTTTTGACAATGTGTGGTTTTATCGCCCTCACTCACGACTTTATGATAAGGGCTGATAGTAGGTACAAAATAAATTCCCTTGATATCAAATAATTTTTTTTTCGTTATATAAATCATTTGGTTTTTCTAGAATAGTTTTTAAAACTCAAGTTGGGCGCCTTCAGTATTGTTAGATCTCACGCTACGTTGCCAACCCCATCACTTAATTTATAGACCTCATATATGATTAGTAAGACTAGTTGTTTTCTATATGCTATCAATTGCAACAGAAAACAAGACAATCTATCACACAAATGTTCAATCTAGACCGGATTCCACAATGATCTAACATGTTCTGCATAGAAAATGTCTGTACAGTGCCCCAAATCCATGTTATATACATATACATATGTTCAACATGTATGTATAATAACTTTTAGGCCACATCACCTAACCTACATTTGGACTGCTGTTATCGATGCAAATTAAAAAATAATTCGATTGAATTAGCAATTATTTAGGTCAGCACAGTTGTGCACTGCACATCAATAATATTGTACCACCATGTTTGCCAATGATGTTAATAATAAGATCTCATGAGCAACATGTTTTGCTTTGCTGTTACCGTGGGACGGATTGTATATAAATAAACATTGCGCTGTTGATTATTCCTGAATATAGTCTACAAACAGGACTAAATAGGTTCGGCGTGTAACAAATTTTGTTTTTATATTTTTTTTTACAAATGTACATTTGTAAACTGAAAAGCATATTGCAACATAATCAGTGCAAGGTAATGAACGAACTTTGCGCGTCTTGTTCTTTAAATCAGTATCTCTAATTGCGCACCTATAAGGAAAAGTCTATGCTGGTTTCAAGCTGAAACACAACATAGATGGTGAAAGCATCATCTTATATTTTGTGCATTCTTAAGCTCTGGTAGTAAAACACATCGTACGTCACTACTTTCGCGACCTGTCTTTGTACCAGCAAACTCGGGGTTCGCAAATGCCACCGTCGCTTTGGTAATGGTGTAGTTTGGCAGCTCCTTCACCATAATTTTAACATACACCTAGAATGCTTGTTATGCACTTTTTACATGAAACCCGTCCAGAAAGAACTCGTTCGATTTACTGTACAGTGATAGCTGTGAAAAACAGAATTATTGTCGCTAATACAATGCTCAAGAATGGTAATGCTGAACTCCCACCATTTTTTACTATGACTGAAAGAAATGGTGAATGTGCGGCGTTGTAGTCCGACATACTTATGCGCACTTTCACCATATTATAGACAAACGATGACGTTATATATAGTCAACGCCAAACAAAGTGGCGTGCACGTCATCAAGGTGGGTGTGTTGAAAAATTTACATTGTTGCCAAACTTTTTGTAAAATAATAAAATTTATTATTTACATATCTAGGTTTATAAGCAATATTAACCTCAAATGAGAACAAAAATAATAGTATAATAAAATTATAGATCTGTACTTGCATAATCATTAAGTATGACAATTATTGATCAGATGACACTATGAAACTACCATATTTAATTGATAGCTTAAAGGTACTGAATAAAAATCCAAATGGGGTCCTCCAAATTTTATGCATGGTATTTATTTTACAGAATTCATACAGAAAAATGCATTCTAAAATTAGGTAAGCTACTGGTGTAAGCTTTTTCTGTACAATAAAGTTAGTCGGAGTTTCTTTCTTCAGCGCTGTCTGAATCTGAATCTTCATCACTCTCAAAGTTGATTATTAAAGGTTCGATGTCTGGTCGATCAAAAATTCGTTCTCTTTCATACCATTTAAAAATTTCTTGCTCAGTATGTCGAACACTATTTTTCCACATGTCTGGGGTAACCGTTTGTAGAGCCTCGTTCCACATATCCAAACAGTCTTTTTCACTGTTACCATCTCTACCAATATGTCTGTTATAGTAACCTTTTGCTATGCCCCAAATTAACTCAATAGGGTTAAATATACAATGGTAAGGAGGCAGACGAAGAACTTTGTGCCCATGTTGTTCCGCCAATTCATCAATCACGTATATTTTAGGTGGTTTGTTTCTAAAAAAGCAGTTATTTTAAGAATAGGAATAAACAAAAGAAATATAAACTGTCGACCAAAATATATATAATTAAGAAGCATTATGTACCGAGCAACAATACTCAATAGCTCTGTTTTAAACATTGTGTTTAAAAATGGTATGTTTTGATTTGTCAACCAGTCTTGGATATTTTTTTTTGTCCATGCATTGTTGGGCACTTTGTTCAATATCATGCTGTGATAAGGGGCGTTATCCAGTATAATCATAGATGGACTCTCCAATTTTTCTAATAACTGATGTTGAAACCATTTCAAAAAATTGTCCTGGTTCATCTCTCCATGGTAATCGCTCAATGTTGTTTTCGAAGAAAATATCGCTTCACTACCCTCAATAAACCCATTTTCATTTCCAGCATGTAATATAATGTATCTAAAATATATTAGTTTTAAATTTTATAGTGCAAATTGTGTAAAAGTACATACCTTTTACCATCTGTTTTAATAGCTTTCACGCTTTTTTGGTTTCCATTTTGCCAAGAGCGACTTATGGTCCCATTTTGAAATATCCAAGTTTCATCGAGGAAGACAAACTGGTATAAGGCCTCAACCTTGGCTTGATTGTATTGCCTTAGCAATTCCACCCTTTTCAAAGCTATATCTTTAGTTCCATGAGCCCTCGTCGCGGATTGTCCTTAAGCCACTTAAATCCAAGATCTCTAAGCAACCGCCTTAAAGACGTGGCACTACCATCAAATAATGCCCTATCTCTTAATCGAGACCATAAAGTTTGTATCGTAACTTGTTCTTCTGAAACCATGTGTAATATGACATTATAATTTAGTTAACAAATTAATGCAAATTTCTGATAAAAGTTATTATAATAAGATCTTACTTTTGTGATACATATTATAGATCACTTCTCGAATGGCACTTGTATCCAATGTCGCTGTGTTGGTTACACGTTTAATATAACTCCGCTTTTTCTTGGGCGATTCTAAATTTGCATCACTTTTCACACCCTCGGAAATACGACTAACTGTCCTTAAACTAATTTTTAAAGCAGCAGCAACACGCTACAAAAAATGAAATAAAATTTCACTATTATTAATATACATTACATATAATTATTAGTAACCTACCTCTTGAACAGCATTTAAAGGCAACAAAGGCCCGTTGTTGTCCCTTTCTTGCTCAAAGTAGTGCATTAACGAGGCCACGAGTTCCTTACACCGACTATTTAACTGTTTGGGCATCTTTATATACCAAAATTGCCTTTATCTACTCGTAAAATGAATAATTTTGTTTTGAAACAAACAGTTGTTGATTTACAGTATGCGGGGCCAAAGGATTTATAAAGATTTGAAATGCCACAAATTGATTCAGTGTCAAAATTAATACAAATGTCAGTTCCCAGTTTAAATAAGTTTTAAGGTGACAATGTGTCAACGCTGCGAAATCGGTTTAGTGCGTTTACATGTCGATAAGTGATTGGAGCGTTTGCAAAACATTTTATTTCGCATAATGCGTCTAAATTTATCAGAAAGCAACTTATGTGATATTTTAATAACAATGTTTATATGACTATTACCCATAATAAGAGAGTAATGACCATTTTACAATTTATATATCACATTAATATGAAACTGCAATAGAGCAATTGTTTGTGATAGAAACCTAGGCATTAGGTCGGGGAATTTTTATCGTGATGACGTGCACGCCACTTTGTTTGGCGTTGACTATAGATTGCCATGCATGAACAGTCGTCAAAAACAGTGAGAACGTCCTACTTGATATAATAGCTAGAAAAACGACCGATTATTTCCCTCATTTTCATTGGTCCATTTAAATAACTGACCGTCTTTTGTGAAATGATAAAAATTTGAAATTCTATGAAAGTTATCCTAATCCTAAAGAACAAAGACATAATATTATATCTATAATGTACCCTTATTTATAAGGCAACCGTTTTTTCACGACTTTATTCAACATTTCAATAGAAGTCACTGATATGCAAAGAGGTTTGACAGTTTCCGTCAAATTGCATTTCGATGAGGCCTTTTTCCTATTGGACCAACTGACCGTCAAATATTAATGTTGGTGAAATTGGCTCTAAGAGTATCAATCAACAATGATTAAGGTTCATTAAAAGCTTGAAAAGGGATGACTGAATTCTTTAACACGTTGGCGGACTTGAAAAAGTATTACTTTAGAATATAGTTCTAGAATTTAGTTCTAAACCTTTTTTCACCCTTGTTATTTTTCAAAATACTTTATCGTTTTCTACAAAATAATGATAGAATAACCGAAAGAACTGAGGTCTTGTATTGCAGCTGCGTTATTCAGAATTATCGGGAATTCAAAAGTTGGCTACGAACTCAAACGTCAGATAATCCCAGCGCACTGGAGCATTGAAGAAAAAGGTTGCGTACAACAGTTGGAATTGTAATTTTGAACCACTTATAACTCTAAAAAACATCAGTTCAAACAACTTTATGTCCTTTGTCTCTAAATTACTAGACCTATACCATACTGATTATTACTAAAAAGCATGAAACTGCATTGTATGCTGTTGGTTTTGGTCGCAGAGACGGAGAACAAACAGATTTTATTCATCTTTCCTGCGATGAACAGCTCTTGATATATGGAATGTCAGTAACTAAAACCATGTTCCTTAACTGCAACTGTTCAATATCGGCGTTCTAGTATACACATCAAGCAACTCCAACACGTGAAACACTTTATTTTGAAGGGTGTCAGACAGATACATCTTAGAGATTGTGCGTAACGTTCAATAACTCAATTGCAGGTGACGCTATTTATACTGACATAGCTGAGAAGGCAAACACTTGTAAATGCTAAAGTACCAGGACTGAAAAATATTTGAACTACATAATACGAGTATTAGCTAGATCAGTTAAAATCTCAAATCATCCGTCCTTTGGTAAATGTTTAACTGCTGGTTTCATATCTTTTTCATAATCTTATTTAGGTTAAATTATAGACAAACATTCCACGCCACTTTGTTTGGCGTTGACTATAAATAAGATTTTTTTAATTAAATACCTAAAATATATGTCTCAGGAAGCTATTCTGTGGAGAATAGTATGATCTTGTGAGACCTTTTCACGTTGTCTGCAACCCAAAAAGCTGAGAAATTGTCTGGTATTTCCACAATGTGCTGTGTTTTGATGTCAAACGTGTTTTGGTTTTCATCTTTCAAGTAGCTCCTTCTCCTTCCTTATTTAGGTGTACTTAAATCAAACTACTGAATTCTACTATACATACTAAATTTTGAAAATGTTGAATTTGTTTTTTATTCCTGAACTGTTACTAATTGTACCTTTCTTTTTCAGATGGTGCAGAACTGCCGGAAGTCCTGATGTGTCCCAGGTGCCGTGAGCAGTTCACGGACGTGCAAGAGTACCTCTCCCACAAAGCGGAATGTGACAAGAAAGCCATCAAGCATGACGATCCAGCGCACTCTGACCCTGAAGATATGGTGGTGTCAGAAGACGACGAGGAGGAAATAAGAGGTACAGTGGGGTATAACTAAGTAGTCCTTTAATGGCGTTTCGTTGCTGAAATCTGAAAGTGTCTTCCCATCAAAGGATTAAGTTATTATTTATATACTTGACTGAGTGATATTAAGACAACACTTTTTGTTTTGCAGTGGTGTATTTGTTGATAAATCGGTTAGAGTAAACTCCATATTCATTTTTTCAATTTTTATGTATTTCCGTCTTCGGGGCTCCTTTTAGTTTCGTGGTCAAAAAATAATCCAACGTAATGCACATTAATCTAAATATTACCATCAAGACTACAACTTTTCACTATGACTATGAAAAACTGTTAAGGGATATAGATAGCTAGTCCCTAAAGAAGAAAATAAATTTTTACGAGCCGTCGGATACTTTGTAGCAGGAAAGTGTTTTTTAAGAAACCAAGTCCAATCAATTACAAGAAATTTATATAAATACGGGTCATTAGAAGAATGATTATCCTTATTTATCATTTTTGTTTGTTCTTTGAGTTATATTAAGTTACACTTGAATTTAGCACAGGAAATCTGAAATTTGTTGGATGATGCGATGGCCATGATCATTTGTGGATTTAATAACAGATTTTTCTATCGGTCTATCTTTATTGATTTTAGTTAAATTGCTGATGATAGTTACGGTATGGCTAATTATGCAGAGTAAATAGATATATTTTTCTACTAGCCAATTTTCGTGATACTCTCTGTGGTCTGACTTCGTCAGGTAACTAGATCGCAATTCTCATTTTCAATAACAACATATTGATAATTTGTTGTCAATATGTGCAGTGGTTAAACTTAAAATCAAAATGAACTTTGACAATTTACCTCCTATCTTGTAATTGTTCATCTGTCCAATTCTGTTTATATATCTGTCTATAATCCGACCTGGAATATTTGAGTTTTTGCAACTTTTTCCTTTTGTCTAGAGTTTTATTTTTTCTACAGCATTGATCTAAAATTAAATTGCCCTTCCCACTTTAATAGTATAAATAAAATAAACAATACATTTTAAAAGCAAGCTTTTATTTAGCTGAAAATGAAGTGAACTAAAGTTGTTTAAATATTTTTTTAAGATTGGAAATATTTGAACGGTAATGAAACTTATCTAAAGTTCACAAATAAAAGCTTGGTACTCCCTTTTTTAGGTAAAACGTTTGAAAATTCGAGATGAAGGAGTCTCATTAACATTCAGATATTTCCAATCAAAAAAAAATATTTTAAAATTATCAGATCACTGTATCAACAGTTAAATAGTAGCTTGTTTTCGAAACCATATTCTTTATTTCATTTATATTTCACTTAGTTATGCCTCTCTAATTTGATATATATATATATATATACTAAGTGACATATAAATCCGAACACCCAGTTTAAATGGTTTTATTTTGATAAAATTTTGTATAAGTACTTAATGAAGCATAATAAGTAAATGATAAAAATTTCAAAATGATTGCACTGCTTTAAAGCCCTTTGACCTTTAATAATGTGTGGATGCACCCTGATGTGCTACGCATTCTCCAACGCGCCTAGGCATGCTTCTGATCAGGTGGTCAATGTCCTCCTGTGGTATCTCATTCCAGGCAACCACCAACTCCTCTCGAAGTGCTTCTAGAGTCTGAGGAGGACGTTGCAAATTGAACAATCTCCTACCCATCATATCCCACACGTGCTCAATTGGGGATAAGTCGGGAGATCTTGGTGGCCATGGTAACAATATGACATCATTATGTTGAAAGAAGTCTATTGTGACTCTTGCAACATGTGGACGGGCATTATCTTGTTGGAAAGTTGGATCTGCCAGGGTGTCAAGATAGGGTAAAACATGGGGTTCTAGAACTTCGTGGATATAACGCTACGCGTTCATGTTACCTCTGATGAAGATTAAAGGTGACCTGGAACCATAAGCTATAGCACCCCAAACCATAACTCCAACAGTGTGATGAACATGTCTTTCAACAAAAAACTGTGGATTCCTCCTTTCACCACGTCGCCTTCTAACCCTGGCACGACCATCGTGCATGCCTCAACAAAATCGAGACTTGTCACTAAAGACAATACTGTTCCATTCCTGATCCCAGAGTGACCGTTGTCTGCACCACTCAAGGCGATTACGTCGGTGTTCTCGAGTTAAAGGGAGGACCCAGTGTGGCCGGTATGAAAACAAGCCAAAACTTCTCATTCGTCGGTAAACACTTCGCATGCCAATAGGTCTTCCGTGTTCTGCAAACCATTCATTTGCAATGGACCTGGTAGTGGAGAAACGTTCCCTTAAGGCCAATAATCTTAGGCGGCGATCTTCACGGTCTGTTGTTCTACGGCGGCGTGCAGTGCCCCTTGCTCTTTGCGTACGGCCTTCTCGAAGCCATGCCTGACAACACCTAACCACAGTGTCTACACTTCTTTGCACTCTAACTGCAATTGCCCGAAAAGAAGGTCCAGCTTCCCGAAGTCCCACTATACGGTCCCTATAAATACATTCACCAACTTTTATTAAACTGGGTGTTCGGATTTATATGTCACTTAGTATATATATATATAACAAAAAAATCGGAAAATAATGGGCAAAATCCTCAAAAAGAAGGAAAGTGAATTCGAGCAGAAAATAGGATAGTTAACCCGAGCGATACGTATTTCTGCTGGTTGGCTTCATCATTCCCGAAATGAATGCACATATGCAACTACAAAAGTTGATACACAGGCTCACACATCCGGATACGGGTGTAACCTGAGGAAACAAAGATGAAGAGGGAAAAAAATCACACACGAAGTCCACAACAAGAGCCAACCTACACATTGTAGTATAAAATGGCTAGAAGACCTCGAATTTTCAAGGCGACATCTAACCACAACCACGCGGCCGGTTATAGCCACTTGGTGTGCTGTGGTACTTCAAGCTGGGTCTGATGAAGCCAACCAGCAGAAATACGTATCGCTCGGGTTACCTATCCTATTTTCTGCTCGAATCCACTTTCCTTCTTTTTGCGGATTTTGCCCATTATTTTCCTATTTTCTGTTATATACCTTTCTCCGCATGATCATTTTCTCTTTATATATATATAAAAAAAATAATGGATCGCCGTTTTGTAGAATCCGCCAGATTGGATTTAAAATGACGCTGGTAAATTTACTTTGCAAAGCAAACGTTTGTACAAGATTTCAGCTCAAGGTTAACTGGTTCAAAGTTCAATTTCAAGGTTTGTCTCATAGCCATACTAACAGAACAGGTCCAGTTGAATAACAATAACAAAATACACCATCTTCTTTATATTGTAATTTTTTATTCGCCTAAATTCGATCGAGCGATCGAGGATTGTTTTTTTGGTAGAAATGCAAAGCAAGCTTCTGTCCGGGAAGCTGTTTCGATCCTCCTGACTATGTGGTAACGTATGTGAAATTTCAGATGACGACACTGGCGGAAAAAGATTGGAGCGGATGCGGAGGCATCGACAAGATGCAGCCAACAACAACAGCGTGGACGAAAACGGAGAACCCGGCCAACCTCTGGGTTTCCCCTTCCCGGTTCCACCAGCAGCACCTGGTCACGTGACCTTGGAAGCCTTGCAGAACACCAAGGTGGCTGTGGCGCAGTTCGCTGCTACTGCAATGGCGAACAACACCGACAACGAGGCCGCGTTACAGGAACTGGCAGTGTTGCAATCGACGTTGTTCACCTTGCAACACCAGCAGGTGTTGCAGTTGCAGTTGATCAATCAGCTGCAGCAGCAGCTGCAGATTGACAGGGTGAAGGAAGAGGAGGTGTCTCCTGACTCACCACAGCCTTCAGAGCATGAGCCTGAAAATGCTGTTGCCGATTCGCCACCGGCACAACCACAGGTAAGTCGAATAAATCAAGACCTGCAGTCTATTTTCCTCATAATCTAAAACTTAAAGTGCCATATTGTTATACAACGCTACCCCTCCTCTGTCAATACGATCGAAGATCCTCTTGGAATACACGCACTTATTACTATTATTAATGTTTTGTTCCAGATACCCTCACCCGAGGAGCCAGTGCCTCCAGTCGCCTCCACTCCCATAGCCCAAGCAATGACACAGCCTCCTCAAATCATGGAGGTACCTCCAGAATCCTGTATACCAACCTCCCTTCCACCTCAGATCCAACCTCCACTTTGTTCCATTTCCTCCTCGCTTGCCTCAACGATTATCACACATTCAGACTCCGACCACCCATCGGAAGAACCCAATACTCTGGAGATGCTGCAGAAAAGAGCCCAAGAGGTGCTAGATAATGCTAGTCAAGGCCTGTTGGCCACCAACCTGGCCGACGAGTTGGCTTTTAGGAAAAGCAAAGGTGCAATGTCCCCATACGACTCAAAAGGTAAGGAACACATTTCATTTTCAGGTTCCAGTTGCTGTTTGTGTACTTACAGATATATTTTTATTTGAGGTCTTGGCATCAGACTCAAGTCTTTTTTCCACAAAGAACTATGAAACTTAAATTATATCCTGAGTCAAGTCTCTCCGCAAAAATCTAGAAATGCACGAAGTTGATGTATGATACTGTTTTATCGTGTCATCCATGCTCCATTTTCCTTTGTCTTTCCTGTATTACATCCACTCTTCTTTTTGTTACAGGTCGCAACGAGCCCTTCTTCAAACACAGATGCCGGTACTGCGGCAAAGTGTTCGGTTCGGACTCGGCCCTTCAAATACATATCCGCTCCCATACGGGAGAGCGTCCCTACAAGTGCAATGTGTGTGGCAGCAGGTTCACCACCAAGGGGAACCTCAAGGTCCACTTCCAAAGGCACAGCCAAAAATTCCCGCATATCAAGATGAATCCCAACCCGGTTCCAGAGCACTTAGACAAGTACCATCCTCCGTTATTGGCACAGTTGGGGCAGCAACCTTCCCTGTCACCTGGCGGGCCTCCTCACCCTCCGCATTTAGGTTTCCCAGGTAAGCTAACGGATGTTGAATTTTTTCACTAAAATCTTCTTTACTACAGATTAAATGCTACTTGCAACTACACCTCTGCTTTTGTTGTTTCAGGCGGTCATCCTTTCCAACCAACATCGTTACCGTTATTCAGACATCAGCCTCCTCCCCCTCCAGAGCTATTGAACAACAGGCTACAGCCGTCACCTCACAGGATCCAAGAACCTCCTCCAAGGTTATTTCCCCCTCATCCTTTGTTCCTCAAAAGGGAAGAGCAAGATGCTCCCGCTGATTTGAGCAAACCTCAAAGATCTCCGACCCCTGTAGAAGAAAAACCTCAACCGATCGAACAGGAGCAGCGAAGAGAATCTACTGAAGAACAGAGGGTACGTTTTTTGTATTCTAAAGTCTATACGTTTCTATAAGACAAACAAGCAACTTGAGGTATTGATGAAGGGTGTGACTTCTGCCCATAGTGTGCTTCTCGTAAGGGCGGTAGAAAGAAACTTTAAATTTTATGAGGAAATCTAGTGGTGACCTTGGATTTGAGGTTGACATTCACCTTGAATGTCATTTCAAGGGCGAGTTGATTTTTTCAAATGGGAACCCCCATTTTTTACTGCAGAAATAGGGGCGAAAACTATATCTAAATTTCAAGGTCAACTGTTGCTCTATTATTGATTGTTGTGAAGCAGCGGATAGCTGGAAGAAGAAGAATGTTGAAGAAGAACTTTTAATGTAAAAATTGTAATACACCCAACGGCACATATGATAGTGACCTAGTGATCTCCGTTCTCAGATTGGCTATGACTTTGAAGGTCAATTCAAGGTCAATTTGAGTTTTTCACATGGAAACCATCAATATTGATGCTAGTGCTGAAAATGGAACGATCTCATGCTAAGGTTTATTCAACGGAGGTAAAATCACACCTAGAGGTTATTTGAAGGTCAAGTGACCTATTTTTGTGGGTTAGAGTAAAGCGACCGACGCATGTTGCGATTTGACTTTAAACTTAACAATCAAGGTCAAAAACAAGTTTACCTTAATTTCTTAATAACCCAGAAAGTCGTATAGGGAGACAACCGAGACCCTGTTCTCATGATTGTCTCCGGATATCCAATGATGGCCTTGGGGTCTGACCTTGGTCATGACCTTCAAGGTCACTTGGAAGGCAACGCTTTTTTTAGTGATACCGTATACTTATGACCACGGTAACATTCGTATCTATCCTTGACTGTTTTTGGAACTTGACTGCACTGGACCATCAAGGTCAAACACAATTTCATTTGTTCCTTGATAATTCAGTAAATTGTGTAATCTCGAGATAAACTGCTACACTGTTCATTCAAGATCGTTCCCTGGCTACAAAATTGAATTGACCTTTACATGACCTTGAAGGTCATATTGGTTAAGGTCAGAGCTAAGGTCACCATTGGGTATACGGGGAAAATTCATGGAAATGATATCTCGGTAGTTTTACTTTACGACAACTGGTTTTCTCGATACTTGGGTTTGACCTTGACCACGTCCTCCTGAGGTCAAAATTCAAAAATAGCAAAGACCATATTTGAACGTAAAATTTTCCGTTTTTTACATTTAGCGGTCAAAAATGGGGGGTTCTATTTAAAAAAATCGACGTGATCTACATATGACCTTAAAGGTCAATTCAAGGTCAAGTTCATTTTTCCAAATGAAAACCGTCAATTTTGATGTCACTGCCAAAAATATAAAAATTTAACGTTTACTTAACGGAGGTAAAATCACACCTAGAGGTTACGTCAAGGTCAAATGATTTTCGTGGACTAGACCGAAGCGACCGACGATCTTTGCAAGTGAAGCGAGGACTGATTCTTCACGCACAAAAAAGTATTTATTCTAGTAATCGAAGATATCTTGCGACGCTATACTTCAAGGGATGTTAGAACTAAAAGCATGACAACTTTTTATTCTAATATTTGATAAAACGAAAAATAACTGCTCATCCAAAATACATTACATAAATATCATCTAGCTGTTTATACCGTTGAAAAGGATTTTTTTTTTTGGCTTTCTGTCTCTGCAATAAAAAATTAACTCGCCCTTGAAATGTGAGTGTCAACGTCAAATCCATGGTAAACACTAGACGCGCCATTTTTCCTAAGACTTTAGCGTTTAAAGTTTTTTCTAGCATACTTTTGTGAAACACTGTATATGTTTTTGAAGTGTTCTGTCTTTCTTCAGGAGCAAAGACAGCCGGATAGAGTTCCTCAATTGACTCCAAAGGCAGAGCCAGGACTGACGGACAATGAAGTTGAACAGGAGCAAGAAAGGTACCCCTCTCCAATTCCTTACGATGAGTGCAGCAACAATAGTAGCAAATACAGCAACGAAGAAATGATGGAGCAAAGAAGTCCGAACGTTGAACAACAAGAGCAAATGCAAGACGAGCCAGAAAACCTTTCCAATAGAAGTAATTCGATTAGTATTCCTTTGAGCATTTCCACTGCGGGCCAACGGTTGCCTGGAAATTTTTCCTTCGGTCATCCGGCAAGTTCCCCTCCAAGCAGCACGTCTTCTGGAAGTCTTGGAAATTTTCCTACAACGCCCATTCCTGATATCACGAAAGATCCGGCGATATACACCAACTTGCTGCCTAGGTATGTGTGACCTCCAAAGGGTTTCAGTTAATAGTTCATCAGAACGTTGCATCTCTTCTTTGTTTGCAACATGTCCCAAGTTATTTCATCTCAAATTATAATACAAATTTGAAACTATCAGAAGTGGTTGTGTACAGTTCTGAACTAATTGATAGTTATTTCTTTTTAAGGCCTGGAAGTAACGACAACTCCTGGGAGAGTTTGATAGAAGTAACCAAGACATCGGAAACGAGCAAACTACAGCAACTGGTGGACAACATTGAACATAAACTCTCGGATCCCAACCAGTGTGTCATTTGCCATAGGGTTCTATCGTGCAAGAGCGCTTTACAGATGCATTACCGTACTCACACGGGTGAGAGACCGTTCAAGTGCAAAATTTGTGGCCGTGCCTTCACCACGAAGGGTGAGTACGATTTTTGAACAGCTTTTCGGATCTAGAAATAATTTTTGTCAGCTCTGCCTCCAGGCTGTCTGAAAAGTTCCGGAACCCCACGATAGTTTGTGAACCGCGACGGATAGGAGTTTTTCTCAGCTATCCAACCTTGAGTTTGACCTTGTCCACGACCTTCAAGGTCGTGTGAAGGACAAGTCGATTGTCGATTTTTCAAATGCAACCCCTTTTCTTGACTCCATAAGTGAAGAGAGCGGAAAATTGTATAATCAATATTGTCTTGATCATTGTTGAATATTGACCTTATATAGGTGAAGGACAAACCCAGGTATTGTAATAGAACTCGAAAGCCAGCACTCGTATAAGGTCATTTGAAGGTCAACTATTTTTAATCTTGATCACGGAAATGAAGGAAAGGGAGAATTTTATCTTCAAAAATGCTCTCGACCATTTTTGGAATTTGACCTTGGACTTAACCATCAAGGTCAAAAAGAAGCTTACCTTAATTTCTGGATAATTCGGAAAACTGTGTCGTCACCAGATAAACTGACTACTGTTCATTCAGGATTGTTCCCTGGCTACAAAATCCACTTGACCTTCACATAATTTTGAAGGTCATAGTGGGTAGGGTTCGAGCAAAGATTACCATTGGATATCCGGGGAAAATCATGAAAATGATGTCTCGGGAGTTTCCTTTTACGATAGCTAGTTTCCAAGTTATATCTCTGTACCTGGGTTTGACCTTGGCTATGACCTGCTAAGGTCATAATTTAAGAATAGTCAAGACCATATTTGAACCATAATTTTGACCACGAAAATTGAGAAAACATTTTATATTCAAATATGTCCTCAACCATTTTTGGAATTTGACTTTGGACTTGACCACCAAGGTCAAAAACAAGTTTACCTTAATTTCTTGAAAATTCTGAAAACTGCGTCATCACCAGATAAACTGACTCCACTGTTCATTCAGAATTGTTCACTGGCTGCAAAATCTACTTGACCTTCACATAACTTTGAAGGTCATAGTGGCTAGGGTCAGAGCTAAGATTACCATTGGATATCCGGGAAAAATCATGAAAATGATGTCTCGGGAGTTTCCTTTTACGACAGCTACTTTTCAAGTTATATCTCTGTACCTGGGTTTGACCTTGGCCATGACCTGCTAAGGTCATAATTAAAGAATGGTCAAGACCATATTTGAACCATAATTTTGACCACGGAAATTGAGAAAACATTTTATATTCAAATATGTCCTCAACCATTTTTGGAATTTGACCTTGGACTTGACCACCAAGGTCAAAATCAAGCTTGCCTTAATTTCTTGATAATTCGGAAAACTGTGTGATCACCAGATAAACTGACTCCACTGTTCATTCAGAATTTTTCCCTGGCTACAAAATCTACTTGACCTTCACATAACTTTGAAGGTCATAGTGGTTAGGGTCGGATTACCATTGGATATCCGGGAAAAATCATAAAAATGATGTCTCTGGAGTTTCCTTTTATGACAGCTAGTTTTCAAGTTATATCTCTGTACCTGGGTTTTTTTAAGAATGGTCAAGACCATATTTGAACCATAATTTTGAACACGGAAATGGAGAAAACATTTTATATTCTAATATGTACTCGACCATTTTTGGAATTTGACCTTGGACTTGACCACCAAGGTCAAAAACAAGTTTACCTTAATTTCTTGAAAATTCGGAAAACTGTGTTGCCTCCAGAACTGGCTTCACTGTTCTTTTAGGATTTTTCAATGGCCACAAAATCGTTATATCTCCGTACCTGGGTTTAACCTTGACCACTACCTCCTAAGGTCATATTTAAACGTAAATGCTTCGCTCTTTTCATTTAGGGGGTCAAAAATAGAGGTTCCATTTAAACAAATCGACTTGACCTTCAAATAATCTTGAAGGTCATGACCAAGGTCAACGTTGACTAGATGGAGAATCTAGTATTGCTATCTTCATTAGTCATCCTTTAACGAAATTTTATTCCAGGTAACCTAAAAACGCACATGGGCGTCCACAGAGCCAAGCCACCGATGAGGGTCCTGCACCAATGTCCCGTTTGCCACAAGAAGTTCACAAACGCCCTTGTCCTGCAACAACATATCCGCCTGCATACTGGCGAACCTACTGATCTCACCCCCGAGCAGATTCAAGCCGCTGAAATCAAAGACTTCCCATCTCCAGGAGGGTTTCCGGCTCTGCCCAATTCTATGCACCCATTCCTCAGCCAAGGCTTTCCTATTCCAGGCCTATCACCGCTCGGCCATTCTGGAATGCCACTTAACATGAAATTCGAGAGAGGGGATGTCAAGTCTGAACACGAGAGCCTAGGTGAGTCAACGAAATACACTAAAAGTGAACTCGCAGTGGTCAATTCTGGTTATAGATGGCGCTTTGTGCTATCTGATTTCAATACCTTGTAGTAAGCGGCAGATAGATAGACTTAAGCTTTGGCCTTTAGGTTCATAGCTGGTATACGAACATTAGTTACCACACTGTTTTGTTCCCAGAAGATGACGAAGAAGAAGATGACGACATGAGTACGACCGAGAACCAACACCTGCAACCATTCGCTGCGTCCTCCCCAACGACGGAGGCTCAAAACGTGGCAACATCGGTAAGCGCGATGCTTTCCCAGTATCCGTCAGGTCGCCTAAGTTGTCCAGCAACGGAGGATAGAACCAGCGTTGCCACGTCTCCATCGCAACTGCAAAACGGAGAGAAGAGCCCTGAGCATCAGTCTAACGCAGACGGAAGCCCAGCGGGCTCAGAGGCTATGTTGAGGGCGTCACCGAACCACACGACCGTCCAGGTATTGCGATCCTTTTCAGTTTGATATTTCAAACAGCAAAATAGTTGCCACCTCTTTCAACGTGTAAAGAATTTCAAACAAATTTTTTTGTTTCGCTACAGACAGTGCAGTTACGCTTGAAACTTTATATATGGCATGCTAATAGATCACAAAAAATAGTGTCACAAGTTCATATATGCAAAAATATCCCACGGAGCTCCACGGCGATGCAGGCTTCCAAACAAGGCTACTGGAAGTACTTTTTAGTTATAAGTAAAAATTGTCCGAGATACTTGGAACTCTAGCATAAATTCATATGACATCTTCTGTTCCAGATTCCACGGCCGCCTTCATCACAGCAAGCCTCCAGCCCAACGCCCTCCGACACATCACAAAGCGGAGCTCTCGATCTCACGCCTCGCAATTCCTCTCAGCAACAATCCCAGCCCCAACAAGCCCCGCAATCGGCTCCCCACAGTCCCCCTATCCCAGCAGTATCGGCCACCCCGCCTCTTTTTCCCACCTTCGGACTTTTGCCGCAAGGGGGCGGGCAACCGCCGCCGCCTCCCCTGATGACATCCGCCCTATCGTCGCTGACGTCATCGGTGCTGACTAGTACGAGCTTTAGTCCGCTCAGGCTGGCTGTCGGACCTGTTGCTGGTAGGAATATACATACTTTGTTAATTTACGATGATAAATAACTATGCGTTTATGTCTGCATAGCTTAACAATTTAATATGTTCTTATTACCTGCCTCTAGTACAAGCTAACTAATTTACGTATATTCGTTGATGAGCACTAAACACTCGACTCACTCTACACTGAGGAAAAAAATTAATCAAACCAATTGAGATTTTAATTGGGCCAAATAAAAAATGTAGCTGACTATGTGACAGCTCACAAGTTTAATTAATTTGATTAAACTCTGATTTCTATAACGGCTTACTTGAATCTATGGAAGTAGTTCAATAAATTCATGGTTATAGTTCACTATACCCCTTACGCACGAATATTCCACTTGATCGTCATAATTAATCCACTCCATATCGGCACCATTAGAAGCTCTTTCCGAAAATCACAAATCTAATCGCGTTACCGGTACTGCGTCTGTCGCATGCTCCCGATTATTCACTAATAAAGGCAAGAGTCCTGTCGATGCGCGATTCAAATAAACAGTTTAATTATTTTTAATAAAGTGATTGAATGCCTTAAATGCCGCCTTTTCTGCATAAACTAAGTTACCTAAACTAATCAAACAGTTTTTTCAAGCAAATTGGATTTATCTGGTTCCAAAAATCCAGTGTAATTAAACCGAATGATTCAGTTGCTTAGAATGAGAAATAAGAAAATCACAAATGAAATTCAGTAGATCGTAGCGCGTGACTGACAGTGCGCCTGTCGTATACTCCCGATCATTCATGAATCAAGGACCGAGTCCTGCCGAGTCAAGTAAACAGTTTAATTGTTTTTATTAAAATGGTTGATTGTTTTAAATGCACCTTTCTACATAAACTAAATTACTCGAACTTATTAAACAGTTTTTTTCAAGCAAATTAGTTTGAAAGGATGTTAGATACTTTCAATAAAACTGGTTCCAGATAAGCCAGTTTCGTTAAATCGAATAAATCAGTTACTTAGAACGAGAAATAAGAAAATCACAAATGAAATTGAGGACATCGAAGCGCGTGACTGACACTGCGCCTGTCGTATACTCCCGACCATTCACGAATGAAGGACCGATCCCTGCCGAGTCAAGTAAACAGATTAATTGTTTTTATTAAAATGGTTAATTGTTTTAAATACACCTTTTCTACATAAATGAAGTTAATCAAACTAATTAAACAGTTTTTTCAAGCAAATGAGTTTGATAGAATATTAAATACTTTCAATTAAACTGGTTCCAGAAAATCCAGTTTGATTAAACCGAATAAATCAGTTACTTAGAATAAGAAATAAGGAAATCACAAATGAAACTGAGGAGTTCGAAGCGCGTTACTGGCGCAGCGCCTGTCATATACTCCCGATAATTCATGAATGACCGAGCCCTGCGGAGTCAAGCAGACAGGTTAATTGTTTTTATTAAATTGATTAATTGTCTTAAATGCCACCTTTTCTACATAAACTAGGTTATCTAAACTAATCAAACAGTTTTTTCAAGCAAATTGGTTTGATAGGATATTACTTTGAATTAAAGTGCTCCAGAAAATCCAGTTTAATTAAACCGAATGATTCAGTTACTTAGAATGAGAAATAAGAAAATAACAAACGAAACTGACGAGTTCGAAACGCTTTACTGGCACTGCGCCTGTCGTATATTCCCGATCATTCATGAATGAAGGATCGAGCCCTGCCGATTCAAGTAAACAGTTTAATTGTTTTTATTAAAATGGGTTATTGTTTTAAATACACCTTTTCTACATAAACTGAGTTACCTAAACTAATTTAACAGTTTTTTCAAGCAAATAAGTTTGATAGGATATTGCTTTCGATTAAACTTGTTCCAGAAAATCCCGTTTAAATAAACCAAATAAATAAGTTACTTAGAATAGTTAGAATATGTGTTACGGGCAATTTTACAGAAGAACGTTTAATTGACCTCATTTTTTCAGTGCAGTGCTTTAAAATACGTCTTTTACTTCATAACTATTAGAAGTTTTATGTGTTGGAAATATTGCGTTTTTTTAGACATCAATATGCGATTCACTATGGCGCTACATCCCTGTTAGCTTTGCTAGTAAAAAAACAGCATGAATTCGAAAAAAGACCAGAATACACCAAAATCTCTTTATTTGTTCAAATATAGGTAATATCTATGATTAGCCTTCCTGAAACTCACATTCACAAATTGTTATTGTGCCAGCAACCGTAAATGCTCTAAGGTAAGTACGTTATTTAAACAACCATTCCAGCCATTCTGAGTGGAGTGAATGAGATTTACAGACAACTCAAACTGCATTGCGGTAGCGCGAGCCTCTAACGACCTGTTTTGACATTTCCTCCCGGTGTGATATCGAAGCCATAAACTCTCATTACCGCAATATCTCCCACTGTTCCACTTTGAAATTTATTTTCGTTGCTATATATAAGTCAGACTTATTTTTACCGCCTTTTGAAAGGTCAGGGTATCATGTGCCTGAATTGTTACTGACCAAGTGCAGGATTAAAAAATAAAGCAACCTTTTTTATTATTAAGCTTTGCAGATAAGTTCATTTTTCTTTTCCGATTGCTGTTGTTTTGATGTGTCTTGGCTACCATAAAAGCTTTTCAGTCTTTCATTGTATGTTTAAGTGGATGTAGCTGTAAATAAGCGTTATTCATTCGCAAATTAGCGTAAGGAAAGTTCTGTATGGAGCAAGAAATATTATATTTTTTATTGACTTGAGGATTTTTTAAAAGTCGTTCGGCATACGAGGGTTTTTAGGCACTGAAAATAATCCAAATTTTGTGTACATTGCATCTATTTAATTTTCTCGTTTAATTATATTGGTGATCTTATATATTCGTCAACATTTTTCTATTTTAGTACTAGTTTGTTTACGCTCGAGGTATTTTTTTGTTATTTATATCTAAAATTCGTCCATTTCCTAATATTTACCTTAATATTTTTTCTAACCCTATAACAAAATACACCGAGACACGAAACTTACATAAAATGAGTTGATCGAGTATGCTACAGTAAAAACAAATGTTGAAACAAATAAATAAACTATTATGAGACTTCAACCTTTTTTTTATGAGTTTTTATTGTGATTGTGGAATCAACACGTTAGATTAAACCAAATTTTACATAGTAAAAATAGCTCTCCGCCTAATCTCTAGTTAGAAACGGTAAATATATTTTGAAAATCTGAAAATCCGCAAACTCCTTTTTGCCCATGTCCAAAATCCATTCTTAATTTGAGTATACTCTGTCTTTAGAGTATTGCCAATTTTAGGTCTCTAGCAAGATTTTCAAACAATTCCTTTATATCACATAATACGACCCTGCAGCAAAATCTGCTCTTAACCATCACCTACTACCTACGAGTATGAATGACCTAACTGCCAAATCATCTCCGGTAGAAAAACAAAGGATTTTCGCTCAAAGTTGTAAACGTTTATATCCACTCTCAATCCAGCCCTACCTACAAATCCATGCTTAGCTGAGGATTCCTTTCATAAATTACCTTCCTGCCAAATTTTATATTCATAGGCCAAATAATTTTCGAGATCTCGTGATTAACACTTATGTATCTAACCCCCCCCCCTTAATCCAGCCCTGTCGAAAAATCCCTTCTGAGCTGATATGTGATATCCATAAAGTACGTTTCTGCTAAATTTTATGTTAATAGGCCTAATAGTTTTCAAGATAAACTGTAATCAGTTGAATGAGAAAAAGCTTCAGCCTTTATTGGGTACTTCGACAAATAAGTGCAAAGTGTACTCTTATAGCTTTATTCTCTAGCTTTTGATGATCTGTGTCATCATCATCAGGAGAAAAGTAGGCTAGTTTGTTGCTAAATGTTATTAACTAAGTTAATGAGAATACTTAGTAACCATATGTAAACTGGATCCTTGATAGCAATAGTTAAAATTTATAAAACACGTATTGAAAACGTTTGGATTGATTGTTAAATTTTTTGATTTCGTTGGGCTGTTTTTTCGACACATGCCTATGTGTCTCACCTTCCTGATTATTTAGACGATAATGACCATGGCTCACGTTATAAACTGTAATCTATAGACTTGAAATTCGAGTTATTCTCAGGGCCGAAACTCCGCTTGTTGTTCATGATCCTTGCATTTAAACGAATGAAGTCAAAAGTAATGATAAATAAATCGGTGAAAACTTGATCACATATACAGTTATAATGACTATGTTGTTTTGATGAAGTTTTTAAAAAATACACCAAACATTTTTTTCTTTTTTCAGGTCGTGGTAATACAACATGCAACCTGTGCTTCAAAACATTCGCCTGCCATTCAGCTTTAGAAATACACTTCAGGAGCCACACCAAAGAGAGACCATTCAAATGCACAGTATGTGACAGGGGATTCTCGACAAAGGTAAGAAGATTGTTTTACGTAAATACCTAAATAACTGGAGAGCTGGAATAAAAACGTAAATTTCGAAAGCGAATTCAATTATGTCAGTGAGTTTATAAATATATTACAGTTCATATGTTAAACATTACGAAAGTTGAACCACAGTCTTGAAGGTTGGGACTTTCCTTTTCAGGGTCAACTACGATTGCAATGAAAAAATAATTGTATGAAAATACTCTCGCTATTCATTTGGTAAGGAATTTTAAGTACTCGTTTGTAAATAACTGCTTGGATTCGTCTCTGTTCGATCCAAAACATTTGGGGACTGTGTTCAACCAATTGGCTTCCGCATGATATAAACAAACATATGCGTATCTGATGGAAAGCAACATCGAGGACGAAGGCGATGTTCTGAGAACACCCGCGGAGTAACAATAGAATCTTGAAGATGCTCAATGCGGTCTGCTTATATGCTCACATAGTCATACGTTCTGACGTAGGAGGGGCTTGTGAGAGGGGATGGTTGTAGCGTCGTACTCATTTATTGCCTTTTGTAACCTGATATCTCAGTAATCTGAAAGCTTATTACTTCCTGATCTATACGCTCTGTAAAGGAGAGTCCCAGCTTTGGGGACACCCTGTATATACAGGGTGACTTTGAAGTTGAGTCATTAATTTTCAGATAATGATTGTAGAAGGAAGATAAACCAAAATATGTGTGTAAAAATAAAAAAAAAATAAAAAAAAAATTACCTTGTTTTATAAAGTATCCTCCCAACAAATATTTCAGTGCGGACCTGTATTGGATCGTGAGGTCTTGGAGCACCGGCATGCCCTTCCCTGCGAGGTCTTAAGTCACCTGATTCACGAGCCCGTTGTACTACATTAACAAAGGCACGAGGGGTTGGTTGCACTCGATTGGGAAACCGATCCGCATAAACATGTGCCATTTTTTATCTCGTTTGAGCCACGTAGCAAACACCACTATTCACTCACGCGTTACCGACTGACACATTGACTGAATAAAAACATCGTGATCAGCGTTTCAAATTCTTTCGCTTTTTTGTTTCCGATGCGATGAACCGATAAGGCGGATTATGTCCGTTGTTGCCAAACACGAGCGCATAATATTATTATTGATACAGGGCGGTACTCAAACTTCTAAAGGGCTATAACTTTGTTACTTTAATTTTACCACAAAAATGTTAAAGGAAAAAAACATTTCTTTTGATCAGATCTACTCACTGTTAAAATAAATGACTCAACTTCGAAGTCACCCTGTATAAATGTGAATATCTGTCCAGTCTGTCAGCATCATGTCTGAACCACGATACGTATAGACGTAAACAATTATAAATTTACTAGTTGAACATAAGGAAGGTTTTAGGCATGGTAGATCCGCGAAAATATACAGGGCGTTTAAAAAATATGCATAGATCAAATATCTCGGAGATACGTTTCTTTGAGAAAGATGCTGTAGAACAAAGATGAATGTTTCAATTTATCTCCTGATTATCTTGAGAGTGACCTTGAATATGATTTTCAAGGTCAAGATAGTTTTCTTAAATGAAACTCCTATTTTTAATCCCGGAAATGGCGGGAAATTAAACGTTAAAGTACGTAATATATTTTCTTATGACCTTGGTCAAGATCTTCATGGATTTTTGAGGTTGCCCTGGGGAAAGGGACAAAATATCTAGATAAAAACACTTTGTGTAATAAAGATGATAAGATTCATGTAATGGTGACCTTCAAGCTCATTCGAAGGTCAAAACAGTTTTATTTAATGGAAACCCCTTTTTTGATGCCGAAAATAAAAAAGTCGGAAACTATGTCCAACTATGAAGAGCAAATACATTATTAACGGGAAACTTCTGATTTAATCGCTGCGGAGAATTTTAAGTCGAAGGGTAACCTTGTTAATGAACCTGACCATGAGCTTCAAGGTCATTTTAAGTAAAGATGAATTCTAAAGTAAACTCCCTACATCTTGTCCTGGATTTAAAAAAGCGAAACATTGAAATTAATTTATTGTTGCATTAAAATTTTGGTTAAAAAAAACTATTGAATCACTTTGAATATGTAATTTCTTCTCCGAATACCAATCTCCACACTAATGCAAAACGTATGACCTATACTTTACACTACTTCAGTCTAGTGAGCAATAAAAATATGATCAATAAGATTCTTTTGCTATTCCTTGTCAAAACAACAAAAATATTATTTCGGACTTTTCCATTACTATTCTTACTATACATTATTGAGTTCTTTATAACTGGTGTATTTCTCAAAGACACAGTTCTATTATCTCCAAAAAAATTCAAATTGTATGGCTGATTATTTTGAAATGATCGACTCAGCTACTGATTTACTACCGTTTATTTCTCATATCAAGTGAGCGCGACATTTGTTTTCCTTCAATAAAATTCAAGATGAATCCTCGACAATTGCACCTAGTCATCGGAAAATTTATTATCCCTAGTTCAAAGTACCGACACGCTGCATACGAATATTTTGCATACGTCCTTGGTATTCACCGTTTCAGCATAACTGGAATTATTATCTCTCGCTGCCCTTACAAATGCCTTACACGATTTGCAACTACTTCTGTAATCGTTCGTACGCTGCATTTTATGATGGCGGCAACCATATAACAATGGACTCCTATACTTGCACGGAGATTTCTTACATTCCCAGGCTTATAACGCTTAGGTCATTACCACTTCTTGATAAAGATCTATTGACGTTGCTATTTAAGGAGAGTGTGGCTTGAAATATCCTTAGAAAAAAGTATCAAGAAAATGCATCGAGAAGAGTGAATTATTACAAGGTGCTTCCTGCTAGGACCGTGTTTCCCAAAGTGTGGTCGCTACCCTCTGGGGGAGGGGGGCTCGCAATGGGGTAGTAGGGGGTTGTCGCAAATTTACAAAATAAGATAAAAACTCCACTTTGTTAAATCATGTATTTCTATGATTGAGCTGATTTAAAAAAAATAGTTGTCAATGATTTTGCCAAGAAATCAATGGCCTAATACCAGAAAATTGAGCATTACTACGAGGAGCGCATGTAATCTATAACACATCGATCATACATTTATTTAGGGTCAAAATGATACGCAAATTTACCTGACAATATAAAGAAGAGTAATTAAAAAAAATAAATAAAAGAATGGCCAAATTAACACCAATTAATAGTTTTTGTTGATTAGCTATATCTTTATTTGTGTTTCGATTCCATGCACAACAATGGCCCACGTACAGGCAATGCCTCGTGCACATCCTTCTTCCATATTTTATTTACATATTTTCCATGCTGCGTTCAAGGAGCAAATAAATATGATTATCATTATTTTAATGACGCTGGAAATGAAAATTAATTCAGTTAAATGTAAAACATGTCTGAATCTAATTTGTTGAAATAAATCCATTGGGCCTTGATGGAAAACCGATTTCGATACTGCGTTTTTTGAGTTCTAATACAAATCATGGGTGGTATCATAAAAATGAGTCGGTATTCGTCGAAGGTAGACATGATGGCATTACATTATTTTTCAATTTATAAATTTGTCAATAAGGATAAACTAAGTGAATGATGGATAGTCTACTATGCTACTAGGTCTACTGATACATGTTTCATGGTGTAGTTCAAAATTCAACCTACTGTCAACCACTATGCCAACGTGTTTGAAAGGATCTACAAAATCAATATTTTTTCCACTAATTGTTCCGTATAAATTCGTAATATCATTTTTTCAAATAACACTGGACAACAAATTTTAGTTTTTTAATTGTATCTTGTGGGAAATGTGCACTTCTTTGTTAATTTTGGGGCGCTGAATCCAAAAATGACAATGAAATAAAAAAAATAGTTGCGGTTTAGAAAAAAACTTATTTTGTGCGGTTGGTGGCATGACGTGCTCGGAATAAAATCAGGATCTCTTGACATTGATGGCATATCTTCTTCCTGACGAATCACTCGATCGCCATGATCTGATTCGTTTTCTGATTCGCAAGTGTAGGATTCTGGTGGTTTTGGAATAGGATTTTCGTCACTGTGAGGCACAGGTCTCATCGCAGATGGTATGTTTGGGTAGTTAATAACCGATTTTTTTTTCTTGGACATACCTGCGGCTTGTCCAACACAAGGTACCTTGCAAAAGTAACAATCATTAATATGGTTTGTAGGCTCCCTCCAAACCATTGGGACAGCAAAGCGCATAGACCGTTTTTGCCATTTAACCAGCTCCTCAGACTTGAAGCACATGTATTACAGCAGATGTGGGGTGCCCACTGTTTGTCTTGATCACCTAGTTTACAACCGAAATAAAACTGATATACCTTTGTTATTAGTGGAGTAATAGACCGTCTCTGAGACGCAAAAGTCACATCACCACACACGTAACAAAACTGATCTGGATTGTTTACACACTTTCGAGACATCTTGCATGAACGCTGTCAGCCAACTGCGGAAAAAATGGCTAATATAAAACAATATAATGTACACGTATGTATAACGTAACACAATCATGCCGATTACACCATCTTTCCTTGCCGAATATAAAAATGTAGCACGTGCATTCTTGTGAATTACAGTATATTAACACTGTCACAGCAGGAACACATATAATTACCGTATCTCTAAAACTTGAACTAATATTGAAAAAATAAATTTCATTCCGGTTTTAGCACATTAAAAATAGTAATATTTTGTTGATTTTATTGAGGTTTCTTTGTGGCTGTTGATCAGTGTAATCGTACCTTTTGTCTATGTCCAATATTGATAGACATTAGCCATTCTGATACAAGTTTTAAAAAACTATTAATGAAAGAGATACCAGATTGAAAATTTTGAATATTTACATAAGTCACAGCAGCATTACCAAAAATTTAAATTTTGCAATTTTTAAGTACACTGCGCAAATCATTACAGTGGTCCCAGGACCCTGTGGGACTCCTAAGTAATTTCCATCTTTGATGAAATAACTATACTTATCTTAGTTATTTGCGTCCTGTTGGTCAGATAATCTGAAAACTATCTTGAATGAATGAATCTTGAATTTTAGAGGCATCCCGGCCACCATAAGGAGCCAGTGCATAGGCCGCTTAAGCGGGCCCTTATGCACCTGAAAACTATCTTAATATGTCTCCAGATTCACGATTTGTGTTGTGTCCAATTTACTTAACACTATGTTTCAAATGCTCATTTCAAGTCGAGGAATCATAACATTAATTATATCAAGTATATGAAATGTATGTGATTGAATTTATTTATTTTCGCTGTTACAATAGACCGAAGACATCTCAGATTAACAGCTTTGGCCTGGTGCCAACTTGCTATAAGTTAGGCGCTTCTGTGTCTGAGAAGTCTATTTTAGAAAAGGAGAAGAATTCACTCTTTGTCGGGCATTCTTGTCCCGTCAATAGGGGACAGATATGCAGACGGATTTTTTAAGGGTCGGATCGAGATATTCAGAAGAATGGCAGCCACATTAAGCCGTGAGGGAATGTAATAAATTTGCTGTTGCAGGATGTCGTTATGCATATTTTTGAAACAATTACCGAATGCATTGTGGATGGAAGTATGTATCTGGCACACTTTTAGCATGCGAACGGTCCTTTTTAGAGTTGCAGGTTGTATTTTTGTAATGCTTAATGGACTTCATTTGGATGCCTGATTTAAAACGTGGCAATTGCTACACAAGGTGATTGCGAAAATCATGGTAATCCTTCAGGTTCAAAAAGTTAACATGAAAAGTTCTTAATAAATACTGTTATACAGGGTGTAATTTGATTGATCAAGAAAAGTTTATATGAACGTATGTCCTAAACCTCTTACTTACTACTGAGCTACCAGGCCTTAGAATTTTACGAATTTTTTTTATCATAACTTTAATGCTGTTCTAGATATTTTCATGAAATTTGACATGCGCCTACTAAGCACCAATAGGCATTTTGTGATGCAGAATATTTTTCAATATTTCTACCAGTGGCGTCCGTACGGGATATACAGGGTGTTTCAGTTTATTGTTGCATAACTTTAAGATTCGATAGAACTTTTAAAATTAATGCATAAGTCTATATAAACATGGGTCGAAAAATGCGTGGCTTCCGAAATACAGGGTGTTCAAATTTACTTTCTAAAATCGTTTTTTTTAAATATTTCGAACAATATTTGATGTATAACAGTGAAAATTGGTATACAAGTGTTCTTTGGTACGACAAAACGAACCATGGGCATAGTTTTACTGTAGCCGCTAGAGGGCGCTCTCTACTGTACCTGTAGTGTATTAAAATGACCGAAAATTTTTTCTTAGTGCAATTTTTTGCTTTTTGAATAAAAAAACTGATCCTTCGCACTTTTCAGCATAAAAAAGCTCTCTTGTGAATTTTCGCTATAGTTAGCCGTTTTTGAGATATTTCGATTTTTAAGATTCGATGCATTTTTAATTATTTATGATAAAATAACGTTAAAAAGTCAGTATCTCGATAATTTTTAGAAATAGGCTGTGCCTGCAAATATTTTTGAAATTGAAAGCAGAATAAGGTTAAACGTCAATTAGATGACAGTTAGTTTTGTTGTCTGTTGAAACTTGAAACGTTTTTTTGCAATTGTGAATGCACGATATTTAGTTTCTTTTACCTGTTTTTCTTGTAAGTTTTATAAAAATGCCATTTTTATTCTCCAATCAAGAGTTAGCGGATATTCATTTTGTGTATGGCTTTGTAAATGGAAACGTAGCAGAAGCAGCCAGAGAATACGCACGAAGATTTCCAGACGATATCCAACTCGCTCAGTATTTGTAAGAGTGCATCGCCAAGTAATTGAAAATGGTTTTGGAAATCTCCAAAGGGATCAAAACATGTGGGATGATGTTATGTTAGATTTAAGAAGATTGGCCTGGTTCCAGCTTGATGGTTGTCCAGCTCATTATTCGAGAATAGTTAGAAACTGGCTGGACGAAAATTATTCAGAAAGATGGATCGGCCGTGGAAGACCAGTCGCCTGGCCTCCACGATCCCCTGACCTAAATCTATTAGATTTCTTTGTGTGGGGATTTCTAGAAGAAAATGTGTACCAGACTCCCGTAACCACAAGAGATATGCTAATAGACAAAATCAGGAATGCATGTGATGAAATAAGGCCTTATTTGAATAATGCTATACCACGTTCGATCATTCGTAGATGTGAATTGTGTATTGAACAATTGGGTTCACATTTCGAGCAACTACTTTAGATTTTGTATGTCTGTCCTAACTATCCAATAGCATTTTAGTTGTAAATAATTAATTTAATTTGTTAAAAATAATATTGGAAAATTGAACAAATTAATATTCTGTTTTTTGTGTTTATTTGGAGTTGGGAATTATTGCTGTGTTTAAAAACACAATCTAAACGATCATCTTAATTACTTATAATGCCCAAATCGAAAAGGTAAAAAAATAAATAATATTTTTTTCCCATAAATAATTAAAAATGCATCGAACCTTAAAAATCGAAATATCTCAAAAACGGCTAACTATAACGAAAACTCACAGGAGAGATTTTTTTATGTTGAAAAGTGCGAAGAATCAATTTGTCGGTCATTTTAATACACTGCAGGTACAGTAGAGAGCGCCCTCTAGCGGCAACAGTAAAACTATGCCCATGGTTCGTTTTGTCGTACAAAAAGACCCTTGTATACCAATTTTTACTGTTATACATCAAATATTGTTCGAAATGTTTAAAAAAAACTATTTTAGAAAGTAAATTTAAACACCCTGTATTTCGGAAGCCACGCATTTTTCGACCCATGTTTATATAGACTTTATGCATTATTTTTGAAAGTTCTATCGAATCTTAAAGTTATGCAACAATAAACTGAAACACCCTGTATACTGGAGATTTTTCAAAAAAAAATATGGTGCGTCATTGCTTTTTTCAAAAAGCTAACATATTTTAAAATTCTCATATCTTTTGCAACTGTAGAGGAACTAAGGCAGAAAATTTTACTTCCTTGTCATACCATAGGAAATACTTCTGGGGGTTTTTAAAGGGTTGGCCAATCCATGAGAAACAGAATTGAAGCCTGTATGCTAGAAGGAGGACATTTTCAACAATTCTTGTGATAATTAAATTAAATAGCATTAGTTTATTTGATCTACAGAAATTATCAAAACTTGTTTTTTTTTTATTTTCATGCATTGCAAAATCGCTAAAATGTGGTAGTTTGTAGGTAAGATGGGTTCTTGTTTAATTTTTATTGAAGTCAGTTGATTAAAGTAGCCAAAATAGTTTTTATTTTTCACACGAAAACGGTGCATCGGACGCAAAAAAGTCAAGAGGTCAAATTCGTCGCAAAATAATTTTATTTTCGGAAAAGGCAATGGCGTACTATATTTTTTTGGAAAATCTCCAGTATCCCCTACGGAAATATTCTACATCAAAAAATGCCTATTGGTGCTAGTAGGTGCATTTAAAATTTAATGAAAGTATCTAGAGCAGTACCTATTAAAGTTATGATAAGAAAACGATCTTTTTCTTAAGATTTTAACACAATCTATCTCAAAAGTCGGGAGGTTGAGAACTTTTCTTCATAAAATGAAGCCATCAATTAAATTACACCCTGTTTAGGATGCTGCAGATTTAATTTCGAAATGGGGTGTGTCGAGATATTCGCTTAAATTTTTGTACTATAGCGTAGTCAATACATATAAAAGGGTTCGCGCCTGAGAATGCATCAGTGGCGCAGGTGTTGAGACTTTTTCTCTCCAGAAAAAAAGTATTTTTTACGCGACTGACTTCTTTAAACATGTACAGTGCATCCTTCCATTCAAGTAAGCTTCAAGAGAATGTAACCTGTAACGCGAAATGTTTGTTGGATTATATTTTACGAAGTACTGAAATATGTTAATATCTTCTGGTGTAGGGTATGCTTAAGATATTTGAAATCCATCCGTTTAGTATTTGATGTGGGCCGTTGTATTTCAGGATGGTTGCGCGTGCGTAGCACAGAGGCGTATCCAGGAAGAATTCGAACCGTGGCGGGGGTCTAGAGATAGAGAAAGAGACAGAAAATCCCATTCTTCACTTCACAAGAGCATTCCCTCCATTTTTCCACTACCGATGACACCTGGATACGCCTCCTCTAGAAAGACGGTAAGTCAACGACTATCGCTGATGCTGCTTTTCGACCAATCACCAATCTTTTTGTGCTATGTTGATCAATAGTATGGGCGACAGAGTTGCGAAGTGCTTTTACTCTTTAGAGTACAGCTTGAGGGTGCATGAAGGCAGCGAGTGTCAATAGTCTTTGGAAGGCAGTCAAAAATGATTTTCCTTGTCTTAACGTTCAACAAACGTTTTAAAACGAAATCTGAGATACCCGATCAATTCGTCCAGCATGGAGACATCCTATAATTGCTAGTTATCACAAATTTGTTGCTGTTTCTTCACGTATATAGGTTCTCCGCTCTAACAACATACTTGTTTGCTTCATCACTAACAAATAGTGCATTGCGTAATACTTATCCATCTGGGCAGACCTTAAAGTTGGATAAGCTTATATTTGGTAATTAATACCAACACTTATGCAAATAATTATGGGTTTCTGATGTGCTTAAAATGAAACATTTTTAAATGGACCATGTCGTTTTTGCCAACTGTTTTAGACTACTTTCACACCCAACAAAATGATTATCCACATTGCGAATGTTATTTAAATTGCCACATTTTTCAAAGAAATATTCTAGGATATTTTTTTAAACAAGGACCGTTTCTTGATGGAGTCCAAGAAGCTCTAGCCAAGTTGCACCACAAAAATGTTTTAGGTTTATTTGAGGCTTAAAACGTTTTTATTGTAACAAATAAAAAAATGATGGTTGTAAGGTTATCTTGCAGATATATACTAAGTGACATATAAATCCGAACACCCAGTTTAAATGGTTTTATTTTAATAAAATTTTGTATAAGTATTTAATGAAGCATAATAAGTAAATGATAAAAATTTCAAAATGATTGCACTGCTTTAAAGCCCTTTGACCTTTAATAATGTGTGGATGCACCCTGATGTGCTACGCATTCTCCAACGCGCCTAGGCATGCTTCTGATCAGGTGGTTAATGTCCTCCTGTGGTATCTCATTCCAGGCAACCACCAACTCCTCTCGAAGTGCTTCTAAAGTCTGAGGAGGACGTTGCAAATTGAGCAATCTCCTACCCATCATATCCCACACGTGCTCAATTGGGGATAAGTCGGGAGATATTGGTGGCCATGGTAACAATGTGACATCATTATGTTGAAAGAAGTCTATTGTGACTCTTGCAACATATGGTCGGGCATTATCTTGTTGGAAAGTTGGATCTGCCAAGGTGTCAAGATAGGGTAAAAGATGGGGTTCTAGAACTTCGCGGATATAACGCTGCGCGTTCATGTTACACCTGGTGAAGATTAAAGGTGACCTGGAACCATAAGCTATAGCACCCCACACCATAACTCCAACAGTGTGATGAACATGTCTTTCAACAAAAAACTGTGGATTCCTCCTTTCACCACGTCGTCTTCTAACCCTGGCACGACCATCGTGCATGCCTAAACAAAATCGAGACTCGTCACTAAAGACAATACTGTTCCATTCCTGATCCCAGAGTGACCGTTGTCTGCACCACTCAAGGCGATTACGTCGGTGTTCTCGAGTTAAAGGGAGGACCCAGTGTGGCCGGTATGAAAACAAGCCAAAACTTCTCATTCGTCGGTAAACACTTCGCATGCCAATAGGTCTTCCGTGTTCTGCAAACCATTCGTTTGCAATGGACCTGGTAGTGGAGAAACGGTCCCAGAAGGCCAATAATCTTAGGCGGCGATCTTCACGGTCTGTTGTTCTACGGCGGCGTCCAGTGCCCCTTGCTCTTTGCGTACGGCCTTCTCGAAGCCATGCCTGACAACACCTAACCACAGTGTCTACACTTCTTTGCACTCTAACTGCAATTGCCCGAAAAGAAAGTCCAGCTTCGCGAAGCCCACTATACGGGCCCTATCAAACTCACTAAGTTGACGAAATCGTACAGGTCTCCGTACTCTAGGCATCGTAACCGATCGTAAAGGATGTCAAGAACCGAAATCCGCCAACGTTGATTCTTTACTGCGGCTGAAATATTCATTTTTAGAGCGTTAGTGAATTAAAAAAAAAGCAGTATAAAAACCGGAATGTCCAACTGATAAGGCTGAAAATTTTTTCACTTGTTATTTACAGTAAGATAAATACATTCACCAACTTTTATTAAAATAAAACCATTTAAACTGGGTATTCGGATTTATATGTCACTTAGTATAGTACCAGAACTTTAACACTCCATACTGGGTCTAAATGATCTATTAAGATTATCAAATAAGATCAATCAGTTTTAAAATGGCTTAATTTAATTATTTATTTATTTATTTACTTTAATATTAAAACGTTCAAAATTATAGATAAAATTATTGTCTTTCACGTGTTTTTTTTTTTATTTTTTTAATTATAAGGCTACGGAAATTTTGTGGCACCTGGGTTTTTAAGACTTTTTTTGTTGACATTTACCGATAAAGACGGGCGCAAGTATTTTCCTATCTTGACAGTTCGAAATAACCAACAACCTTTACAGATAGGTACCTATATTAATAATTCTTATAAAAACTGATAAGCCTATTATTATCTTCAAGCTTCTCTAGTGTAATAACAAATGGGTATATGTATAGTTTCAAAGAAGCATTTTCATTTAATGCCTATAGTAACAATATGATAAAGTAACCTTAAAAGAATACACTCAATAATCATTTTAAAACTGCGTGTTCTTAAAATCTATTTAAACTGGTACACTTCCACAGCACTTTTAGAACCAGTTGGTCAAATTAATGAAGTTTTATCATGTCTTCTGTTTTTTGTTTTATTGCCGCTTTCAGCGTCGGCCCTTTTATGCTGAGGCGAGTTTATTACAACCTTAAGGTTTATTTAAAAGCGAATCGGTTTTAATTGCAGTTTTACTTCACAGTTTTAATGCAACCCTTTCGGTGCTACTTGGGTATTTATGAACTCGAATTGTTTAACAAAGCAACATATGAACATTTTTACTTTTCAATATAGTCACCATAAATATTGAATCCCGTCGTTAAAGAGCACTGCCGCCTGTCTGTTAAACCAGTTAGCAACAATTTCTTTCAAGATGTCAGCAGCGTCCAAGCACTTTCCACCAAGAAATCTCTTAAGCTTTGGAAAAGGTATAAAAGTAAATCCAAGTAAATCCCAACGAAACTTGTCTGTGTTCCTGCATGTCGCAGCGTGAAACCGAGCGTTGCCGTGAAGCAGAACGACGCCGCTAGACAGCTGACTTTTTGCGTTTAAAACCCAAATTACCGAGCACACTTCCTAACCGACGATCACAAAACTAACACAGACAGAGCTGCCAAACGTAATGGCGGTGTGGTGAAAGAATGGCCATGGGTGTCTGAGGTTGAACGGATGTGCTAAATGTCGCCTCTTCAGAATTGTTCAATCAAGAAGCTGTTCAGAACTTATTCCTAAAGGAGCTTTCAATGTAATTTCCACTCAGAAAATTCATCCTCATTCTTACTACGATGCTGTGACTGTTTACCTTTGACAACAAACTACTACTACAGAGTATCCATTACGGTAAAATAACAGCTGATTATCTAATAATATTTCAAAATGTCTAATGTCGACAAGTGACACAATTTTTTTTGTGCGGTACGGATTCATTTTATACCCGCTAAAAACGCCTTTACTAAGAAAAGTTCTTTTGCATACAAAAAAGCGCGACAAGCAAAGTAGCTGCTAAGCATCATAACTTTAATACAAGTCATGTAGAAATGGAATGAGATACACTGATGACTTTGATAATAATCTATAACTTGAAACAACTTATGATTTTAAAGGCAATGAATCAGCCATATTTGAATAACGTTGCATTGATGACGGATAATTAGCCAGAAACACGCGCCCATATTATTTTTACATGTAAAATTACAGCTACTGGAAAGGATAACACAGTCTGTTCTAGTGACCTCGTAATCAAAAAAATCCAAATGTACTATAATAAATTTCCTAACAAACATTTTTCTATGTGTATTTCTATCGTATATTTCATAGTCAAAATTCGCAGTCACTACAAGTATCTAGATATGTTAACAACAGCTCTGAATACGGTCTTAAGTTTTACCAGATTTACACCCGATTCTTTAGGGAGTTATTAAAATACTGCCATCGCTATTAATACCGACCTTACACCAAAAATGACCAGTAGAGACTGATCTTAAAATTGTTTTATAATTAGAGTTATTGGAAAGTTATTGGTATTATATATCTGGTATATCTTGTTTAAAGACTGATTCAATTCCAATAATATTTTTAATTATACTAAGTGACATATAAATCCGAACACCCAGTTTAAATGGTTTTATTTTAATAAAATTCTGTATAAGTACTTAATGAAGCATAATGAGTAAATGATAAAAATTTCAAAATGATTCCACTGCTTTAAAGCCCTTTGACCTTTAATAATGTGTGGATGCACCCTGATGTGCTACGCATTCTCCAACGCGCCTAGGCATGCTTCTGATCAGGTGGTCAATGTCCTCCTGTGGTATCTCATTCCAGGCAACCACCAACTCCTCTCGAAGTGCTTCTAGAGTCTGAGGAGGACGTTGCAAATTGAGCAATCTCCTACCCCTCGTATCCCACACGTGCTCAATTGGGGATAAGTCGGGAGATCTTGGTGGCCATGGTAACAATGTGACATCATTATGTTGAAAGAAGTCTATTGTGACTCTTGCGACATGTGGGGTTCTAGAACTTCGTGGATATAACGCTGCGCGTTCATGTTACCTCTGATGAAGATTAAAGGTGACCTGGAACCATAAGCTATAGCACCCCAAACCATAACTCCAACAGTGTGATGAACATGTCTTTCAACAAAAAACTGGGGATTCCTCCTTTCACCACGTCGCCTTCTAACCCTGGCACGACCATCGTGCATGCCTAAACAAAATCGAGACTCGTCACTAAAGACAATACTGTTCCATTCCTGATCCCAGAGTGACCGTTGTCTGCACCACTCAAGGCGATTACGTCAGTGTTCTCGAGTTAAAGGGAGGACCCAGTTCGGCCGGTATGAAAACAAGCCAAAACTTCTCATTCGTCGGCAAACACTTCGCATGCCAATAGGTCTCCCGTGTTCTGCAAACCATTCATTTGCAATGGACCTGGTAGTGGAGAAACGGTCCCTTAAGGCCAATAATCTTAGGCGGCGATCTTCACGGTCTGTTGTTCTACGGCGGCGTCCAGTGCCACTTGCTCTTTGCGTACGGCCTTCTCGAAGCCCTGCCTGACAACACCTAACCACAGTGTCTACACTTCTTTGCACTCTAACTGCAATTGCCCGAAAAGAAAGTCCAGCTTCCCGAAGTCCCACTATACTGCCCCTATCAAACTCACTATGTTGACGAAATCGTACAGGTCTCCGTACTCTAGGATCGTAACCGATCATAAAGGATGTCAAGAACCAAAATCCGCCAACGTTGATTCTTTACTGCGGCTGAAATATTCATTTTTAGAGCGTTAGTGAATTAAAAAAAAGCAGTATAAAAACCGGAATGTCCAACTGATAAGGCTGAAAATTTGTTCACTTGTTATTTACAGTAAGATAAATACATTCACCAACTTTTATTCAAATAAAACCATTTAAACTGGGTGTTCGGATTTATGTCACTTATTATATGATGTTTCGCTATTGTGTTTGTACTTCTTCGTGTGTTACAACTCGCTGGAGGTAAATATCAGTCCATGATTTTCAACAATTATAGTAGTACACAATAGTATCGAGAAAAACGGCAAAGGAAACTACTTTCCATATGTAATTTCTTTTATCTGCGAAAACTAATATAAAAGGTAAGGTTATGCGCACAAAAAAAAAAGAAAAAAGTCTTGACTCTCCCACGATTTTAAGCGTCCTATAATAATGGCAGGCACTAACTTTATTAATTCCAAGTCTTATTTTTATTTTACTGTTCAGATGTCAAATACGCCAAGGAATTATTTATTAGGTTCGGTAACTATTGCCAACGTTACAGACTAATACAAAGATGTCACTTACCGATCAGCTGTTTATCTCAGTAGTTATCAAAACGTAATGGATACTGGCGAAACAGTTGCTATATTTTTGATAACCTCGTTTTCTTTTGTTTCAGGGCAACATGAAGCAGCACATGCTGACGCACAAGATCCGCGACATGCCCCAGCACATGTTCGACAACAAACCCCCCGGCCACCCCGCACCGCCGTCCTTGTGCAGCGACGATTCTTCCGCCTCCTTGCCGCCCACCATGTCATCCGCGCAGCCGTTAGAGGGCGACCAACCGCCCCCGGTGCAGCAACAAGGGCACCAAACGCCGCCCCAACAGCCCGCCCAGGTCAAGACGGAGCCCGACGGGCAGCAAATCAAGAGGGAGCCCACGGAGACGGAACTGCCGCTGCCCAAACGGCCGCCCAGTGAGTACCTTTTCGGCTTATATGTTTTTTTATTCGTTGTGGTGTGTTTTGGGACGATTGTTTGATGATGTGAGCTGCTATCGTGTTTGATTTGTTAAGTTAAAGCGTCTGAAAAGACGAAAATGGATAATGGAGAAATTTAACGGATCAAGTTAGTCCGATAATTTCCGTCCATCTGGCAACGTTGCCCCTTCCCGTAACTATCAAGCAGATCATTACGCCGGGCGCTGAGCCCAGATAGCAGAAGGAGACGCGTATCGAAAACATTTCACTATCTTTCTAAGCTTTATAGGAAAACGTACGGGGAAACCTATGATGTTTGACGTATGACTAACAGCTAGAATTACCAAAGTTGAGAGTGTATAAATATAATTACATAAAAAAATTCGGATATATGTGGACGCCCCATCTCCCTACGCCACAATGGATTACCCAAAAAAAAAAATTCAAAAATGATCAGGATCCTCTGGATCCTCAAAAAACAAAGTGTTCCCCGCCACTACTAGATCAATATTCAAAAACGAAGCATTTTCATCCTTGGCATAGTAGTAGCCTTCTGTAGGAATAATAACAGTTATAATAATAATTTTCTTCAATCGGTTAATCAAAAGGCGGAGTTCACATAGCGTGCCTTCCACTCAGCCTTACAATAATACAAAAAAAAATGGTAAAAATAAAATAATGAAAATAGAAAGTATGAGCTGAATGTTTCACTGACTCAATTAAAGGATAAAAATTGAATATATAAATAATTACATTTCGTACTTACTGTTGTTTTTAATATAAGATTTAATTGTCTTCTTAAATGGGGATTCCTTTAGCTCCACAAACTCATGAGGGTTGTTGTTATATTCCTTAGGTATTTTGGTATCTGAAACTCCTTTCATATATAGTGATTTTATGTGTAGGAAGAGTGCTGAGAATTCTGGATCTTCTTCTTCTTCCTTCTTTATTAATAGGCTCGTGCCTGTTTTACTTCGGTTTTTAGCCTCAATTGATGTTGTCTGACCATTTTTTCCTAGGTCGTCACATTGACCTTATTCCATTTGGCGATTTGTCTCTTGCTATTCGTACTGTTCTACTTTCTGTCATTATTTCTATGTCCATTCTATTTTTCTTCTTTTGGTCCACAGGTTTATTTCCTGTACGCCACATCTCGCACGTATTTCCTCACTTCTTACTCTGTCTATTAGCGTTTGGTTTGTTATTTTTCGTAAGACTTTCATTTCTGCTGTTTCCAATAATCTTTGTGTTTTCGCCGTGACGGCTCTTGTTTCCGCTGTGTACGTCACTATCGGTCTTATTGTTGATTTATATATCCTAGTTTTCGTTTCCGTTATGAGGTATTTGTGACTCCAGATTGTATTGTTGAGACATCCTGCTGCTGTGTTCGCCATGTTCACTTGTTTTTGTACTTAATCTTCCACTTTTCCCTAGCTTGACAGTATTCCGTTTCCATCACTTGTTCTATTATTTTGTTACTTAAGACCACATCGTCTCTGTTCCGCTGATATCACTATCGATTTAGTTTCCTCTGTTGAAATCACCATGTTGTATCTTCAAATTCTTTAATTAATCTTTATAGGTCATCTTCATTTTCAGATATTATTATGGTGTCGTCGGCGAAGCATACTATCTGAATTTTCTTTTTTTAACTTTATTTATGATTTCATCCATTATCAGATTATTATATTATATTAGTGAGCTCAGCGAATCCCATTGTCTAATGCCATTTACTTACTTGATAGGTTGCGAGAATTTTCCTTTACATCTTACCATAGCTATATTATCTTTATATATATTCTCAACAGTTTTTACTAAATCCAGTGGTATTCCCCTGTCATATAATAAATGTATCGCGTCCCGAATTCTCATTCTAGCAAACGCTTTCCTCAAATCTATCAGGCACATATATGCTGGTTTGTTGTATTCCAGCGACTTTTATTTTATTTGTTTTATTACAAAAACTGCATGAGTGCATGATCTTCCTGTCCGAAATCCTTGCTGTTCCTCTTGCAGAGTTATTCGTTCGTTTATTTTCGTCGCTATTATTCTTGTTGTCAAATTGAGTGTTGTATTTAACAAATTTGTTGCTCGATAATTATTGGGGTCTTGCTTATATCGTTTCTTGAAGAACATCAGCATGATCGCTCTCCTCCATTCATCTGGTATTCTGTTCGTGGTAATTATTCTTTGAATAAGGAGTTGCAGTTGTTGGACAAGGTAATCACCTCCATATTTGGTATTTGATCTTCTCCTGGTGACTTTCTATTTTTTTAATTTATTTATTCCTTGTTTCACGTCTTCTTGGGAGATTTCCGTCATTTCATCAGTTGTTATATTTGGCGTTTCTGGATCTAATATTAATATTGTGAACTTTTAATCCAAATTTAATATATTTATACATGATGGCTCTCTTGTGTAATAATTTTATGATACAAGGTAATTACAGCGATTTTGTATATATTTCTCATCTTGATCCATTTGGTTTCTAAAAATTTTTCCGAAATATGATCATACTTTCCTAACACAAGAATTTTGAAGAATCTGAATTTTCTTTTTCAATTACACACTGCTGGTATATAGGTGAAAGGTACCAGAACAGTGACAGTACAAAACTCAAGTTTTTTCTTTGCACAGGGTATCAAATATATATATTATATATACTATAACGTCATCTGCTGCCCACCCTATTCTGAATCAAAATTAAAACAAAACGCTCTTAACTGCCAAAGTCCTATTCAGCCTCCTAAAATAGTCCCACTCATATAGATTATCAAATTTCGACAACCAGTAAACACATTGATAATTAGCCTATGAGCATTCGAGGTATCTATGTCATGCATCGATGCCAAAATCCCATTCGTCATAGGTTAAAATCAACTTATTATGCATTGCTTACTCATATCTAATTCTATTTTGAATAGAGATATATGACTACAGACAGACATATGAAAAGTATGTGATTAAATACAGAGTGTCATGAAATTTGGGAGCGTCATTTTCAAAAACCACTACGCTTGAAATAACCGAGCTAATGTGTGGAGGAACAGCAGCTTGGACTGCTCGTACAAAAGGGTACAATCCATCAGCTTACACTTTAGCCGCCTGGAGACTTGCTCTCGTCTAGCCACTTTCCTAGTGCTTGTTGAAGGATCTTTGTCTATGCAATACTTTTTCCTAAGTTTTCATCATTCGGGGATGTCTAGATCTCAGACTGTTCCCACCTCATAATTCTTGCAAAATAACCTGTATCCCTAGCTCTTTTTTAAACTAATCTACACGGCCGTGAATGAGAACGCCTGGGAAAGCGATCTGCCTCACTCGCGAAGCCTCGGTAGCATTTTGAAGACGCTTGCCGTAAATTCAAATCATGAAGACAAGTTCGGAATTGTTGTTTGTGCCATTTTGGCTTTAATAAATGTTCTGTTTGCTTATGCTGCTAGCTAGGGTTTAGTACCGATGTACGTTGTGCCTTCTCACTTTTGATCTCATCGAGATACAGGAGCGGATTAGGTTTGAAGCCTGATATCTCTCCTAGAAAAAACCTCTTATCATATCTTCTGATCGATAAACAAAAGTTTACGAAACAGAATGTACGTCAATCTACGAATCAGCATTAGTGACGTCACCCGTATTTGTGACAAGTGGCAGCTGTGACAGATGTCAAGCAACTAGCTGACTTCTGCTCGGTCCGTTCTTTAATAGCCTTAGCGATAAATTTTTTTATTTTAGCAGATTGTTAGCCAAGTGTTGAAAATTCACTTTCTCTAAGTAACTCTTTTAGTTTCAGTTTGTTGCACAGGGTAACTGCTAATTTGCCGTATCCTTCCAGGACGTTGTATGAGACCTAAAATGCAATATATTTCTATGTATGTGCAGGCAAAAATCAATAGTTTTTGAGAATATTTGATTTTTGTGATTTCTTAACAATCACCAGATACTGAGTATTTCGCCATTAATAATTAAACCTTTATGTGATAAATGCGGGAGAATCCAACTAATTTTGATATTTCATACTTACATTGAGCTTATAGAACGATAAAAAAAGGCACAAAATTACGACACTCAATAAACTAATTGCGTTTTCGTTTTCAGTTTCCTTTAAAATAAAATTGTTCCCAAGACAATGACCGTACTGGGAAGTAAAATTGCAAAAAGTGATAAATGTCAAACACTATCAATTTTCAAGTGGAATATAGAAATTTGTCGTATTTTAGATTCTCTATCACACACTAGAAGGGAAAATGAAAAGTATGTTTGCATCCCTAGTGACTAAAAATTTGCATGCGTGCTTAGAAATGAATTTCTTTGAAGTAATAGTTATTTATATATCTAGAGAGACTTAAACTCATACTACGCTGGAGACACAAATTTTTTTTTCACTGCTAATCCAAGAAATCTCCACTCTTGACCTGGCAAAGGCATTCCTGCTGTAATATATTCTATAATTATTTATCATTCATGAAAATCGTTTCATCAAAGAGATAGATACATACAAATTCAAATGGCCGGATCTTAGGCCATTAGGAATGTGTTCCAATGACGAACCTGTCAAAACTCAGCGTTGCCAGACGGATCTAGCAAAATTTTCCCAGAACGAGTACAAAAATTAGTCAGATTTGTAATAAAAAAAAACAAATCACCGTTAATTAGGTAATGGAAAGAGGTACAGCTGGCTCAAAAAACCAATGGATGCTTTCCATCCAAGAAATGTCTAATGTCTCCGAGAAAATTATATCCCCAAGAATTTGATCAATAAAGATCCCGCAAATTTGAGGAAAATCCTCCAACATGGCAACCCTGTCTAAGCACCACTGGTACTACAAGCATCACGTTTCAACAACACGAACAGCGTTGCCATAGTTTCTGCTAGCATATACTAAGTGACATATAAATCCGAACACCCAGTTTAAATGGTTTTATTTTAATAAAAGTTGGTGAATGTATTTATCTTACTGTAAATAACAAGTGAAAAAATTTACAGCCTTATCAGTTGGACATTCCGGTTTTTATACTGCTTTTTTTTAATTCACTAACGCTCTAAAAATGAATATTTCAGCCGCAGTAAAGAATCAACGTTGGCGGATTTTGGTTCTTGACATCCTTTACGATCGGTTCCGATGCCTAGAGTACGGAGACCTGTACGATTTCGTCAACTTAGTGAGTTTTATAGGGGCCGTATAGTGGGACTTCGGGAAGCTGGACTTTCTTTTCGGGCAATTGCAGTTAACACTGTGGTTAGGCGTTGTCAGGCATGGCTTCGAGAAGGCCGTACGCAAAGAGCAAGGGGCACTGGACGCCGCCGTAGAACAACAGACCGTGAAGATCGCCGCCTAAGATTATTGGCCTTAAGGGACCGTTTCTCCACTACCAGGTCCATTGCAAATGAATGGTTTGCAGAACGCGGAAGACCTATTGGCATGCGAAGTGTTTACCGACGAATGAGAAGTTTTGGCTTGTTTTCATACCGGCCACACTGGGTCCTCCCTTTAAGTCGAGAACACCGACGTAATCGCCTTGAGTGGTGCAGGCAACGGTCACTCTGGGATCAGGAATGGAACAGTATTGTCTTTAGTGACGAGTCTAGATTTTGTTTAAGCATGCACGATGGTCGTGCCAGGGTTAGAAGGCGACGTGGTGAAAGGAGGAATCCACAGTTTTTTGTTGAAAGACATGTTCATCACACTGTTGGAGTTATGGTTTGGGGTGCTATAGCTTATGGTTCCAGGTCACCTTTAATCTTCATCAGAGGTAACATGAACGCGCAGCGTTATATCCACGAAGTTCTAGAACCCCATCTTTTACCCTATCTTGACACCCTGGCAGATCCAACTTTCCAACAAGATAATGCCCGACCACATGTTGCAAGAGTCACACTAGACTTCTTTCAACATGATGATGTCACATTGTTACCATGGCCACCAAGATCTCCCGACTTATCCCCAATTGAGCACGTGTGGGATATGGTGGGTAGGAGATTGCTCAATTTGCAACGTCCTCCTCAGACTCTAGAAGCACTTCGAGAGGAGTTGGTGGTTGCCTCGAATGAGATACCACAGGGGACATTGACCACCTGATCAGAAGCATGCCTAGGCGCGTTGGAGAATGCGTAGCACATCAGGGTGCATCCACACATTATTAAAGGTCAAAGGGCTTTAAAGCAGTGCAATCATTTTGAAATTTTTATCATTTAGTTATTATGCTTCATTAAGTACTTATACAAAATTTTATTAAAATAAAACCATTTAAACTGGGTGTTCGGATTTATATGTCACTTAGTATATATATGGTTACGATCATGATGTAAAATCCAATGTTTTGTAGTAAAAAAATTATGTGCATACCACGTTCCAAAAGGCCACTTCACAAACTTTGTGTGTAATGTACGACGCCAAAACTAATTTAATTTAATTTAGCTTAATACCTAGCAACAAATAAATGAGGTTAGTCGCCATACTGGGTTCAACATTCGCGAGCTGAAAAATGGAAGTTACCGTCTAGAAAACCTATCCTGATCGGTTGTAGATAGATATACTAAAATTGTCGCAATTTCATCCTAATATATAAATAGTTGAGCAGATATGCATTGATATAACCATTTTGAATATTCATTATAGCTCTCAGACATAATTTATTATCAAACCGCCAGCTGAATGGATAGGAAAGGGAAAGCGGAATATTAATAATATTATGACTGCGCAGAATGAGTACCCCAGACAGACAACAATATCTGCATCAATATTTGATTCAGCCTGTCAGAAAATTATGTTTGATTCAGACGCAGGTAATTACAGCCGTGCGAAGTCTATTAATACATCGTATAAATGAGTTATTGTTGTTCTCAGGCGGGACTAAATATACACACGTCCCAGTTATATCACATCAAATTAAAATCTAATTGATCTGGTCGATACATTGTTATGAGAAGGCTATGTTTGGAGTAGCTTCGTCGTATCAAAAGCAGACAGCGAGGTAGATAAGCTCAAAATAGGCGGACAAAAGCTCAACCCAAACGTATATGACAAACAAAATCAGAGATTCAGTTGAATCCCATATTCGCTTTGTTGTCAAGCGAATCGTTGAAAAACTCTTTTGAGGATTTCTGAATATTTTGCTTAAGGAAAGCCAGCTATATGTCGTGATCATTTACAGCAACGCAGCTCGTCTTTATGACCTGCTTGATTCTCGAAGTCTTTTCCCTCTTGCAGAAAGGCTGAAAGATTTCTACTGTCAAAATTATGCACCTATGGAAAGAAAAAGTTACGTAGCATTACTGTAAAAAAATATCGTAATCATAATACATAGCACATACTATTAGATATCTATCTATCTATTCTGAAATATCTGAAAGTTTTTTTTTGGGCTGTCAGTGTGGGCGCATCAGAAATGTTCAAAGCCGCCTTACCGATATGCAAAGTGCAACAATTACACACTCATATAACATCCTCAGCGTCCATTAGAAATCATACCATTACGCTCATCCGTACCGAATCATACCCACCACCCATCGCCGCAATTTTGTTGTGTCAAATAACGCTGTCGCGTCCAAGCTTAGCACTAACCCAGCGGTTGTGGTTGCGGTTTGCAGGCCTGCAGTCCAGCAAGCATCTGTGCCACGTGTGCAACAAGAACTTCAGCAGCAGTTCGGCGCTTCAGATCCACATGCGCACGCACACCGGCGACAAACCGTTCAGATGCACCGTTTGCCAGAAGGCGTTCACAACTAAGGGCAACCTCAAGGTAAGTCGCCGAGGCGGTGTTCGCTTTTTAGGCGGTAGAGAGGAAGGGCAAGCATTTTTGACATCATACGAAATAATTTGGACGGTTTTCTCTGGGTATACATTATAAAGGATTTCTTTTGCATTGAAACAGTCGCGTAGGCAGAAGCCTAAATTTCAGGACTACGCAGCTGCTTAAAGAATCTTTGTTAATCTGACTTGTCTAAGGTTAATAGAACTGGGAGAAGCCTCGTCATGTAGATTGTTCCACAATCTCGACAACCTAGGGACAAAGGAACGGTCGTATCGGCCAGTAACATCGCGCGGCGGCATCATGGAGTAGAACTCCGAGGAGCAAAGCCCGGTGGCGAAGCGGTAGATGAGAGCTAGATTCATCGATCGGTCAGATAGATAAGTCTGAAAAGCATCGAGCATGGATAATGTAGTCGGGGCAGCAGCTCCCCAAACACGTGACCAGTGCTCTAAGCTAGGTCTTGTCTGGACCTTGTATAGAGTGAGGAGGTCATGTCCTAGTCCTAAATAAATAGCCTAGCTTTTTCCCAACAGTGCCGCTACTGACGGGTTTTGTTCATGCCACATCATGTCCTCAAATGACTCTTTGAAATGAATTGATTTTTCATTTCATTTTTATAAAAGTTTTCAAAACTTTTCCATAAAAAATGAACAATTAACCATTGTCTTTCTTTATTTTCCTCATTAAGGACTCTTCTTTAATCATATTATGCATCAAAAGTAGGATGATTTTCGATCCACCTCTTATGCTCACCACTGTTCACGTCTAATCAATATGACCATGATGCTTAGATTGTTTTCCTTGGTTGTCAGGGTTCTTACAAGTCCCAGAATAAATACGATTATATAAATTTTAAGTCACCAGTTACTCTAAGCGTCACCTCCAGCTTTTAGGTTTCCCTCGATTTGTGTATAAAAAATAGATGATGTATGATGTCACAATGCTTTTTTTTCTATAAGCCTTGCTTACTAACGCACAAACTAACTTATTTTCACTTTGAGATATAAATGGGTTTTATACTTCTTTTGGACACGTCTTTAAAGATCACTATATTAACATTAATAGTTTATTGTCCTTTCCAACACATACAATTTAAAGGACTCGTCAACATGAATATAAAATTTAAATTAAAAGAACAAACAGTAAACAAATCTACAAACAACTGAACCTCACAAAAAACACAAAATTCCGAGACGGCGTTATGTCGTTTTCTTCATAAGAAACTGTTCAAGTTTTCTTTTGAAAAAGCCCATATTTTTGTCATTTCTTAGTCTTCCAGAAAACTGTTAAGAATTAATAGCCCTAAATACCTTGGAGACTTCCTGGATACATTGTGTTTTACAAAAGGTCTTGAAAATCTTTATTCTCATAAGTAGTTTTCTGAATTCACATACGTCAATTCATATATGTATTGAGACCAAAGCGGATGTCAAAGTACAAAGCTCTTCGAAAACTAAAATTTGAGATGGTCAGGCTGTTGCGTGAAGATTATATTTTGGCATAAAACATCATGCTAATCTGAAAGAAATGCAGAAATGTCTTTCTATTTATAGAGGTATCTCCAAACGTATTTTTTCTCATAAATTTTAAATGGAACGCGCTGAGTATTTCTACATCATTAAATAGCTTTCTTTGAGAGGTTTAAAATCATACGCACCCTGTATATTTTAAAATATGCACTAGTAATATATGAAGGTTATCACTAGAAGATATACTAAGTGACATATAAATCCGAACACCCAGTTTAAATGGTTTTATTTTAATAAAAGTTGGTGAATGTATTTATCTTACTGTAAATAACAAGTGAAAAAATTTTCAGCCTTATCAGTTGGAGATTCCGGTTTTTATACTGATTTTTTTAATTCACTAACGCTCTAAAAATGAATATTTCAGCCGCAGTAAAGAATCAACGTTGGCGGATTTTGGTTCTTGACATCCTTTACGATCGGTTACGATGCCTAGCGTACCGAGACCTGTACGATTTCGTCAACTTAGTGAGTTTGATAGGGGACGTATAGTGGGACTTCGGGAAGCTGGACTTTCTTTTCGGGCAATTGCAGTTAGAGTGCAAAGAAGTGTAGACACTGTGGTTAGGTGTTGTCAGGCATGGCTTCGAGAAGGCCGTACGCAAAGAGCAAGGGGCACTGGACGCCGCCGTAGAACAACAGACCGTGAAGATCGCCGCCTAAGATTATTGGCCTTAAGGGACCGTTTCTCCACTACCAGGTCTATTGCAAATGAATGGTTTGCAGAATACGGAAGACCTATTGGCATGCGAAGTGTTTACCGACGAATGAGAAGTTTTGGCTTGTTTTCATACCGGCCACACTGGGTCCTCCCTTTAACTCGAGAACACCGACGTAATCGCCTTGAGTGGTGCAGACAACGGTCACTCTGGAATCAGGAATGGAACAGTATTGTCTTTAGTGACGAGTCTCGATTTTGTTTAGGCATGCACGATGGTCGTGCCAGGGTTAGAAGGCGACGTGGTGAAAGGAGGAATCAACAGTTTTTTGTTGAAAGACATGTTCATCACACTGTTGGAGTTATGGTTTGGGGTGCTATAGCTTATGGTTCCAGGTCACCTTTAATCTTCATCAGAGGTAACATGAACGCGCAGCGTTATATCCACGAAGTTCTAGAACCCCATATTTTACCCTATCTTGACACCCTGGCAGATCCAACTTTCCAACAAGATAATGCCCGACCACATGTTGCAATAGTCACAATAGACTTCTTTCAACATAATGATGTCACATTGTTACCATGGCCACCAAGATCTCCCGACTTATCCCCAATTGAGCACGTGTGGGATATGATGGGTAGGAGATTGCTCAATTTGCAACGTCCTCCTCAGACTCTAGAAGCACTTCGAGAGGAGTTGGTGGTTGCCTGGAATGAGATACCACAGGAGGACATTGACCACCTGATCAGAAGCATGCCTAGGCGCGTTGGAGAATGCGTAGCACATCAGGGTGCATCAACACATTATTAAAGGTCAAAGGGCTTTAAAGCAGTGCAATCATTTTGAAATTTTTATCATTTACTTATTATGCTTCATTAAGTACTTATACAAAATTTTATTAAAATAAAACCATTTAAACTGGGTGTTCGGATTTATATGTCACGTAGTATAGCTTACTTTGAGAGGTTTTTTTTATTTATACCACTTTTCAAACGGTTACTGCTATTAGTTCCAAGAACTATATACCACACTTAGATTTAAAATCATATCTTCCATAAAAACAATGATTTTTTACGCACCCTGTATATTTTAAAATATGCACTAGTAATATATGAAGGTTATTACTAGAAGAGATTTTTGATATCTTATTCAGTTTGTTCATAAAACTACTTTCCATTTCTGTTGGGACACCCTGTATAATTCAACCCAAAGTATCGCGGGAAATTCTTCTAAAGTTTCACTACTAGTTTCATTTGTGTACAGTTATTTTGTTGCTCCAGTATAAGTAGATGGGGTTATACATACTACCTTTTTATTCAGGCAAATTTTTTATAATTGTAACATGCTATTGTACAGGGTGGTCCATAAGTCCTTTGAAATTTCAAATTTGAATAAAATTTAACGGGTGAGCGTGAGCGGCGCGGGCGAGGTGGGGGCAGTATCTTCAGTATCTGGGAATTCAGTCGCCATGGAGTGTTTCACTGGAGCGGATCGTGCTTTTTGTGTGCGCGCGTTTTATCAAAATAATGATTCGGCAACCATTGCGCGGCGTAAATATCGAGAATACCACAATTTACACAATTTTACAAAGTGTCCAACAGCTCAAACGATTAAGAACTGGGTTGCTAAGTTCGAAGATACTGGTTCGACGTTAGATAAACAGCGGTGGGGTCGACCAAGGTCAACTCGTATTGAAGAAAACATCAACATTGTGGCGCAGTCTGTTCGTCAAAATTCTACCCAGTCTACTCGTAAGCGTTCCAGTGCACTAAACGTACCCAGAACATCTTTACAGCGGATTTTAAGGAAAGATTTACGTCTGCACGCTTACAAAACTCAGTTAGTGCAGGAATTAAAAGATAAGGACGCTATTCAGAGACTAAACTTTGCGAATGAAATGTTGAATCGATTTTCTTCGCTCAATAATGTGTTGGTCTCGGACGAGGCTCACTTCCATTTAAACGGCCATGTAAATGAACAAAATTGCCGTTATTGGAGCCCCGAAAATCCAAGGCGTAAGCATCAGAAGCCCTTACACAGCCCTAAAGTTACAGTTTGGGCTGCTATGTCAGCGCATGGCATCGTATGCCCTTATTTTTTTGAGGACGACAGAGGTCGCGCATTAACTGTTACTTCGGAGCGGTATGTAGCAATGATAGAAGAGTTTTTGACACCAGCGTTGCAGAATTTTCCAGGCTATAATACGCAGACCTGGTTTCAACAGGACGGAGCAACTGCCCACACCTCCAACACTTCTATGCCCGTTCTGTCAACTTTTTCACAGCAAAGTAATTTCTCGAAGAGGAGACATTTCCTGGCCACCACGTAGTCCAGATTTGACCCCAATGGACTTCTTTTTATGGGGCTACCTCAAGAGTAAAGTGTACGACACCACTCCGCGATCAGTTGATTTCCTGAAAGAAAATATCCGAAGAGAAATGGCAAGCATTACAGTGTTGACTTGCCGCGCAGTCATCGACAATTTTAGATGTCGTTTATATGAGTGCCGTGATCGTAATGGATTGCATTTAGACGATGTGATTTTTAAAACATAATTCCCATTCAATAAAGATGATAACAAAATATAATAATTCTTCATAATGTAACTAGTTTGGTTTTATTCCTTTTTTTCCAGCTCAAAGGACTTATGGACCACCCTGTACAACAGAATCTCTATCTATAAATATCATCTCAACTGAATATTTGACAATAGTCCATAGCCCCAAGACAGACAGTCAAATCCGGAACATCGGAAGCACTCGGAACCAACACAAACAAGCCATGAAATCCTAATGTGTCGATATTGCAAACGATAATTCGCCATTGTCCCAGATGAGCGTGAGATGAGATCGGCTGACATAATATACATTAATCAATTGCTCCATTGATGCATATACAACACCGGCGCTTCATTAATAGGACTGCATAATTTGCACCGCGCTGGGACTACCATGTACCAATTATGGCTAATAGAATGATAATATGTCTCGAAATATCGTGGACAGATGGTCAAGGATTTCGATGAGAAGATATATAAACTCCCTTCCTTTACAGCAACAGTTTGCGAATACCCTGAAATAAACCCGAGCAATAGTCTTAAAAACTTTCATAGCTGGTGGAACGAGTAACCAGAAGATTCTTCCTTAATCGAAGTATTGGCATCTTGCTTTTGGATGTCTCAAAAGTATTGTGTGTGGCAAAACTACCGAAATCCTTTCTTGAATGTGGGAAATTGGGGCTCACGATTGACAATATTGTGTCGACAACCCGGCCCATCAGAGCCGGTGCCCCTCAGGGCTCGGCCCTTGGGCCAATACTTTGCTCAATTTACCTCGATGACGTCAGCCTCACCACATGTGTACATGATGTACTGGAGGGTAACTTAACAGAAATATTTGTAAAATGTGGAGAAGATCTTCCAACGCAAGGAAAAGCTAGATATTGTGTTTTTCAGATTGATGGTTGAACTTTTATTATTGAGAAAATCTATAATAACTCCAAAATCTTCCTCAATTAAGCGAGGCGCAGTTTTAACAGTATAAAATACAACCGTATCATCTGCAAAGCCAACAATTTCTCCTTGAGTCTCTAAAGAAGTCATCTACATATAAAGGGTGTCCGCAAAGTTGGGGTTTTCCTTTACACGACGTGTAGATCTTGAAAACATAAGCAATTTTTCTTAGTACCATATACACCAATGTCTTAAGGGAACCGAGATAAAGGGCTCTGCAAGATCAAAAATATCTGAATCCCGTCCTGTAGCCGCGAAACGCGACATCCCCGAGTGGTACTAGGACACTAGCTCAACCCGACGACAGAACTGGGTCGGGGTCAGTGTGTCAGGTCAGTATGCAACCTTCAACCGACGGTTACGGTCACGCGTGTAGAGGTAATCGCGTAGACGAGAATCCCTCAACAAGCACTAGAGAGGTGGCTAGAGAAGTGCAAGTATCAAAAACTAAAGTGTGGCAAACGCTGCGTGAAGACGGGCTGTATCCGTTTCACGTCCAACGTGTACAAGCCCTTCAACCTGACGATTTTCCAGCAAGAGTGCGGTTTTGTGAGTGGTTGTTGCATCAACATGACAATAATCCGGACTTTTTGAAGTGCATATTGGTGACAGACGAATCTACGTTCACGCGTAATGGGGTGAATAACTTTTGCAACACTCATGTTTGGTCAGTAGAAAATCCGCACGCTGTCCGTCGGGCACATTTTCAACAAACACTTTCGGTGAATGTTTGGGCTGGCATGGTGAACGGTATGCTCATTGGACCATTTATTCTCCCAAATCGATTGGACGGTATGCAATACCTAGACTTTTTACGCGACATTTTGCCTTCCTTGTTTGCCTGCGTCTGCTCGGTAGCGCATCTGCTGATTTCATTCTATGATTTCGGGCAGAGACGTACTTAGCCCTTCTCGTCAACTGGAGAGTGAGTACTTTTTCCTTTACTTTTTTCACTTGGTCGCCCTCGTTTCACTACACATTACCTTTGTTATTTCAAGGGTAGTTGTTTCTGAAAAGGAAAACCCCAACTTTGCGGACACCCTGTATAGATAGAGATCAAACGGCATTGGCCCTAAAACTGTTCCCTGTGGTAAACCATATCTTACGTGAAGAAGGTTACTTGATGTACTATTTACTTTTACACGTTGATACCGTTCACTCAAAAAACTTTTCATTAGAGCATATAAATTTTCACTACAGCTAAAAACATAATATAATATATATATATATATATATATATATATATATATATATATATATATATATATATAATATAAAAACATATAGTAAATATTGCAACTTCATTTTGTAATCAATCTGTCATAAAATGAAGACATACAACATTCTGTTGATAGTTCCAACAATTTCACAGGTGTATCTGAATGCGGTTAGATTAACTAGTAATTATATTAGATGTCTCGATTGATTATCCTTTCTGTTTCAGGTTCACATGGGCACCCACATGTGGAGCAACGGGGCCTCGAGGCGAGGGCGACGCATGTCCCTCGACCTGCCGCCCATTCCGATGACCCCCAAGGACTCCGAATTCCTGCAACGGAGGCCCGACCTCTTCTATCCATACCTACCGGCTCCATTCCTTAACGGCATGCAACAAAAGGTAAACATAACGATTTTGAATGCAAGCAAACTCAACACGTTGTTATCTCAACAGCCAAGCAATTCGTCCTTGAATCCGTCCTTTCAGAAATGGTAGCGTTATATCAGCCACCTTGTAACACATGTAACCTCTTTACCATGAGTCTTCTGACCTACATACGATAACATTCAGGAGGAAGGAGACAATCAAATCTTCGAGTCTGAATTGGCAGCATAATTTTAAATCGAGCATTACATTACATTTCTTTCTTTTCCAGCTGACCGAGATCTCGATGTCCCACCCGCCAACAACGAACGGCCTATCACCGTCCTCGATGGCCGCCAAATACAGCAGCCTGCTGGGATTCGGTTACCCCAGCTCCGCCCCGCCGTTAGGCCACGCCCCCGGCGCCGATAGTGGGCGTTCCCGCGCCGGTTCGCCCGACCGAGCTCCTCCCACCAGCCAACCGAGCAACCAGGAGGGCGGGGACGGACGTCCGCCCATATGGGATCTGCATTTCGCCGCTGGCAAAACCGAAAGGGGGGAGGAGATGATGGCTCCACCGCCTAGAGAGGCGGCGCGTGAAGGATTGGCGGCGTAAAGAGGGCGAGATGTATAGGAAGTAGGAGGTTGGATAGAAGTTGGGTAAAGAGAGTTGCAGAGAAGATGAAATAAAGCATACGATGTTGCATGTTTTGTCACACTTTGGGAGCTCATCTTCTGCAAGTCTCTTGTAGCTCAATCGAAGTCAATAGTAAAAGTCTATCTAAATTCAAGGGTGTTTCTACGCTATCTAAGAATGCACAATTTAGTCTAATGTGTATTTATATCTTAATATTGTGGAATACATCGTCGAATATTTGCATTTTAAATAGCACATATACCCAGACTGGTTGAATCAATACATTGCAATCAAATATTGTATGAATGATAATCTTACTGCAAGAATTAGACTGTACGCTCTCTTTGATGCACCACAACATCACTTGATGACATTAGTCATGCATTTAGTGCTTATTATGAGCGGTGAGTCTTTGAAATTAAAGATGAATTCCTGTTAGATTTGAGGTAAGGTGCTTGGATTGACCAGTTTGGGTTGCGTTGTATATCAAGGAACACCCTGTATATGACTCGGAGTTGGGGCAATGCTTACTGTGATACAACAGCCGAAAAGCTGTTCTGGACAGACAAGAAACTGTCGTGTAGAAATATTTGATCAGAAATTGAATTTAATGTATAAACAAGTGTCGGTGGCAATCCGGAATGCACTACTAAGGATGTTACATTTTTTGAGCTCCAAATTAATGCAGTAGACTTAGAACTGATTAACGTAGTTCCTATACGCGTAGTCTGACTACAGCTTTGTCATAAAGTTGTTCAAATTAAGAAACTAATTATAGTATAAAACTGTTCATCACTAAATTTCCTTTGTACAGTTAATAGGAAGTTTTTATTTAAATCTTTCTCACACCTTCTCTGTATACGCACACACTTATGTAATCAAAATGTAATGATAACATCACACATTTTTTTGAAATCTTCATTCAATCTGATAGTTGTAGTTTCGTCCTAAAAACTTTCATTGCAATAAACACCAACAAGCACTATATTTCTAGTCATCTTAGTCTACGAGGTCATCTTTGGTAGAAGCTTGAAAATACAGATCGTACGTGAATACACTGATCTCTTAGAAGTGGGAAAGGAATTGCCACCAGACAACAATTTTGTATCATACTAGCTAAGTGTATATGTAACTGCTGGGTGGATAGACATGCATTTTACTCATCGAGTCAGAACGAATCATACATACAGAATATCCAAAACGAAAACTGACGTACTATTTATTTTTATGAAAATATCAATCGATGTCTTTCAAAGAAATATCAACATTATAGATCATAGTTAGATGGAAGGCTTCGCAAATGTCCACCCTGTGTATTTGTTTTGCTGTGTTAATATTCACACCTTCAGGAACGTCTAAAAATTTTGCTTTGGATGCAGTGGACATATAATGGAAGATGTTAACTCAAAGTATACAGATTATTGTCCTCGCGCGGCGGTACCGTGGTAAGTGACTATGAGGCAGCGTGGTGCAACCAGAAAGTAATTGGATATACGTTACCAATCCTGTTTGTTCCACCAAATGGGGCATCAGCTTGAAGAAACGGAGAAACAGTCGCGTGGGTAGGATTAAATTTACCTCTAACAGTCGATCCAGAAATGTTGTTGGCAGCTGGTGCTGTAGACTGACTGGTTAGGTCCTGTGTTTCAAGTTGTTGCTTACTGAACATGCATATGATTTTTCGCGGAGTATTACTTATATACTTATCAATAGAATCTCCCGAAATAGTTACCTAATATTAATTCCAACTGTTATTGACTAGGTAAGACTGTAAAAAGATCACTGCGAATTATTTCAAACCCCGAAAACTGTTGTATATATTTTTGTGTACTCCCGCATTTTACAAGCAAAATCTTGATCTTCCTGGGGTGATCACTATGTCCAATGGACATAAAGGCTATGCCAGTATCTAGCTTTACATCACTTTGTAAATACTATAGTAGGTATAAATATGGAAAACCCACACTAAGCGTATATATAGATGTTGTCCAATTAGTATCTATGGTGAACGTTCTATGTATATATCATCTTTTATGTGAAATGAGACTGTTTTTATTATTTTTAATGATTTTTCTCGTATGCTTTTTATAATCTGTCCCTTACAGCTTAATCCAGCCACTATAGCAACAACCTGATAATTTTTTAGGATCGATTAGTTTCGTTACATAGAGTTACAATTTGTCTACTTGAAGCTTAGAAGTGGGGAGCTGGAGTTGCAAAAAACCCAATGTAACTGATTATTATTTTGGTATTGTTAGAAGCACGATACGAAAGAAAACTAAAATTTTCGGGAAAGATTGGTGGATATCAAGTAAACTGGAAAAATTATAAAACTTTCCACTATAGTGGCTTGACTAGCATCTCTATCCTAGTACAAAATTTTTATTTATGTGTATAAATGCGTAATGTTGACGTGCTCTTCTTTTATTCATTACCGCAAAAAAACTATGCTGGTTTGAAAAATCATATTTAAGATTTATAAAGATATTGTGTAAAATGTAAGTATTCTAAAATGTCTCCTTTTTTATTTCTAAATGAATGTACAAATATTTTTAACTGGTACGTTATCGAACTATGTCTGTATTTATAAACACTTACAGCCAGTTAAACTCTGTTTAATAATTATAAAATATAAATATTTATCACATACCAAGGTTGTTTAATTTCAGTATCACCACGATAGCCACTTTCAATGTATATATTTATATATAACTTGAGTCGTGGTGGTTGTCGTTTAGACCAGTTAGGTGAAAAATAAAGCTTCCTCCTTTTGTTGCGTACTTCGATAAAATTCAAGCAAAGAGGACTCTTTATACTTTATTAATCTCAAGCTTTCAATGGACTCTTCCATCTTCATCAGGAGCTGCGATAACATTGAGAAGAAATAGCAACTGTTGTGCAAAATGATTTCAACTTACAGTCGTATGTGAGATTGTTGCTAAATGTTATTAACGTTTAGGTTGAAGGAAACAACCTAAACGTTAATAACATTTAGCAACAATCTCACATACGACTGTAAGTTAATTTAAAATCATTCTGCACAATAGTTGCTGTTTCTTCTCAATGTTATTGCAGCTCCTGATGAAGATGGCAAAGTCCATTGAAAGCTAGAGATTAATAAAGTATAAAGAGCCCTCTTTGCTTGAATTTTGTCGAAGTACCCAACAAAAGGCGGAAGCTTTATATGTATATAAAATATCTTTTCAGTTTGAGGAATTGGAATGGTTTCTAGTTAGCGCTTAACGTTCATTGAAGGAAGAGAATTACAAGGTGAGTAGTCAAACGGTCTGTTTGTTGTCGAATGCTTTGAACGTCAAGTAATTGTTGCCTCATCATTTTTGATTGATTGTCTTGCCAAAGTATTATGGTATTGTCAGCAAAAACTATGAATTTGCCGCTTATTATTTATTAATCAATTGATATAGACTAAGGGCGGATTTCACAATTTAACAAACCATTATTTTGCACCCATAGGTTACGACTACCAAACAGACAGTCAAATATACCCAATCAGCCTCAAGATCTCTCCATCAAAATTTTGGCAGCAAATAGCATCAAAGTATTCAATACTTATAAAATACTTACAAGAACGTTAGATTAGTGCACGTTTCTGTGAATTTCTATTTATAATAATGTATTGCAGGGTGGCCAAGATCAGAATCAGACTAGGTTAAATTCAGTAATCACACAATCTTTCATCAAGCATTTGTTTGCAACGCCTGCTTAAATAGAATGAAAACGTAGAAAAAAATTACACGTTTGTTTATAACTAACAAATGTAGCATGATACATCGTTGAAGATACAGGGTCGTATTTTTTTATTGTGTGCACTTTGGGCACATTTAAAAACACCATCATGTAGTGCCATTATTTTTTTGACATTTCTTGAAATAAAGTCGTAAAAAATAAAAACGGTTCGGCCAAATTTAAGTTTTTCCCAAATAAATCAGTATATGACTAATCTCTCAGTGTATGCAATGTGCGCAATTTATTTTAAAAACATATCACACAAGTAGATGAGTATGCAAGGCTCACCTAGTTTGCGGCACATGTATCCTGTTTCCCTCAGAAGACATGGAAGTAGACCTAAATTCCACTTGACACCCACGCCACAACACTAAAGCACCACTGAGAGACAATCGAGAACCCTATAGTGAACGCCACTATTAAAAAAATAGCATAAGCGAATTGAGCTCTGAACGGAGCTGTGAACGCGTGGACATTCTGTTGCGCCGACGGCTGCCGAGAAACAGAAGCGTGTGAGTGCTGTACCTCGCTGCGGCGATACAGCACGGCCGGGTAGTACAGCCGCGCCACTTTCCAGCTCCCACTCCGCGCGTCTGCGTTTACTTATCTGACAGTATCACGAAGCGACTCGATGTTTACGTTGACGGGGGCGGGCGCGCGGAGTGGGAGCTGGAAAGGGACGTGGCTGTACTACCCGGCCGTACCGAATCGCCGCTGCGAGGTACAGCACTCACACGGATCAGTCTTTCGGCAACCGTCGCCGCAGCGGAATGTCTACGCGTTCACCGCTCCGTTTAGCAACTATTTGGTGTTTTCGATTGTGGCGCTTTAGTGCTGTGACGTGGATGTCAAGTGGAAATTAGGTCTACTTCCAACTCTTCTGAGGGAAACAGGATGTCTGTGAAGCAAACTAGGTGAGCCTTGTATACTCATCACTTGTGTGTTAGGGTGGACATCCTATGTATTTTTAAATAAATGAAAATTTTAATAACGTTGTATAGTAGACGACAACGATATTGTATTCGTTTATATTTTTTGCCGATAATCATAAAACGGCTATAATACCGAGAGGACAGAGACGGATCTGAAAGTTTTCAAATATTTTCTCTGGCAAGTCTAGATGAGATGAGAGATGACTGTATCGAGCTGTTGAAGCAACGTTGATTGCTTTTGTAATTAATTATCTAGACATTAGTTTTCATACTATTAACCAAAATATACATACGTATATGATGGTAGCGATGTCAAAAATGTAAGGTTACTTACCTAATTTGCTATGTTGAGGAGATTTCTTCCAGTAGTACGCACTTCAAGATCATTTACCTAAATACATATTTCATTTCACTTTCACACTTCTTTATTTAAAAAATGTGCTACAAAACTTAATCCTTTTCTTCCGAAGAATATGTTCCCGAGTGCCGCTCTGCTGCATCGCGCTGGATTCACCTGCGTGCGAGGCTAGGGAGGGGGAGGGATTCAGGTCTTTATAGCGCAGTCACATTAAGTGAACTGGTTGCTATGCTATGCTGGCAGTAACGAAATAGTGCGATTTTTTAGATTCGCTACATTCAAACCACTTATATCTAACTATTATAACGTTTTAAGCTTTTCTCTTTTTGGTGGTCAATGTTGTCAACTGTGCCATTTAAATGTAGGCATTTTTTTTCTTTTTATAGTTTGTGTCAATGTTTTTTTAGGTCGGGTTGAAAAACAGCATAAGCTGACACTCCACCTTTTCTTCACTATTCCTTTTAGGCCAATTATTTTGTAATCATGTGACGAATAAAGGCCATTTATTATTATTATTTTAGGTTATTGAAATGACCCTCGTATAAACCGTTCCTTCAATGCTACAAAATAGCAGAAGTAGTAAAATTGTCCGATGAGCTGGCAACGCCGCAATCTAGGTGACAAGAATGACAAAATCGTATGTCTATCCCGGAGTAACGACGGAGTCATTTAATACGTTAAAGCGGCAGTTCTCCAATCTTCATTTGCATTTTTCAAGCGGTGTGCAATGATTTCGAGAACAATTTCCCTACGGATAGTCTTCTAGAGTCTAGTAGAGTATATTTCAATAGTTGTCTTACGTGGCAATGGTATCTTTACTGGGGCGATGTAGGCATTGACACGTTTTACATATACAGGTGTTATAGGATGGAGAATACAGGATGTCGGCAAAGTTGGGGTTTTCCTTTTCAGAAACAACTACCCTTGAAATAACAAAGGTAATGTGTAGTGAAACGAGGGCGACCAAGTAAAAAAAAATAAAGGAAAAAGTACTCACTCTCCAGTTGACGAGAAGGGCTAAGTACGTCTCTGCCCGAAATCATACCGCTCCAACAGAAAATGAAATCACTAGCGCTACCGAGCAGACGCAGAAACCACATTGATTGTCTTACACTTAATGGCACATCTTCTAACAAGGAAGGCAAAATGTTGCCTAAAAAGTCTAGGTATTGCATCCCGTCCAATCGATTTGGGAGAATAAATGGTCCAATGAGCATACCGTTCACCATGCCAGCCCAAACATTCACCAAAAAGGTTTGTTGAAAATGTGCCCGACGGACAGCGTGCGGATTTTCTACTGACCAAACATGAGTGTTGCGAAAGTTATTCACCCCATTACGCGTGAACGTAGATTCGTCTGTCACCAATATGCACTTCAAAAAGTCCGGATTATTGTCATGTTGATGCAACAACCACTCACAAAACCGCACTCTTGCTGGAAAATCGTCAGGTTGTACACGTTGGACGTGAAACGGAAACAGCCCCTCTTCACGCAGCGTTTGCCACACTTTAGTTTTTGATACTTGCACTTCTATAGCCACGTCTCTAGTGCTTGTTGAGGGATTCTCGTCTACGCGATTACCTCTACATGCGTGACCGTAACCGTCGGTTGAAGGTTGCATAGTGACCTGACACACTGACCCCGACCCAGTTCTGCCGTCGGGTTGAGACCTTGTACCAATCGGTGATGTCCCGGGTCGCGGCTACAGGACGGTATTCAGATATTTTTGATGTTGCAGAGCCCTTTATCTCGGTTCCCTTAAGACATCGGTGTATATGGTACTAAGAAAATTGCTTATTTTTTCAAGATCTACACGTCGTGTAAAGGAAATCCCCAACTTTGCGGACACCCTGTATATTCTGTTTTGATTGATTTGAAGAAATTCATTAACCCATAAATTGATAATAAATGATGTATGTATGTCTGTAGGGGGGGTTGGCTTTGGACAGAATTTCTTTAGCCACAGATTTTCTGAAAATTATTATTACTAAGATGTAACAAAAGATGAGGAATTGGTTGGAATACATTTTATATTCTTTTTCATGCAAAATACAAACAAATCCGCATATTTCAACAGGAATGTAGCTATAATGATAACATAAACACTCAGTATATTGAACTTGACAAATCCGAGATTGCCATGCATTAACAAACGTCCAAACCTGCTATTAAATTTAACAACTGGAACATCGACCTATTATTTCTTGCATTCCCATTGACTAAAAATTCAAAATACATGAAAGTTGTCCTGTTTTCTCTGTACAAAAGCATTATTTGCTCTTGCTTATAAAACAATGGCTTTTTCATGATTTTATTCAATAATTCAAAAGAAATCACTGACATTCAGATAGCTTTGACAGATTCCGTCAAATTGCCTTTCGATAAGGTCCTTTCCCATTGGCCTAAGCTCCAAAGGTTAAAGAGATCGAGCCTAAGAATATCATCGGGCTGTCCCTTGAGGTCCCCCGTGCGTTTATATACAATTTATTTGAGTCTTGATAATTTTACAGTTTGGGATCGATTATTTAGATATGTTTTAAACCAGCACAACGATATTTGTTTAATTATTCTAATAATGTACTGAGTGATAACATGGGCATTTTTTGTTGTTTCTGAATGTCTCTTAGTCGAATTTGCACTATGTTTCCTATTATTTTTGCTATATTAGTAATTAAACTTGTGTCTATAATCTTAGTAACCTTTGATGTTTTTAAAAATCCACCTGTATTGAGAGAAATACTAGTGTTTTGTGAGCATATCAAGAGTATTTAGTGAAATATTACCTATAACATTTAAAGACATTTCATCAATGCTTGATGATTCTTCAGTTTTGACTGATGTTGATACCAATTGCAGTTCATAAATACACGTAGCATAAAGAAAAACTTTCTGATCTATATTATAGTTTTTTTATTGGAGCCGAAAGAATAATTATCTAAATACATTCCTTGCTTTTTTCTCCTAAGTAGTGATTAAAAAATGCGTAATTTATTAAATTACATTTGATAAGATATTATCAGTAGATTATGCTTTTTTATCTTTTTCTTGTGTTGGTAACACCCCTTCCTTGATTTCGATATATCTATCTAGTCTCTTGATGACCATTTGAAAGAATGCCAGAATTGTGAAGGACCAGGCTAGAGGAAACCAACCAGCTTTGATCCAAGCCCAAAGTGTTAACCTGAAAACGTAAAGTGAAAAATATTTGTATACCCAAGATTTTGCATCACACGAAGTGGTTTGGTCTTAACCATGCCTCAACTGTGCGGCATATATCAAAAAAATTTCAGAGAATCGGTGTTTAGATGAATTTTTAAATACCATAAAGGTCAAAAGTCAGTTGGAGCGGGGCTATTCATTGGAGAAGCAAACTAAATAAAGTCATGACTAGGTAACTGGGTATAAATGGACAAAAGCAGGATAGTCATACATCTAAAGCTCAAACGATGTACGAGGGTTGTTTCAAGCCAAATCTAGCAATCAAGCAACACCGTCATGTTTGTCGGCGTAGAAGCAATGACGCCCATGTAGAAAAATAACTCAATGACAAATTCGTTTTTTCAAAGAAAAAAACTCATTGTGCCTGAACCTAGCACTGAAAACGCTTCATTTATTATATTATGAGTACTTCTGGGATGTTTTCGTCGCTACATTTTATACAATATGGGAGACCATGCACACCCCTGAAAATCCGATTTTACCTTAAAATGTACATGATTTTGTATATATTTTTTTAGACTTTTCGGACTTCCCTCCCCTGAGAATATTTGCTACCCCCACTCTTCAAAAAGTTAAGGGAGCGGATACAGTTCTGCTCATCATAGACCTTTCGGGGCAGGTATACACGTTCACAAAAGATGCTTCCTGATGAGAATCTACTGAGACAAATTCCTGCGGGCGCCCTTGCTTTATCTACACAAAATCAGCTTACTCGTAATTTTTCGACGGTTCATAGAACGGTGCTCCTGTGATTTCTCCAACACCAGTGACAACTACGTTCCTCAGTATTTTGTCATTCACATCGGTTTTGTAATGTTCTATTCTATGAACGACTTCTGCTCCTTTAAGTACCTTAAAAATGTGATATAATAAATATATATATATATATATATATATATATATATATATATATATAGGGTGTCCCAGAAGTCGACGTCAAGCCGAAACCGGGTGATAGGCAAAGTCATAACAGCTATCAGAAAAATATTTAAAAAAATTTTATATATGCGTTTTGAAAATTATAGGCCTTTGAAAAAAATATAGAAATTTCACACCCTACGGCAGTCTGTCAACTCCTGTTACTACAAATATTAACTTTTTTTGAATTTTATTTTTACAATGTAATGATGAAGAATGCATCTTCAAACTGGTGCCTCAACCTTACTGCCAACTTTTCTCGTTCAGGAAAAATTGCCACTTATTTCCCAACCAAGTATTCCAAAGTAAAACTTTGCTCAACTTTAACTGGCTGTACTGGAAAAAATGTACTACGAGAGTTTGGCAAGTAACCTTGAAAGTTGGCGCATTTAATAAGGATTCCAAAATGGTATAACACGTAGAAGATTACTCGTTAACTTATGCACAATTTTTATTTGAAGAAAAACTGATGAAAATTTTTCAAAATTTCCTAATTAAACAGCGATTATGAAAACGCACAAGGACCCGAATGGATAACTGTTTGCACAACAGTGGGCTTCAAAATGCTGCTGATGATGATTTACCTTCACAGCAAATGCTCAAACTGTTTTCCTTCAGCCGCAATACACGCTCGACATCTTCTTAAAAAAGATCGGGTTATTAAACGAGCGAATCCACGGTTATTAACAAACTCAGCTGCTTCCAATAGTCTTTGACGTAGCTCAGCTACATTTTGAATCGGCTTGAAATACACTTTTTCTTTTACAGTTCCCCAGTCAAAAAATCTAAAGGATTCAAATCAGGTGATCGGGCTGGCCACGGTATTGTACCAGACCGCCTTATCCATCTGCCTGGAAAGCTTTGATCGAGATACTCTCTCACTGAGAGTGCATAGTGCGCTGGGCAGCCATCATGCTGAAACCACATGTCCCTGTAAATACTCAGTGGCACGTCCACCAATAAATTTCGTACATGATTTTTCAAAAAATCCAAATAAACTTCAGCAGTCAAAGTCTCTGGGAACTCAAACGGACCGATTATTTTACCATTTAAAATTCCTGTCCAATGGTTTATCTTGAAGCGATATTGAGATTTATCTTCTCTCATCAAATGTGGGTTTGCTACGTGCCACTCGTGTAAGTTATGCAGGTTCATGTACCCATCTTTTTTAAATGTGGTCTCATCCGACCATAAAATTTTTTCAAAGAACTGTGGATCTTTCCTGTGTCTTTCTAACATTGTGCGACAAAAAGCAACTCGGGACTCATAATCCCGGGGCAGGAGAGGTTGAACACGCTGTATGTGGTATGGATGAAGCACATCACTTACTTGCTATTGCACACTTTGATACCGATCAGTACTCCTTCGTTTACTGCGCATCTTTACATGTTCGTGCTTGTCGATTTCGTACTGTTACTAATTTTGGATTCGTGAACTGGACAGTTGATCGCTTGTGATTTGAATTTGGGCTGTTTAATTGCTCTTCAAAACAACATTTGCTTTCCTTAGACTATCTTTGATAGTGTGATTGTGCAGTGCCGCTATGTCCGTGTACACCGTACAAGAATATGCTAACATGCACCTCATTTATGGGGAATGCAGATGCAACGCTAGTGCTGCAGCGAGACTTTACTGTAAGAGGTACCCGAATGCAGCTCGTTATCCAGGTCATCGAGTGTTCACAAATGTGCACCGCTTACTGTTCTCAGAGGGCCAACTACCAAACCAATCACACGGTGAGGGAAGATCTTTCCTTCCTTACGAAAACGTGGTGCTAGGAGCTGTCGAAGAAGACCCGAGTACTTCAGTGCGTGCAATAGGACTAAAAACAGGTGTGCCCAAAAGTACAGCCCATAGAATCTTGCAAAAAACGTGCTCCATCCATACCACGTACAGTGTGTTCAAGCTCTTCTGCCCCGGGATTATGAGCCCCGAGTTGCTTTTTGTCGCACAATGTTAGAAAGACACAGGGAAGATCCTCGGTTCTTTGAAAAAATTTTATAGTCAGATGAGACCACATTTAAGAAAGATGGGTACATGAACCTGCATAACTTACACGAGTGGCACGTAGCAAACCCACATTTGATGAGAGAAGATAAATCTCAATATCGCTTCAAGATAAACCATTGGACAGGAATTTTAAATGGTAAAATAATCGGTCCGTTAGAGTCCCCAGAGACTTTGACTGCTGAGGTTTATTTAGGTTTTTTGCAAAATCATTTAGAAAATTTATTGGAGGACGTGCCACTGATTATTTACAGGGACATGTGGTTTCAGCATGATGGCTGCCCAGCGCACTATGCACTCTCAGTGAGAGAGTATCTCGACCAAAACTTTCCAGGCAGATTGATAGGGCGGTCTGGTACAATACCGTGGCCAGCCCAATCACCAGATTTGAATCCGATAGATTTTTTTTTGAGTTTGTTAATAACCGTGGATTCGCTCGTTTAATAACCCGATCTTTTTTAAGAAGATGTCGAGCGTGTATTGCGGCTGAAGGAAAACAGTTTGAGCATTTGCTGTAAAGGTAAATCATCATCAGCAGCATTTTGACGCCCACTGTTGTGCAAACAGTTATCCTTAAGGGTCCTTGTGCGTTTTCATAATCGCTGTTTAATTAGGAAATTTTGAAAAATTTTCATCAGTTTTTCTTCAAATAAAAATTGTGCATAAGTTAACGAGTAATCTTCTAAGTGTTATACCATTTTGGAATCGTTATTAAATGCGCCAACTTTTCAGGTTACTTGCCAAACACTAGTAGTACATTTTTCCAGTACAGCCAGTTAAAGTTGAGCAAAGTTTTACTTTGGAATACTTGGTTGGGAAATAAGTGGCAATTTTTCCTGAACGAGAAAAGTTGGCAGTAAGGTTGAGACACCAGTTTGAAGATGCATTATTCATCATTACATTGTAAAAATAAAATCCAAAAAAAGTTAATATTTGTAGTAACAGGAGTTGACAGACTGCCGTAGGGTGTGAAATTTCTATATCTTTTTCAAAGAAAATTATATCAAAACACATACATAAAATTTTTTTAAATATTTTTCTGATAGCTGTTATGACTTTGCCTATCACCCGGTTTCGGCTTGACGTCGACTTCTGGGACACCCTGTATATATATATATATATATATATATATAAATATGGTTTTTTTCTATTTTATCACTGATAAACATAGCCTATACAGAATTCAATTTATAGGTATGTAAACGGAACATGGATTATCATATCAATTTCTGAATTCTCTAATATTGTGTCCAGTGGGGAAAATTCACTTTTTGATTTGAGAAAAAGAAATACAAACTTAATGAAAAGAAAATATGTATTACTTCCAACATATTCGTAAATTCGGCGGGTTTTATTTCTTAAATATCATTTCGTCCAAATGTTTGCTAACCGTTCGGACAACCCCTTCTAATCGCGCGCGCACATTCTTAAACACACTTGCAGAATTCCGGAGTGATGTTGTTTATTTCTCGTCGAATGTTGTCTTTAAGCTCCTCCAATGTTCGTAGATTTTCAGAATACACCTTTGACTTTAGATAACCCCACAAAAAAATAATCGCATGGCGTGAGGTCGGGTGTCCTAGGGGGCCAGTGAATGTCTCCAAACTTTGATATAACTTTCGCTTTCACCATATCCATCGATTATCTGGAAATATGGACAGTGGCCCCATCCTGTTAAAACCATGTGTTTTTGCTAAATCGATGTCCTGTTCTTACAATAGGAGCCAAAAAAGTCCTTGTATAGCTCGAGATTGACTGTCAGTGCATGACCGTTTTCATCTTCAAATAAATACGGCCCAACAAGACACTGCAATGGCACACACATTGATGACTTCTTTGAGCGAACACAACTCCGTATCTCAATATATTTGGAGTGGCCAGCCCGCTATCCCGGCTTGGCCCGTTGTGATTTTTTTCTATGGAGTTTTTTGAAAGATCCTACAAGATCTGAAGAGCAATATCCAGGCAGAAATTAGCAACATCAGAAATCGATTTACTCCGTGTATCGAGAATGGGATACGTCATCTATCTGATCCGATCTTCAAAACTATGTTAAACAAAACTTTGGGCCTGCGCTTACATTATAAAAAACAAACAAAGACGTTCTGATTCATACAATAATATGCTTTGAAAAAAGAAGTTTTGCAGCCGCACCCTGTAGAGGCAATACTGTTATGGCACCGTTAAATCCGTTACTAAATTGAAAATTCACTATACAGACGTACTTTTCCGAAGACCACATTTGTGTCCTCGATCCATGGTATGGCCATTGTGGTTATGAAGAACTGACACCCATTAGTATTTGGCCCTGAAATAGAAGTTCATGACACATTCTTTAATGTAACATCTGAATCCTGTTCAGATAATTCAAATATATGTCATTATACTGAAGAAAATCACCTCGTTTACTACATGCAAGAAGAATTTTAAATACATGTATATATATGTTAGTTTCATTAGGCAGACAAACCAGGGAGGGTACATACTCTGATATGTATACATTTTTATATTATGTGATAAAGGCAAAGCGTACCATGATTCACCATAACAAGCAGTCCCGATGAGTCTGGCTTTATGGTGAAGTTTTCATCGTCGAAATACTTTCCGTAGATACTTGAAAAGCCGGTGCCATTGTTATAAAGGATATCACCACCTACAAGCATCATGATTGGAAAATCAATTGAAAATTTTATTGGGGCGAGTAGATTGTTATTAGGAACATTTAAGAATATCAGCGCGAACAAAGTTGATACAGAAACAAATGTTTCTATTACCCAATCATTTATCACATCAAAGTATCGCATCGTTACAGCATTGTGCCTGTAGCTGCGAGAATAGCCAAAAAAAATTACCCGACTTTCATCCCCAATATTATGTCATACTTCAGTAGCCTGCTGGACCTCAAAAATAAGCTTTATGCTGAGGAGGTGCTAAGTCCATCTGCTTTCTATTTTTCACATTTTGATTCATGAACCGTCGTCATTCGCATCCTGCAAATACATACAAAAAATGCCCTTACCCTGAATCAAAAGTCTTTCGATCGCAGTGTGAAACTTCGTGCCGACATAAGTCTTTCCATCTATCCCATTCAAAGCAATTTCTTTGAAATTCTTCACGGTTTTTGGCACTTCTTCACCAAATAATCCAAAAACAATTCTCCCTAAATAACCGTCATCTACGTGAACGTCGAAATAGATCTGGTCGGTTATTTTGTACTCTTGACTGCACTGTAAGCATTTGGATGTCATTTTCAACATACCGGCAACGGAGGAATGAAATGATCAAGCTCTATAAGTGGAGTTTTCCCGGTCTTGAGAATAACTCAAATTTATCAAGTTAGTAGCATCTATGAAATTTTCACAATAAAAATTTTTCAGCATATGTTTTTTAAATCTTCTTCAAACTCGCCGTATTTATTTCAGTACTCTTCGTTTTACTAGGTAGGCTACGAATATCTGTTCTTACCCCATATCCATGTAAGAAAAATAGAACCAGAACAAAAGCTTTTTTCGCAAACATCATGGCGAACGTACAGGTAGTGGTGACTTTGCTATTGAATTCAATCAATAAACCTTAATTTAATTAAAACCTAGTTATCCCGTTATTACTTCTCTGCCATTTCATCATCGGGTATTGAAAATTATAAAATATGAGTACGACTATATTATAGTGACACAGATTACATTCATTACACAAGTATAGACATAATTCGAAATTCAAAAATATCAGCTAACCGCCTTTGGAAATTCCTAACAGTTGTGCTGCTACCTATACATCGATTCTTAAACTAAATAAACTAAGCTTGACTGTCGTAAGCATTGTTAAACTAGCCACATGTATCACAAATCAGAGGTTCCCTTGGGACCGTATAGATGGCAGCCCTAACAATGTATGTCAGTAAACTTCGGATAGATGTCAGGTCATCACAGATAGCCAGAGGCGTCGCTTAGGGAGTCAGCAGTTTATGAAGGGGAACCTGTATGGTTACAACACTGAGCACGCTGCTGCAAGCATACATTTCTTTTTTGTTACTACTACTAGCACTCGTTCAAAGTTATCTTCATGAAATGAAGCAATATGTTACTTTTAATGGATTCAACTCGCACCACTATGTAATTAAATCGGGAGTGCCTCGGGGTTCAAATCTTGGTCCTTTATTGTTTAGCTTATTTATTGATGATGTTTGGTTTATTATTTAAGTTGTAAAAAGCTCCTCTTTGCGGATGATTTAAAATGATTCAGGAATATTGAGTCTGAGACTGATTGTATTGCACTTCAGCGTGATATTGATTCTCTAGTGGCTCGGTGTGACGAGAATAATTTATTTCTTAATGCGTCTAAGCTAAGTGTAGTGTAGTCAGCTTTTCCAGGAAAACTTTGCTTGTAAATTTAATTATAAAATTGGGGATGCTTACATAAATCGTTATAATTCAATTAAGGATTTGGGTGTAGTTTTTGACCATAAGCTTAATTTTTCACTCCACATTGCTCAAAAGGTGAGTGAAGGTTCGATGGCGTACGGTTTTATTGTGAGAAACTGTAGAAGCTTTAGACGCCCAGAGTCACTGTTGGTTTTGTATTCTGCATATATACTAAGTGACATATAACGTAAATCCGAACACCCAGTTTAAATGGTTTTATTTTAATAAAATTTTGTATAAGTACTTAATGAAGCATAATAAGTAAATGATAAAAATTTCAAAATGATTGCACTGCTTTAAAGCCCTTTGACCTTTAATAATGTGTGGATGCACCCTGATGTGCTACGCATTCTCCAACGCGCCTAGGCATGCTTCTGATCAGGTGGTCAATGTCCTCCTGTGGTATCTCATTCCAGGCAACCACCAACTCCTGTCGAAGTGCTTCTAGAGTCTGAGGAGGACGTTGCAAATTGAGCAATCTCCTACCCATCATATCCCACTCATGCTCAATTGGGGATAAGTCGGGAGATCTTGGTGGCCATGGTAACAATGTGACATCATTATGTTGAAAGAAGTCTATTGTGACTCTTGCAACATGTGGTGGGGCATTATCTTGTTGGAAAGTTGGATCTGCCAAGGTGTCAAGATAGGGTAAAAGATTGGGTTCTAGAACTTCGTGGATATAACGCTGCGCGTTCATGTTACCTCTGATGAAGATTAAAGGTGACCTGGAACCATAAGCTATAACACCCCAAACCATAACTCCAACAGTGTGATGAACATGTCTTTCAACAAAAAACTGTGGATTCCTCCTTTCACCACGTCGCCTTCTAACCCTGGCACGACCATCGTGCATGCCTAAACAAAATCGAGACTCGTCACTAAAGACAATACTGTTCCATTCCTGATCCCAGAGTGACCGTTGTCTGCACCACTCAAGGCGAGTGTGGCCGGTATGAAAACAAGCCAAAACTTCTCATTCGTCGGTAAACACTTCGCATGCCAATAGGTCTTCCGTGTTCTGCAAACCATTAATTTGCAATGGACCTGGTAGTGGAGAAAGGGTCCCTTAAGGCCAATAATCTTAGGCGGCGATCTTCACGGTCTGTTGTTCTACGGCGGCGTCCAGTGACCCTTGCTCTTTGCGTACGGCCTTCTCGAAGCCATGCCTGACAACACCTAACGACGGTGTCTACACCTCTTTGCACTCTAACTGCAATTGCCCGAAAAGAAAGTCCAGCTTCCCGAAGTCCCACTATACGGCCCCTATCAAACTCACTAAGTTGACGAAATCGTACAGGTCTCCGTACTCTAGGCATCGTAACCGATCGTAAAGGACGTCAAGAACCAAAATCCGCCAACGTTGATTCTTTACTGCGGCTGAAATATTCATTTTTAGAGCGTTAGTAAATTAAAAAAAAGCAGTATAAAAACCGGAATGTCCAACTGATAAGGCTGAAAATTTTTTCACTTGTTATTTACAGTAAGATAAATACATTCACCAACTTTTATTAAAATAAAACCATTTAAACTGGGTGTTCGGATTTATATGTCACTTAGTATTTTAGATCGAGATTGGAATATGCATCGTTAATTTGGAACCCAATTTACAGCTGCTACATTGATTCTCTTGAGCATGTTCAGATAAAGTTTCTAAAATATTTATCGTTTAAAGTTGACGGTATATATCCTGAACGTGGTATATCTGAAAGTTTGTTATTGTCTAGGTTTCAAGTGCAGTCTTTAGAACTGAGAAGGAATAAGTTAGTGTGCATCAATTATGTTCTTGCATATACTACTGCACAATCAAATTGATGCTGATGGGATTGTGGCTCAAATAAACTTTAATGTTCCATCTATTCAAACTCGTACAGCTAAAACATTTTATTGTGACGGGGCTCGCACAAATTTGTTTTTGAATGCACCCATGTGATGTGTGAAACTTTCAATGCAATATCAAATTATTGTGATATACATGCTACAGTTTGAACAGCATTCTGAGAGCAGCTAGAAATTACTTGGATATTTTACGATATGTTACTCACCTGAGTGAAATATGTTTTTTTTCTTCTTTTTTTTGTTTGTTTTTTATTTAGATAAAATCACCTGCTTTTTGTGTTCTCTGTTCTTGTTATTTTGATTTATCTTAGGATTGTCCTGTAAATGGTTTCCTTAACTGTTGGAAATAAACGCTATTTATTATTATTATTATAGTCGTGTAACATTCCGCATATGGCACTAATAGAATTACTCGTGTTTGCATAAAGCTGGAAATCACAGTTTCCGTGGGTACGATTATTCGCCGGAGCACATTATACGGTCAGGTTCAAATTTGGCTGACGTAATGTGTACAAGAGAGAAGTCCGAGAAGCGTTCAATATGTATGTTAGAGAGAGTGTGCCGATGGCGTCCGTGGTCCCGTCACTCGGGTTACTTTTTGCAAACGAGGTGCTTCTATCTCTTCCTAACACAGGACACACGTATTGCACGCTTCTCTCTCGTACACAATACGATGTCAATAGTATCTGGTTTTCAGTGCATATACCTGATGCCATATGTTAACCTCTCCATCTAAATATTCCAAAAATTAATAGGCATCCTAGAAAATAGTTTTAAACAAAAGTTGTAAGGTTTCGAAGAGGCAAAATGATGCTGACCTTGACCATAATCTTAATTACGATCTTCAAGGTCATTTAAGGAAAGATTGATTCCAAGGTCAAGTAAAGACCTTGAACACAATTTTCTCTAAAAAAAATGCACGACAGCATAGTTGTCTGGTTTCTATAAGAGTAACCCAAAATTCCGATACAGAAGCCCAGTCAATGAGTCGAGTATTTGGTTATCTTTGTCGGTTGAGAATGGAAATGCCGTTATTTGCGAACAGTCCTTTTAAACGCTTATCCTCGGTGCCAAAGTGTGGATATTGTAGAAAATACACCCTCATGAATTTAAAAAAAATAGTATCCTGACCCCGTATACGTACACCACTGCAACGATACCAATGCATGTCATAGGTGGCTGCTTACCATCATTCTTCTTAAGACCGGCAGAGGGCGCGGTTAATAGGGAGTTTGGCAAACGTCAGGTAAATTGTCAAAAACATCTGTGACTTGTTTTTGGTAAACAAAGTTTTCCAATACCAGGGCTCAAAATGAATGAAGAAATCGACGATACCGAGTTTTACCAACAGGATTTTACTACGGCATCCGAATGGGAAATATTTATAGCTCGTATGGAAGAAATCATCAATCAGTGGAAGACTGACGAGCTAAACAATGAGGCCCCCGTACAGCACTCTGGCATTTGGGAAATTAAGACAGAGAAAATCACTTTTGCAGACTTTGAATTCGACTTGCTTCTGTATAAGAAGACGACCGAGTACTCCGACTCTTCTGAGAGCAGCGACGAGAATGAAAAGCAAACGAAAAATCCGATAGATACGTTATACGATTTTGAACTATACAATGCAAACAATGATGCTGAACACTCTTTTCTCTCAGCCTGGTACGGCTTAGATGAATACTACGTTTTAGCATCAGCTTTAAACATAGGAATAAATACTGAGAGCAAAATTAAAATCCTTCTAAGCTCCGCATACATTGTATCCAGCAGTCCGAATTGTGAGAGACCCATTTTCGTTCAAATTAGAGATACATGGCAGAGATGTTATCTAGGTGTATATGAAGGAGATTGTATTAGAACAAACTTTGAAATGGTTCATTTGAAGAGAGGCCCAGGGCATTGCTACTATTTGAATGGATTATTAGACATGTTTAAGACCAAGATCATGTCACCAGCGTCACTTGATTCCATCACTGTCTCAGTGCAGTTAAAGTATATTCTTAGAGAATTTGGAAGGTACGAGTGGAAGCAAGATCTTTCAGAGAGTGAGAATTTTAATGTGGATGCCTTACCATTTGGCGTTACAGTAGAACCTATACATTGGCTGACACTTAGAGCAACTTGGAATCACTTAGCGGACAATCTGGTCATGGACAGTGAGGGACATTCAGACTTCGATCCAATGACTGCTCCAAAATGGTCTTGTTCGGCCAGAATGCATGAGCCTGTCTGTTTGCTTGGAGATGCTTTGTCTGCATTTTTAAATAACCTGGAAGGCAACACTACTGTCTACGATATTCTAGGTAAGCTAGCTTTTGTTTAAAATGTTCCTTACACTATGTGAATCACTAGACTACATGTTTGTGGAGTGGCAATTAAGGTCCAGGCAAAATGTTATCACCCACCTTTACAAAGCTTGTAAAGAGTCGTGGATTCGCCGAGAAAAATTTTGCATTAATCGATCAAATAGTGTCAATTTTTAACAGTTTTTGTAAAAACAGTATCCATTTAACTGGACAATGATTTTTTAAATAGAATGTAAACTAACTTTCTTATTATGCAACTTTTATATAGGTGTTTTTTGGTATATCAACTTCTTTTGACAAGTTCCACAAGCTGTTGAAATAAATGACTCAACTTTGAAAACACCCTGTATACTTGTCCTGATCTTGTTCTAAACCTTTTTTAGGTGATTATGCTACATTGCCTTCAGCAGAAAGCAATCCGTTGGACCTGCTGACAGAACCTGCTGTTCCAACCATAACATCATTGTTAGCCAAAGCTGCAAGGAGGTCTTCTAAGAGTACCAAAGGCACTCCGCCCATTACAGAATCTGTCCTAGTTCCTTTGCTTTACTATCTTTTCCCTGATGCTGATGAGAATCCTAGCTTTCCATATGGGGGCAAAGAGGATAAAGACACTGCAGAGAAAACAAATGAAAAGGTACGTTTGAGAGGGTTATTATTGTTTCAAATTTATTCACAAAGTTTAGAGAATTACGTCAGTCTCTTCTGTAATTTTACATTCTTGTCCATTAAAATTAAAATTATGTCACTATGTATTTTGATTAATCATAAAGTGATTTTTTAATTTTACCTTGAACATTTTTAAATTCGAACTCTGTTTAATATCATTATTCAATTTACTAAATTCAAATACTCCCTTTTGAAATATAGATATACTAGTTATGCTACTATTACAATTTTGCAGATGAAAATCTATACTGCCTCTAGTTTCGTAGTTATGATAATGACTATTTAATTTTGTAAAGTTCAAATGAGGTGGTAATAAATGATTTTTTAATTTGAATATGAAAACGAGAACTAAATAATATATGAAATTTGTCACATGCAACCACTGCAGTTCCTCTAACACAGACCTAATTCTAGCATATTTGTTTTTATTTAAAATGATTCTCATAGTTTTATTTTGCAGAATTTGTAATTTTGAAAATATGTTTTCATTTGCTGTAAACAAGATGGTTGAACAATATAAAAAATGGGGAAGAATTATAGTGTTATACACACTTTTTTTGGAATACATACTAAGATTATGGGAAACTCTATGGAAGTAATTTATCTTTTTCGATATTTTTGATATAATGTATTCATAATGTTCGTGAAACAGTAGCTTACTATCAACATATATACCAAGATATTTAAATGACTCGACTACTTCAATTTTTTCATGATTAATCATGAGCCTAATTGAATTGTGTATCGTCCGCAAATATTTGAATTTTGCAGTATTCTAAAATGTCAGAGATATCATTTATATAAATAATAAATAGTAATGGCCCCAATTTACTACCCTGTGGCACCCTTACTGATATATTTTGAACACTTGACATAGTATTTCCAACTTTAGTTTTTTGACTTCTATTTACTAAATAATTTTGTAAAATGAGTAATACTGATCCTTTAAAGCCATAGGGACGCAAATTCATTAACAATTTTTCCCTATCTATATTCTCAAATGCCTTTTTGAAGTCTAAAAATATTGTTACAATATATTCTTTCTCATCTATACTTCTTCTCCAGTCTTCCACCACCATTTGGATTGCCGTTTCTGTGGAACATTTTTTTCTAAATCCAGCTTGATCTTTTTTTCAAAATTTTGGTTTCTTTAATGAATTCTATGACTTGTTCGTATATTATCCCTTCGAACAGCTTCTTGACATTGGGCAAGACATTAATCGGTCTCATATTTGCATACAGCTGAGAATTTTGAACTTTTTATTAGATTTCAATTTTGAGTTAGCTTTTCTTAGATTGTTGATGGGTCCACAATAATGTAATTTTGACAGGTTGAGGCTCCACATGATGGTATTTACAGAAAACAATTAACTATTGTCATTTATATTGCTACAAAGGCCCCAATAAAATTTTGCTATTTTTTGCACCCTGTATAAGAACGGCTTAACGATGATAATTTTGGAAACCGTGACGTCAATCAAATGAGCTATTTTTCAGAAAACCAGTTCGACGCTGGGGTAAGGACAAATTAAAAAATAATAACAGATTGAATGAATACCTATTTCATAGAAAGTGTCAACGATATTGTAAGATCAATTATTGACAGAGATCCCCACCAATGTCCCATTAGATCGGATTTTGCCAATGGAGATCCAAATGAGTTGATAGTTTTCTGTGGACACCTTTATGGGGCGATACCTCCGTAGAGGAACTCCTTATAACTTTCTTGTTTTTATTTTTTATTTCCTATAACCATATAAGAAATTGCCTTTTTATTCTGGGATCTTCTGATACATCTCAGGAATGTCTCAGGCTCGAAGAGAAAGATACATACGCATATTTCTTCTGTAGGCAGCTCCTGAGTCAGATCTTGCTGTGCAAATATAGGGTTTGTCGCAAAGTGAGCAGGACTTTTGATACAAGTAGCGCCATCTATTATCGGAGACTAGCGCTGGATAGGTACATCCCTGTCAAAATTTCATGACCATCGAACCACTTCACGCGGAGCTATCGCGTTCAAAGAGACAGTAGCTTTTTTTTACCTAAACGCATCAGACATTGATGCAAGTGTACGGTGATGATTGTGTCCGATTTTTTGATAAAAATCAACCACTCCCCATATTCTCCTGATACGGCATCGTGTGACTATTTTCTGTTCGGTAAACTACTTGAAGTGACAGCGGGATGACCATTTTGAAGGACATTCCGGTCATTTTGAGCTAAAATCGTCATTCGAAAATCGAAAAAGTGTTTGTTCATTTTTTTCTTTGTTCTGTTTACTTTGCGACAGATTTTGTATTTCAGCTACATATCATTCGTTTATTTGACGATTTTTGTTTCCGTAAGACCATAATACTAAAATTAAATTATTCTTAAGGAACTTCAAAACTTACCTTTCCTGTATATGATAAAATATTTTAGTACTTACAAATTGTTTCTATCCAGGGTATGTCCAAGAATTTCGAAGAGGAATTCAAGGGCTTCAAAACGTGTACCAAGGACTCGCTCACTTGGCGTTTGTCCATTGTTTTGACCCATGCCCTCCAGTCTTTGGGTGGGGTGAAAGCTGTAGCACACATTTGGTACGAATTCGTCCAGGAAATGAGGTATAGATGGGAGAAGAGTATGCCGATACCAGGGTGAGTCGATAGATATTTTCTACTGTAAATGACGTCATACTTTTATTAACTGTATACGAGGACGGTCCTATAAGTACTTGGCCTACAAAGCATACATTAAAATTTTGGAAAAGTGCCGATTTATTTCTCAAAATGGTATCCTTTTAGCTCCATACACTTGACCCATCGAAATACGATTTCTTGAGGGCTGCAAGGTAGGTCTCCGTGGCGGCGATAACATCCTCATTCGACTTGTTGAAGATTGGAAACAAAAAAGTCACACGGGCGAGATTTGGAGAATACGATGGACGGGGCAGAAGTTCGTAGCCTAATCGAACCGTGGTGACGGCGGGGGCGTGGACCGGTGCGTTGTTATGGCAGAAGAGCACTTTTTTCTTCGCCAAATGTGACCGTTTTTCCTGAAATTCGGCGTCGAATCGGCCCAATACTTCGGCATATTGCATTGCATTTTGCCGTCTCTTGTGGTAGTGGCGCCATCTGGTGGTGTGCCTAAGTACTTGTCGGACCACCCTCGTAGAGTTGTTTTGACTTCCAATTTTTATATTTGAACACTTTTGATGGATCACAGCTTGTAATAGTGGGATAAACAAGTAGTAGTGTGGTAGTAGTGGTGGGGAAGAGAGTATTACCAACTCTGTACTATTCGATGAGCCATCTGCTGGTAACTGATATAACAAACCAGCTCCAGCAATGAGATGTACAAATCGTTAATATGCGCGATATAGACAACACACAATACAACGTCTGTGGCTCGGAATTAAACTAACCATCGTGGCTCCGGTTGGATAAACGAACTCTCATAAATTGTAGCAAATGATCGACCGTTTCTAAAAGGCATCTCCTCTGTTTGTTCTGTAGAACAATTACTAGTTGGGTATGTTTAACGCTTTATTTTATAAAAAAAATGTATTTACAAAATAATAGATATGAATAGATATCCAAAACAAAGACATGTTCACTCAACTCAATTCAAATATCTTCCTTAAAGTCACGTGAGTTGTTTAACAAAAACACTTAAAATGTTATATTATAATACTTAACAACATTGTTAACAGATATTTACACGTTTTTATTTATCTAGCAAATTTATTGGAGCACACAACAACAGAATGTTCTATGTGGTTCCAAAGCTACAATGTCACATGTCTGCTTAAGTATTAACATTTAACGATTAGGTATAAGTCAGTTACCAGTTTTTCTAGCGAAGTAATTAAGAAAAACGTTACTTGGTAGTAACCGATTTCTGGAATTATTGGTTGGTAAAGAAGATGCTTCCTTCTGGTCCAATTTGTTAATTGAATTTTGAAACTCTCGCTAAAATGATTTTTAATTCGCATACCATCTGTCGAGATCTGATCATCTAGCTTTTCAAATTTTCAATGTTTCAGATTTTTGTAAATATTTACCATAAACTGATGATCACATTTACAGATATTGGCGACAGTGTTTTTTACTGGGAATTATACGGTTGAATTGTTTTTGAGAATAAGCTTTTTTGAGCGGTTCAGCTTGGATCAAGTATTCTTATCGATATGAACTGATAGAACTTTCTATTAATGTATGTATTCAAGCACCATTCAGAAAAATACATATTAGGACAATTAAAGTCCAAAATGTACATCATCTTGCATAATTTGTGGTAAATAAATATTCTGTTATATAATTGCACAGGTCAGCCTGACTATTGATAATTTCGTATAATCTTATATTTCCAACTGGTTTGTAGATTTGAGGTAGATGGAATAGAAGAACCTAAATATTTTCCTGGTTGATTCAAGATATTGGCAAAAAGGTAGTAAAAGATCTATAGGTCTGTGATTTTCAAGAAGAGTTGGATCTTGCTTCTTGCACACCAGTCTTCAATTGGTCTGGGAAGATTCCGTATTTAAGAGCATTATTTATATGGTGATAAAGAATTTCTGTGATAATTGGAACTGGATTATTTAGTAAGACACAACCCTGTAGACAAAATCGTAATTTGTTCTGTGCTTTGTACGCTGTGGATCCATACTTTCTAATAATGCATTAATTTAAATAAGTTCGACCCAAAAAACTTCGCCAGGTGAGAGTAAAACAAAATAAACATTTTTTTACCTCTGAATACAGTTTTGAATTTCATGAGATTCATCATTGCCAACAGTACAAAATTTAATTCAAGTGATTAGCTGTTCACGTCCAGTGATGAAGTATCTTGAAAAATAGATTAGTATTTGTGATTGCCAAGATTCTCCAGCGTCAAAAAAAAAAACTTGTTCAGTAGTCGTTACATACTGTACTGTAGATCTTTGAAGAAAAATCGGGCAGTAACTATGTCTGCCACAGTACAATCTACCACATACAAAACTATACATCAGCACACACACTTCTCTATTGAATGTACACCTTCCACGTTTGTCTCGTCAATTTAAATAATGTTTACCACAAACACAGTCACTATCACCTTCGACGTAACTTTCGGTGGGTTTTAGCTGTGTAAAACGACACTAAACTTGTGCAATATTGCAACATGTCCATCGAGTCAGCTAACTAGTACTTCGTCTCTTCATCGCCACTAAATTATTGCGTACAACTCTCAATATTGTTTTATATGTCCATACGGTCAGCTAGCAAGTACTGTCTCTTGATCACTATAGTGATTGAAGTCCCTTACAGAGGCACCAGGCCGTTTCTTGTCGTTGGGTTTCGGGCCATGTAAATGTCCATGTCGTGGTCTGTCCAGTTGTCCGTGCTGTCGCAACATTGGTTCAGGGTGTGGGTGCTGCCGGCCGTGCTGTACCTGAAATAAAATTACTTTGCGAATTATATGAGACTCGGTAAATAAATTCACAAGTGTTCGGAGTGTGATAACATCAATGTTTCGTCATCGTCGTTTCATAATGGAATTAAGGTGATCAGAATAATTTATCATCTATGGTAAGAAAGAAAAATAATGAACTTTGAGTAGGGTGAATGTACCGGTTGTGGGTCCTTTAGACAAAAATGGAATACAACGTGTAATTATGAATTTTGTGTTTGCTTATTCCTGTATTTTATAAAAAAATATTAATCAAAGTGATTATATTTTGCCAGTACCCGCACAGAAGGTGCTAATAGTTGGTTGGATAGTTTTCAATTGTCGGACAGCATTTGATTGGCAAGTTTTAGAAAAATTAGTGGTAGTAGAATAAAAACTTCAAATCAGTTGTCATTTAGACTTAGAAAAAGGAATTAAATACACTGATACTGAATCTATTTAATGAAGACATTTTGATCAAAAAAAGTGATAGATTTTGACAATCTTTTCCAAATTTCACTAAAGCCTTTAGAGATTGTGTCATTATATGGAATTAAATGTACAACAACATGTTATGTTCTAGGATTATAAAGTACTCCCACATTCCGTTTAAAAAAATGTTCCAAGATGGCGCCATCTTGAAATCTTCAACTGCCAGTTTCACGCATCAGTTTCATCTTCCAGAATTTCAGCTTGCTACCTTGATCCGTAAGGGGTTGAAAAGCACTAGAATCTTTTTCTGACCAGAAAGGAATACGGCTATAAGTTATCTTTATTTGTTCGTCTGCTTTTGTAGGTGTAGAAGTTTTTTTAGGGTGAAGTGATTGATGAGTTTACCTCTATTTAGGGTAGGTTTTATGGTAATTCTTTGAGTCCAATAACGTCCTTAGTCCTTATTGGCCCTATCTCAAATATGGCTATAGCTGCTCAACCTATGAATGAAGAATGCTCAATAAAAATAGGTTTTTAAAATCTCCGTTACTTCGTTTCGAACACTCCGAAAAATCGTTAATTAATTAAAAAGGAAATTACTCCAAAAAATATTTTAATGATATTGAATTCAGAATAGTACTAGATTGACGTCGAATTCGGAATCTGCGCTCCCGACTGACCTAAACAAGTTTTTATCTGTATCATTGACGGTCAACAGTTTTTATATATTTATTAGTCGTTTTTTTTTTGACAAAGTTGAATTCTTGCCAGTATCTCGGAAACGAGGACTGAATATGCAACCGATTCGCTTTCAGCGACCCAAAAAAAAGATGTTTCAAGACATGTTGTGCTCACGTTACCGACTGACCCATTTTGTGCCTTTTTGGTAACGATGTTAAAATAGCTTTAAATGCGGTTCAAATTATATTTAATCCGGATATTTTGGGTCTCCAAAACCGAATCCGAAGTAGTTCACATGTATCTGATCCCATTTAACATGCAGATATACTTATTTAGCCAAAAATTGCAAAACTATGCATTTTTTGAAACTTTAACTACAAATATGGTGCTTTTCTTTTCTCTTGTGCGTTGGAAAAACGTACTTGAAATAAATTCGTAAATTCGAACGAAAACCTCACCTATACAAACAAATGGTTTATGCAATGGGTTTCATTATTTTGAAAAAATGAAGTTATCCTGCCGCACCCTGTATATAGAAAGCCATGTTATAGATTACAAACTATTAGTGTGAATATTTTCTGAAGACATCTGCCATAATGGGGCATTCATTGCGAAGATTGTCAGTTATGTGTATAGTAGGCGACGACGATATTGTATTCGTTTACATTTTTTCCGATAGTTATAAAACGGCTATAAAACCGAGAACCGGAGGCATGAGGACAGAGACGGATCTGAAAATTTTCAAATATTTTCTCTTGCAAGTTGTGAGATGAGAGATGACTGAATCAAGTTGTTGAAGTAACGTTGATTATTATAGGTTTCAAATCTCTGAAATGTCCGCAGGGAACAACGCTCGCCTCTTTACATCAATTCTCGATGTACCATCTCTGCTATGGGAATTTCGTTACGTTTATAATGATCATATACTACGTTCCTTATTTTGGCAGTTGTTGCTGCACTTAAAGGTATAGATGTCCTCTTGTCAGTTCTTCTTTTTCTTGGTTGAATGAATGAATGAAAACACGAAATTAGAGGCATACCGGCCACCATAAGGAGCCGGCGCATAGGCCACTCAGATGGGCCCTTGTGCACTTCCACATTCCTTAGACCTCAAGCCTCGCCATTCTAGCGAAGCCCGCAGCGCTCACACAAGGGATCCTCAGCCGCGCCCATCACGTACAGGTGGCGCCTTTTTTTGGTTACGAGTAGTTTTACAAATTGTAGGATATGGCACGTAAGTCAGTTCGGCTGTTTTTTTAAGGACACTACTATTGCCGCTATCACCCATTTCACGTAACAGTCTATTACAAACATTAATGCAAATCTGTTGAGCATCAACAGACAGGCACTTTTTTTAGAAATACGACTGTATTCCTGACTATCATTGCTGCCCTTAGATTAATTTTTGTTTAAAAAAGGTAGACATTTATATTATAAGTGGTTAATTAATAAAATTTATTAACTAATTTAGTACAAATTTATAGAATTTAATATGAATTAAATTAGATTTAGTATAAATTTAAGAAAATATTATTTATTTAAAAATTATTAATTAAAATTTTAGGCTAACTATTTAATCCAAAATAAGGACACGACTGCGCACTGACAGTATCACTGTCCGAAAAGCCTTTGCTCCAAGATGGCTTTCCATCACTCATAGCACCTTTGTACATATAATTTTCGATGTCCGTGGGCCGCAGACCTGCCTGAGCAGATCGTTCCGATGGGCGGAAAAAATTCGTATCGCACATAATTATTATTCAAGATGTCGTCCGTCAACCTCGATCGTCTGATAGAACTGAAAATATATTCCCGAGTACGGCTCTGTTGCATCGCGTTGACTCACATGCGCGCGGAACTCGGGATGGGGGTGGAGCGGTTCAGTTCTTCATAGCGCAGTCACAATAGGTGAACTTGTTGCTATGAAACAATGCGATTTTTTAGATTCGCTATATTCAAAAAAATTGTATGGAAGTATTAGAGGTTATTGCACATTGCTCAAATGTATAATTTATACAGACCAACCACAATGCATTATTATTTATACCGTATCATATAATGACCGTACTATATGGCGGATCGGAACACAAGGAAACAGAAAAAATGTAGACGAATACAATATCGTTGTCGTCTACTATAACAGAGAATTTTCATACTATCTTTAGTTGCTGTTTATTTTCGTTGAGAATAGGTTATGATGCCTGATTCTAATAAGTTCGCCGTCGAAATTAATTTCGATTGCGCGTTTCCGTCATGTATTTGATGCACCATGATAACATTGAGACTGCCATGATACTTTGACTATAAAAGATCGCTAGATTCAGGTGTAAAAAACATTATAGCGGTTTATATACAGGGTGGTCCATCCATGTGTGGACGGAATATTTACTCATAAACAAATGGATTTTGGGAAAATCTATGAATGGCAGGTTATACATGACATCTGAGCGCACATTCATAAAATATTGGTCATTATACAGGGTGTCCCAATTTCGACGTACATATCAAAATTGTAATTTTTCAAATGGCATGCCTCAAACTTTATTGCATATTTGGATAAACCAATTCAAAAGAAGAAGATTGATATAACATACTATGAGGTTTTGGTAATTAGCTACTGAGATGTAAGGTGTTTCGTCCAGAAAAACTGTCCAATTCGGCAACCCCTCAATCCGCCATTTTGAAATTTGGCGTGCTGAGTTTTGTATCAAAAAAAACTTACACACCTCGGCTTTTATCTTATTTGTTACTTTTCGAATTTTCGTTTTTGCTCATACAGGGTGGTCAAAACTTTTTCTCAAAAATTTAAAATGCATCACCCTGTATATTTGTGCAAGTTTGGATTCAATTTTTTATAAGCTTTTTTTGGTATAAAGTATAAAATTAAGGAAAAAAATCACAGCATCCATGGAAAACAAAAAACCAAAAAGGGGGCTAGTTCCATATTGCCACTAAGAGTAGAGATTTGACGTAAAAACTAATAACAATCAGAGCAGTATAAATCATCTTCAAGCGTAATAGAGAAAAACAACTATAACACCAACATAAACAAACAACTATCACTACTCAAAACCTAATCTACAAAAACTGCTCGAAAATATCTCCGCCATGTTGGATACACAGCGGTAGTCTTTGGATAGATGATCGTTGCGCATCCCTTATGTTCAGAAAAGAATCCTTAACACTTTCCTTCATATTTTCCGGGGTAGATGGTGAATATCTATAAACCTCTTGCTTAACGTAGCCCGATAGAAAGAAGTCCATCGGTGTCATATCTGGTGATCTAGGAGGCCAAGATATAGCCCTATCACGACCGATTTATACATTTTTTACTATATTCCACTGCTCCACTTGATTCAAAACGTTCTCGCTTCGCCCAAAACGAACACCATATTCACCATTTCTTCTTTAGAAAAATTCATTTTCAAACACGTTTTTATTTTAATGCTCACAAAGCTAATTTTGACAGTTTGTAACTAATCAACAATTCCAATGATTTTAGGGAATTAAGCCGTAAAAACACTAATGTGTCAGTATCAAAAAAAGCTTATAAGAAATTGAATCCAAACATGCACAAATATACAGGGTGATGCATTTGAATTTTTTGAGAAAAACTACAATTTGCGTTTTTGACCACCCTGTAAGAGCAACAATTGAAATTCGAAAAAGTGGCAAATAAGATAAAAGCTGAGGTGTGTAAGTTTTTTATACAAAATTCAGCACTGCAAATATCAAAATGGCGGGCTGAGAGGTTGCCGAAGTGGGGCGTTTTTCTAGACAAAACGCCTTATATCTCAGTAGCTAATTACCAAAACCCCATAGTATGTTATATCAATTTTCTTTTTTTGAATTGGTTTACCCATCTATGCAATAAAATTTTAGGCATTCCATTTGAAAAATCACAACTTTGATAAGTAGGTCGAAATTGGGACACCCTGTATAATGTCCAATATTTTAGAAACGTGCTCTCAAATCTCATGTATAACATCCCCTAAATCCTAAATAGATTTTCCCAAAATGTATTTATGAGTAATATTCCGTCCACACATGGATGGGCCACCCTGTATATAATGAAACTATTGCCAGTTCTATAACTGTAAACTTTATATTTACCGACTGCTGGGCCTTTGCGGCGGTCCTAGATGATCTCGGGACCGGGACCTGGGCCGCGACCTTCTCGCTCCTGGCGGGCATTCCCCCCATCTCTCTGTGGGGGGCACGGGGAGTCCCCCGCCTCCTCCTCTTGTCGACATTCGTTCCGATTGCATCGCCAGCGATTGGCGGGATTGCCTCAAGTCTACAACACAATACGTACTTATTGGTTTAATTTAAAAGTGTGCCAGGTACATTGAAAATTAGAATCCACCAGAAGGAAAAAAATTTCTTCAGCCGCCTAGAGTGTACTTAAAAGATAGCAACTGCGTTGTGAAGGTGACGGTGGCAAGGTAGATGGCGCCAATGGTTGACTGTTAGGCCGGGAAAATTAGGGCTAAACACTGGTTGACCACAAAAGTAGTTAGAAAGAATGATAGTCAAGTAGAATGAATATTTAGTGGATGTTTGTTAAAGAATAAGCAGTCTGTAATTTTATTTATTAAGCAGAATTTTATACAACAAAGATTAAAGTCAATGGTCTAATTTGACAGACCTATAAATAGAAAAAAATTGTTTTTGTAGCTAACCTCAATTGTTAAAGATATACTACTTGTTTTAAATTATCTCTCTGCTAACTCGTGACACGGTTTTTTTGAACAAAATGATTTGATCCTCGCTTCGAGCAGGCCGCAAATCCTTTTTTTTTGATTTGCGACGAAGCTACTGTAATGAAATGGTGTCGAGCGTGGTTCCAAGAAGGCGGAAATCGACGAGTTAGAAGTACTGGACGGCAAAGACAGACTACAGAGCGACAGGATCTTCATCATTGAGACACTTAGAGATCGATTTTTCACAAGGTTGAAAAAAACATGTTTTTCTTAAAAAAAACTGTTTTTTTTATTTAAATCATTCAAATTTAGCTGAAAAAAAAACATGTTTAAAACAGCACCGTTTGCCTTTGGGTAATTTTTCGCGTTGCGATCTCCAGCAGTCAAATGTGCGAAGTCGTAGCGTGGTGGTGTGTTTTGTTTTTTGTGCATTAAAGATCGGCAAAAAAGAAAGGCAATAACAGGGAGGAGAAAGGATCCCGTATGGAAATATTTTAAGCCAAAGCTGGCCCGAAAATAAATAATGGAGCAAGATGTTTAGCCTGCAATATGGTTATACTGGGTGCGCCATCTATTACTTTTTTTTTAACTATAAGTTTGTGTTACCATGTGAGTCAAAAGTCATAAACGAACTGTCAAAGGTATGCCATTTATAGTCATGGATTCGTTTACAACACAACAACGCATTTTGCTTATCCAAACTTATTACGAAATCGGTCGGAAAGAGTCTAAGACCCCTCAACGGGGGGCTGAAAATCCACACCAATATCATGAACGACCTCTCCATCCTGAAAAAGTGACTGTTTCGTGCGGATTATGGGCTGGTGGCATCGTTGGACCATTCTTCTTTGAAGATGTCGGAGAAAAGGCCATTACCGTCAACGGAGAATGTTATCGCGGCATGCTAACAGACTTTTTGTGGCCACAATTGGATCGTATTGGTGCCGACGATCTTTGGTTTCATCGAGACGGAGCAACGGCTCACACATCTCGCCTTATTTCAAGACCGCATAATTTCACGAAATTCAGATGTCAGTTGGCCCCCGAGATCGTGCGATTTAACACCTCTTCACTATTTTCTTTGGGGATTTTTTAAAGGAAAAGTGTATGCGAATGGTCCCCGGACAATTCAAGACCTAAAGCGCAATATTCGGACTGAAATTGCGGCCATAGACCCGATTATTCTGGGAAAAGTCATTGAAAATTTTGATGTTCGGATGTTGGCCTGTAAACGAAGCTGCAGTGGCCACATGACTGATGTTATTTTTCATAGAAAAGTGGCATAAACCAACCTTCGTTTATCAATAAAAAAATCGATTTCACCTCGTAAAAAGCGTGTTGATTTTTCAAATAGAAAAAAAGTAATATATGACGCACCCTGTAGTACCACTGCTGGGTAGAATGCGCAAGCATATTAAAAATTGTAAACAACTTGAACAAGGAAGTTTGTTAGAAAAATAAAATATTCATATATCAGCTAGTTCTGTTACCGACAATGATGATGTTTCTAACAAACCTATTTCCAAAAAGTAGCTTGGAGAACTGTGAAAAATGTTCATTTTTATAAATTATAAATTTATTCCATGTACATTTTTCATGATTTTATACTTTAAAAATATGGATTACGATTTTTTTTATTTTTTGTTAAATACTTTTAAAAATTTGTTAAGTAATTTATTTAATGTTATTATACAAGTAAATACGTACTTGTATTATATGATTATTCTGCTGCTTGTAGTGTGTTCGCTAAGAAACAGATTTTTTCCACTAGTAGTTCCCTAGTTTCATGTTTGACTAGTTAATAAAGAATAAAGTATATTTTTATGTTTTAACCTATGACTCTTTTAGTTTCATGTTGCAAAATAAAATAAATTTTAATCATGCTTAAAAAACTATGAAAAAACTTAATCAATTCGCAAAAAAGAGTGTTTAAAACATGATTTAAACAGTTTAAAACAAATTGGTTTAAAACACCTTTGTTTAAAACACTCGCTTTAAACATTTTGATCAAAACATAAAAACCCTGATTTTTCACAACAAGGGCAGTTGCGAACCAGGTTTGATGCTGTCGGGGCAATAACAATGATGACAGGTTCTATTTAGCAGTAGACCTAAAACTTGTAAAAGTATGCTCAAAATTAACTCCTATACTACAACTATTTAAAACTGTAATGACTCATACGCGTGATCAACACGTGATCAGAGCTCGATCCCGGCTTCCTTCCAGTACAACCGTATAGCGTACGACATATGTCGTTTCTGTGGCTTTGCGGTGGTCAACAGCACAGACAGAGATGGAAATAATGGCTGATTGTTCTCCGCCGGTAGAACCAATGAAATCAAAGACGCGCCCCGACCGGCAGACTCATAGGCGTCGGCAACGTATTGGAACGTGTTTCGTTGAGCGATCGCATATTGTGTGTTTTTATAAGAATTGTTGTGTGATTGTTATTGTTGTGGTTTCTGTGGTTACTGTTTTGGTTATACTTAACCATGGAGAGTACAAATGGCACGAGTGGAAGTACTGAAAGCCAGGGAACAAGTAGACGGCTTCGTAAAGCACTGAAGAGGGACGCGAAAGAAATCGTGCTCAACGCGTTCAATTATCTGAACAGAACTATGTCGCAGGGAGATGCACTCGCGCGTTGTGAAAGTATGACAGGCGTTCCAGAGTGGACCATTCGCAGGGTGGTGCATGAAAAGAAGAAAACTGGAGCTACTACTGATCCAAAGTTTAATTTGAAGGGACGAAAGGCCGTTAAATTGGATGACGATAGCAAAATGGCGTTAAGGCGAACCGTACATTCATTCTTCTTTAGGAATGAGATACCAACCCTCAAGGCTGTACATGCAGCGATCAAGGAAAATGAAATTATACCCCAAATGATCGTCGAGGTAATGAGGAAATCCCTACACGAAATTAATTTTCGTTACGAAACGCGTAATCGGAAGTCAGTATTGATAGAGAGACCTGAAATAGTCGCCTGGCGTCGAAAATACCTACGCGAAATGATTGAATATAGGCGACAAAGCAGAAAAATCTATTATTTGGACGAGACATGGGTAAATGCAGGTCACACAGTTAAAAAAACCTGGATAGACAAAAACGTAGTGAGTAACCGACAAGCAAGCATTGAAGGTTTGTCAACAGGTCTTCGTGGACCGTCAGGGAAAGGTCAAAGATTGATCGTAACTCATATTGGTAGCGATAGTGGCTTTTTAGAAGAGTGTGACTTGATTTTCGTCTCTAAGAAAGGAGATGATTACCATGACGAAATGAATGCCAGCTGCTTCGAGAGCTGGTTTCAAGGGGTGCTTCAGCGAGTTGAGCCCAACTCTGTGATCGTCATGGATAATGCTTCCTACCATAGTCGTCGAGCCGAACGTGTACTGACTATGGGATCTCGAAAAAGTGACATGCAGCAATGGTTGCGCGAAAAAGAAATCCCGTTTGACGATTCATGTGTGAAAGCGGAATTGTATGAAAAAATTAAACAGCACAAACCTGCGAACATTAGTTACGTGACTGATGAGATGGCCCGTCAATGTGGTGTCACTGTGCTGCGGTTACCGCCCTACCACTGTGAACTGAACCCAATAGAGCTCATCTGGGCTCAAGTGAAGGGTTATATTGCGTGCCATAACACAACCTTCAAATTACCAGACGTTAAGGTTTTACTTGAGACTTCCATACAGCTAGTAACGCCCGAAGCTTGACAGAATGCTATCCGTCATGTTGTGAAGGAAGAAACAAAAATGTGGCAGCTTGACCACCACATCGACACCATCATAGAGCCAGTTATAGTCAATTTCAACGAGGAAAGCGATAGCGACAGTTTATTACTGTCAGATGTAAGTTGAAGCGACGATGAATAAAGGTAATTCCCAAATTTTTGACTTACAATATGTTTCAAACCACTCTTTATTAAGCATGTGACAAATCTAGTTCACCCATGTTAAACATTCATACCCCGCCTATGAACATCCGACTACTGGTAGTTAAGTGATGTTCACGTGAACATCGATGAGTTATTACAGTTTTAGATAGTTATAGTATAGTCGGTGTTGCATTTTCTTTGTCATTTAAGACATTTTCGCGGAAGAAATAAATAGAAAATGAGGAAGAAAGGATGATGGATGGGTTTACCTTGTCTGGAAGCTAACAGATTGTTAGGAAAAGCATTAGCGGTAAGGTAGCGTCCCGAATGATTGCTAAAGCTGTTTTGAGACTGCCCGTCCGCTATGGACCTCGCCTTCTTTCCCATCTGCCCGAAATACCTCATGTCATCCAGCGAGGCCGGCTGGTCCACGGTGTACATCCGAGGTCTTTGGCTGTGCGTGCTGTACGCTGAGACTTGGTCCCACTCCTGAAAAATCGTATACAGTTATTTATTGCTACACTCCTACAGGGATTGTCCGGAAAGTAATAGGACTCATGTTCTTCCGCCATGACTGTACTTCGGAGCGTACTGGATTCGGTAGAGAGCTAACGAATGAGCCAGTGTTGCCATACGTAGCGGAATTCCGCTATTTGTAGCGGATTATTTTGAGAAGAGCGGCGTAGCGGCGGTAGTGCAAATTAGCCCAAAATGTAGCGGAATTTATTACATACAAAACTATCATATTTATTTCACTGTTTTAACGTTAATAACGTTCTAAATCCTAAATAGGCAGTGGCTAGAGTCTGATTTATTATCACATTAATAATAAAATTGGTGCATTTGGTGCCGCTTGAGCCATCTAGGAACAGAGAAGAGAATTATTCCACTTGCCTTTTTTTTTCAATAACAGATGGCGTACGTACTGCTTTCAATACTAATCGTTTCTAACAGGTCTCAGCAGGCAGACATAATATTAGGTTTCTCGCTTTGTATTGTATTTTTCGGCTCTGGGTATATACTGTTTAGTTTCGTTTATATTAGTGTTCTTATTTTCGTGTTGATCATTTTATTGATATATCATTTGCTGCAGATTTTAATATTAAATCTACTGGTAAGAGTAGCAAAACTGCGTAAATATCTAACATATTATAGTTTGATCCAGAAATAAATCTTAGTCGCGAAATTTGTTTTTAACGCTTTTTCTTCTGGAAAATAGGAATAATGGAAAGGCGACAGCAGACCATTAACGATTTTTTTTGATAAAAATCCTTGTAAAAAACAAACGGTGAAACCAAACGTGGCCGTACCATCCACTTCGACTGCATCTGTGTCGGACTCGGAGCATCCCGAACCTGAATACAGACAAAATAGAAGAGCGGAATCTAGTGGAATCAGGTCTGAGCCTGATAATTCGACTTGCGAATCTCAGGATAACCAAGAGCCAGAGCAACCTGTTAAGAAAAAGACACGAAAACAAATGTTTACTTCATCATGGCTAGAAGATCCATTATTTAAAGGCTGGTTGGGACCTATTGAAAATGACAAGTTGAAAGCAAAATGTAAAGCTTGTAATCAAATAATGGGTGCTAAAAAATCAGATTTAGTGAATCATTCGAAATCAAAAAGACATGCCACTAATGTACAAGCAATTTCGAATCTAAGAACGTTAGATAGCACTTTTCAGTCTCGGGAAGCACGTGAGTTGGAAAAACGGCAAATATTTGCTTGCTTAAGATAAAGTCTTTTAGTTGTAAGTCATTATATAAGTTATAGAACTGTTGATCATATAACAGGAGTTAGTCAATTATGTTTTAAAGACCCAGATCTCTCTAGCTCACTTAAATTAAAAAGATCCAAATGCATAAGTTTAATTAAAAATGTGCTGGCTCCTGTTATTAAAGACGAAATAATTTCAGAATTGGAAAATAAACCATTTTCTATTTTATTGGATGAGAGTACAGACCTGAGCAATACAAGACTACTATGCATTCTTGTAAGGTATATTCATAAAAATTCAATTAAAACCCATTTATTAGATATAATTAAAATAAACGCAGATGAAGGTACCGCCAAAGGTTTATATTCTCTTTTTAAAAAATGCGTTATATCCAATCAAGTAAAAATTACCAATATTGTTGGATACTGTTCCGACAACGCTAGTGTTATGATGGGCAATAACGAATCTTTCAAAACTTAGCTTTTAAAAGATAATCCTAATATAATTGTCAATGGCTGCATTTGCCACTCTGCTCATTTAGTGTCGGTGGCGACAGCTGAAAAGATTGCAATCAACGTTGAAGCTCTTTTACAAAACTTATATTCTTACTTCTCAAGAAGCCCAAAAAGGCAGTGTGTTCTTGAAGAATTACAGGAATATTTCAAAAAGTCAAAATTAAAAATTTTAAGCCCTAGTAAAACAAGATGGCTTTGCTTTATTCAAATGTGTTGATAGAGTTTTGGATCAGTGGGACATCTTGCTTAGCCTATTTAGATTAGCTTCCAGTGAAGACAAAAATCCTGTAGCAAATGTAATACTTAATGAGTTGCAGAATCCATTTGTTAAGGCGTATTTAATGTTTTTTAAATTCGTGTTGCCCATTTTTAACCAATTTAATGCTCTCTTTCAATCAGAGAAAGTTATGCTCAATATCATATCAATAGAGAGTGAGCGATTTGTACGTCATCTACGTACAAACTTTATGTGACCAGAATATTTTAAAAATGAGAAATTATATAATCTAAATCCTAATGATCCCCACTGCTTATTACCAATTGAACAAGTGAATGTTGGTCCGCATACAATGGATGCAATAAAACACTGCAATAACACGGCAATCGAACAATTTAAATTAAAATGTGTCACATTTTACCAAAAATCGGTAGAAGAGTCCCTTAAAAGATTTCCTATCAAAGACAAGTTCTTTTCAGAGCTAAAGTTTCTCTCACCTTATTATAAGTGATACCTTTCATGACGCCGTTTTAAAAAATTTTGCCCTTCATATTGAAACCGAAAAGGCAATTTTGGAACTAAAGAAAATATGTATTTATTTTAGTGATAGTGAGAAAGAGGAACTTTTAAAAACAAAAAGTAATGTCATTGAATTTTGGTCATTTGTAAACGACCTCACAAATTTTAATGACGGATATTTATTTTGCAATATAGGTAAATTGGCTCTAATCATTTTAACATTACCTCATGGAAACGCTGATGTTGAGCGAACTTTTTCTTATATACTGGATTACAAAACCAAAAAAAAAAAGAAATAAAATAATACCATCAACTTTGTCTGCACTACTTACAATTAAATTAGACTTGGAATCAAAAAAACAGTGCTGTTTATCCTATAATTCTAATGAGAATCATTTAAACAAATATAAAAAGAATTTATATAATGTAAATAAGGAAGAACAAGCTGAAGAAGAAGTAATTTCTGATTCTGACTGTGAATAAAATAAGCAAACGTAGGCATTTCCACGTTTCCGCTTCTTCTTTGTCTCCATCCGACCTAAAGTTATAGACATAATTGATAATCTACTATTAAAAAGAGAAAAAAATCAGTTACGAACATGTACAATAGAGAAATTAAACAGAGCAGGTCAGTAAATCAGACCCATACAACCCATATACATTTTTTTTCTTGCCCTACCGGTAGTTACTGTCCATCTGGCAACGTTGTCTCTTCCCACATATGCGCGGAAGTGCCCACCGCGGCACCGCTGTTTTGTTCATTTCATATTCCGTGTATATGTTTTGTGGGCTATCTATAATCAAATATTTCTCATATACCTTCCCCCCACCCCTATAACTCCCAACACCCGAATTTCAACCCTAATAATCATTTTTTATGGAAATGATCAGGTGACCTTGAAACCTCAATTTTTGTTTTTCCATGTTTTCAAAAACTACAAAGCTTTTTCGTACTTTGCAAATAAGTAGCCTTGTGTGAAAATTTCGTCAAAGTTCGAGCGATAGTTCTCGAGATATAGAAATTTTTGGAATTTTTCGCGATTGCAAAATTCGGAGGAATAGTTACTAGATTTTACAGACGATTAGCAGCTGCTAGTTTGTACGGATAATGTAAAGTGAAAGTAACATACGAACCTTTGCCGAGTTGAAAGCGCTCAAAGTAGCCAAAGAGCTCAAGGGCTCGCCAGGTTGTGGAGGAATACTGGTACAGCAATTTACTGGCAAACCAGCAATCGGTAGTCCATTCTTTAGCCCAACTTTCTGTCTGTGCAGCTCGTGAAGTTTTCTTGACCTCCTCCTGAAAACGTTTGTTCTAATGGCATCATATAAGTATTGATCAAAGTGTTAGATGGTGATCATCATTTAATTTGCCCCGCGTGTGCATTTATTACACCACCTAAGAATCGAAGCGACCTGTATATTACAAAGTTCACACCACTGGTATGTTTATCTGTATATGTGTTTGCGTGTTAAAGTCTTAGACCAAGTGGTTTTATCTAAGATTAATCTGAACAACGCACAACGCTATCTGCGAGTTTTGTAATAAAGTCAGAGAAAGTGTACCTACTTATGAATGTAAATTCTATCAGAAACTAAAATATTGTAACAAAAGTCTGATTTATAACTTTTACATTAATTTAGAACACTTTTTCTAATTTATAACAATTTATAGCCATGTTAACTGAAGTACGGCATTCCGAATGACTTGACTGTGGCTGACTGCTTCTGCCATCTGGTCGGATATTTATGTCGTGAATCGATCGCTTCCCGATGCCCTTCAGCATTTTCTAGCAAAAATTTGATTCCTTCTAAATAGCCGCAAGCGCACACGCACGTGAACGCATTCGCTCTAGAAGCTTCGCAGCTCTCACACAATATGGTGTAACCCTGGTTGCCTAATTTTGCGAGAACATCTTTTCGCTATTCAAGATTCCCGTAACGAGGGCGTTACAATATGAACATTTTGTGGACCCCATTGTTAAAGAACCGTTAATGCGGCCGTAAACGTACTGAATTCCTACTTGGCCCAGGACAATTAGACATTTTCTGGTAGAAATTCCAGATATAGTTTTTAAACGAATAAAATCTTCCTGGGCTATTCCGAATCGGAATTCCGTACGTGTGCGGCCGCGCACTGTTTCTTTCAAGATGCCATCATAATCAGAGCGCTTTCCGCTGAGAAATTCCTTGAGTTTTAGAAAAAGATGAAAGTCAGGGCTATATAAAGGATGATCCAGTAATTCTAAACGAAACTTCTCCAGTTGCGACAGTGTTCTTGCCGCAATGAGAGGCTGAGCGCTGACGTGAGGCAGATCAGCACGGCTAAAGAGCAGGTTATGCCGGCGGCTTTGAGTAGCGCGCCTAAACTTTTATGCGTTCAAAAACCGAATTATTGAGCGCACTTCACAATCAGCGGGATTCCTGATTGACATGGGGGACACACAACCAACACCGATAGGGACGTGAAGTGTAACGACGGTCAAGAGTGTCTGAGGTTGAACGGAAGTGACGCGACAGGCTACGCGGGAACAAAGCGCAATCGGTTTTTACTTTAAAAATGTCCCTCGTAGTAGAGGAAACATCTTGTTCTTACCTAGATGCTGCGACGAAAACTATAACGGCCACAACTATAGTTCCACAGATAGCGGCACTGGCTGCAATGGTGATTTTGTCCATATTCGAAGCTGCAGCTGAGACAGTGCGTACTTCACGGCATTGCGTGTAGGGAACTGTCTCTGGAGTTACGGTCAGTTCTTCCAATGATACCACGCATACTATTATACATTCCTGGAAAACAAACGTTCTTTATTAGGTTTTTTCGTACAGTGATCGGTGACTGTGTCTGGGACCCGGCCGTGTGAATTCCGTCTGTATAACGTAGCCGAGTAAGCGGAATATTTCTGTCAAGATGGGTATTATTTATTTTTTCTACGACCAGTTGAACAATTCGTTGCTCAAATTCCAACACCGCGTAACTCAAGAAATTAAGATATCCACATTCTTGGAAAAGGCCACCGTTTTGGCAGAAATGTCGTTGTAAACGGTATTTCAAGCATAGATGGTAGACAAACATGGAGAATTATATGATATGCACGACATTCGATAGGAAATCGATAAACCCTACATTCTTTTTGCTCTCCTAAAACGTTGCCAGTTTTGAGTTACGCGGTTTTAGAACTTGAGCGACGAGTTGCTTATTATTGCTCATGGTCAGGCTCGCAAAATTAATGTCGACGACCGATCAAGATTCCTAAAGTTGACAGCTTTGTCGCTCTAAATCGACAAGTATCAGTCGATGAGTCTGGGGATGGGCAGTGAAGTTAGGCTCTGAGTTTAAGTAAAATATACTATAATATTATAAATAATTATTATAAAATGTTTATAGTTGTAAAGTCAAGAAATTGTTTATTAAGATATAATTGACGTAAAATTTAAAAACAACTCTAAAGCATCCCACAAACCGGCGCGAAATAATCGCGGCGAAGTATTCGCAACGAAATTCAGAGCGAAATTCGCAATCTGTTTCGCCTGTTTAAGCATCTCACAAACCGGCGCGAAATAATCGCGGCGAAGTATTCGAAACGAAATTCAGAGCGAAATTCGCAATCTGTTTCGCCTGTTTATTCATACCAAAGCGTCTTATTCGCTCCGCGAACGTGAAGGTTTCGACAGGTTGCGTACATTTTATTTTTGCCTTTTGCAATGAGCTCGTCTTCAGAAGAAGAGGAGGCACTTCTATTTCTTGCTTTAGAAGAGGAACAAAATGCACGGTAAGTTATGTTTATTTAACGCCATTTGATAGTTGGGTATGTATTAAGTTTAACGAAGTACATAAAACAAATATTTTCAATTTTGTTTAGGAAACGAAGGAAGTGGGTACATGATATTAACTTGGAACGAAATAAATTTGGGGAATACCATACCTTGATGCCACACTTCGGCTGGATGAACAGCGCTTTTACGTATATTTTAGAATGACTCCAGAGTGTTTCGATGAAATATTGAACTTGGTGAAAGATGTGTTATTATTATTACTGTACTGATGTTTTCATAGTAATGTATCATATTGTATATACCTGACAACGGTTGTGGAATGTCAAAGTCAGTTAAGAACTAGACGTGGTATCGAGCGGTTGTATATGGAGAATATATTCGAATAGTGCGATACTCTTGTTCTTCTTACAAAGCAGCGGTGGGATACCTTAAAATCAGTTGAATTTTCCTACATCATGGGGAAAACTAAATTCAAATCGCGGAATAGAAGTGGGAAGCGGAGCCGAAAGGAATCCTCGAGTGAAAGTGACAGTTCAAGTTCGGCCTCTTCCCATAGATCGTCTTCAAGAAAAACTATAAAGAGATTGAGAAAAGAATTAAACGAATTGAGACGGTACCCGGCAATCATTCGTACGGGAGATGAACTCTTAGTGCCGACGTTTGATCCTAATCGGGACGACGTGATGGTGGATAAGTGGCTGGATAAAGTTGACCGTTTGGCAGAGCGCTATCACTGGGATGACGATGCCATTCTACGACTGATTTCTGGAAGACTGCGAGGCAATGCCCGTCAGTGGTACGAAGAAAATGTGGACTACGACTCCAGTTGGGATGAAATTAAAAGATCAATGAGCCAGCACTTTCGTAAGTCCGTCCCATTTTCTAAATTATTCAAAGATGCCGCTAACTACGACGCAGCACCAGGGCTAACGGTCAATGTGAACGTTACAACAAAACAATCGTAAGTGCTCTATCAACAACTGCTGCAGGAAAAGATGAGCGAGATTGGGATAGATACGTAAAACAAATACAAAGTGCATTGAATACGAGTTTTAACAAAGGCATCAATTCGACTCCTATGGTGGCCCTGATTGGTTACAATTCTAAACATGCAGCTGAGGCGACAGTTTTGAGTGCAATTCAAAATGAGATAGATAGACTTGACCTAGAGGAGGTTAGGCATAAGATTTCAGGACATATTGAGGATGATCAAAAAAAACAAAAAGAACGTTACGATAAAAGTCGACGCAATGCCACCCAGTATAACGAGGCTTGACTTGGTCAGGGTATTGATAACGAGTATACCATCTACGGGAACTAGCCATAAGCTACATGCAAAATATAAGGGACCTTTTCGAGTTACGAAAAAATTATTCAACGATCGATACGAAGTTGAAGACTTACGAGAAGGCTTCAAACGGAAGCGAACTGTTGTAGCTGCAGACCAGGTCAAGGCATGGGTGACCCTAATAAACGATAATTAGAGGCAAAAGTTGCCCACATGCGAACATCGTATTTTCAAGAAGTTATTTTTGGCAAACGTTGCCTTCAAGCGAACGTCGCTACCACGTTATTTTTGGCAAACGTTGCCTTTAAGCGAACGTCGCTTCCACGTTATTTTTGGCAAACGTTGCCTTCAAGCGAACGTCGCTTCCACGTTATTTTCGGCAAACGTTGCCTTCAAGCGAACGTCGCTTCCACGTTATTTTCGGCAAACGTTGCCTATTAGCGAACGTCGCTTACTTACGAACAGCCTGGCAAACGTTGCTTGTAGATGAACGTCATCATGTGGAAAACATTTGCGCAAATCTTTCCTTACCTGCACTACATTTGATTGGACTGCAATTTTATTTTACCTTTCTCTTTATTGTTATTTTGAGATATGCATTATGTAAGATCTTGTGAAGTAATTTTTTTTTTATATTTCCTACGTTATTATAAGTCTAGGTTTTGAAGCTTTGAGAATTGAAGCTTTTCTAACGTTTAATTAGTCTAATGACAGCCTAATGGTCAGGATAGCCGAGTGTTATTATTATTACTGTACTGATGTTTTCATAGTAATGTATCATATTGTATATACCTGACAACGGTTGTGGAATGTCAAAGTCAGTTAAGAACTAGACGTGGTATCGAGCGGTTGTATATGGAGAATATATTCGAATAGTGCGATACTCTTGTTCTTCTTACAGATGAAATACGAAAATCTGACACAAATTATCGTGAAGCTATTTCGCCAGAAGAACGACTTGCTATTACACTCAGGTAAAAAAATTATATGTATTAAAATTAGTAGGCTTATCGAATACGAAAACTTCAGGGATCGTGAAATAAATATTTTATTGTAATAATTGGACTACATGTTGCCACTAGGATTAAATGTTGCTAAATAATTCGAGGCAGAATTTGCCTCCTCTGTTGGGTATATTATTAGAGTAAACCCAGTGCCGCTTGGGAAGGACGACATACTACTATCATACATACTTGCAGAATTCTGGGTAGACGCTGAAGACATTTCTTCAATATGTTCAAATTCTTCGTGCGCTATTAATTCGGGTATTTTTAGTTTTATTCGGGCTTGACGCTTTAAGGGAAGTGTTTTCACAGTCTGTGCATGTGCCAAGAAAAGTGAATCAATGGCCTCGTTCTCTTTTTTAGGTTTTTTACCTTCAAAATAATTAATGAGCTGTTGTACAGACGAAGATGGTGGTTCATAGCGTTTTCTGCTCGTTTTATATTTTGGTGTAGTTGCAGTCTGCGGAAAGGTGTGCCCTGGAGTAGTCACTGCTGTAGTGTTCAATGAAGAAGGTGGTGCTGTCTGTGTTGCCGAGGCGTTCTGTGCATCTTCTGCATCTACATCAGCATTTTCATCTTCTCCATGGCCGCGGTCTTCCAAATTTTCGGTTTCTACATTTCCAGCCCTTTCCTGATATATATTTGAGTTAAATTCGGCAGTCTCATAATGTATGACGTCAATATCTTTCACATTAGACGACGTTTTGGCAAATGCCAAAAAAGGACGGAAAAATTCCATGTAGTCAGCCCACTGCCATTTTTTTATGTTGCCAACTGCTTGGCCGGTCTTTGGTTTGGTAGATTTTATATATTTTGCAAATGTGTCTCTGATATTCTTCCACCTTTTTTTTACTTCATCACCTAAAAACGATTTTTTTTATAGATTCCTTGCCACTGGTGACACCTTCTATACCATTGGGCATAGCTTTCGAGTTGGATTTACAACAGTGAGTGCAATCGTAACTGAAGTCTGTGAAGCGATATGCAGACATATGGAGCATATATATTTACCAGAACCAACAGAGAATATATGGAAAAAATGTGCTGAAGAATTTGAAAATAGATGGGGATTTCCCAATTGCATTGGCAGCGTGGACGGTAAACATGTAACAATCAAGAGACCTAACAACAGTGGCTCCAATTACTGGTGCTATTTACATAAATATTCAATAGTACTTATGGCCATTGTTGGCCCGGACTATAAATTTATATGTGTTGATATTGGTGGTTTCGGAAAAAATAGTGATGGGGGTATTTTCGAAACCTCAAACATGGGAAAACGATTTGAACAAAATTTAATGAGTGTCCCTGCACCTAGATTTCTCCCTGGGCAAAATGAAATCTGCTCGTACGTCTTAATTGGTGATGAAGCATTTGCTTTAAAACCATACCTTATGAGACCATTTCCTTATAAGCAGACTTTAACAGACGTCAGAAAAGAGAAATACAATGTAAGACTTTGTCGAGCTAGAAGGGTCGTGGAAAATGCGTTTGGTATTTTGTCTCAAAAATGGCGAATATTTTACAGGCCATTAGAAACTAAAGTAGATACTACTATTCTAATTGTAAGTACGGCATGTGTTTTACACAATTTTTTACGAAGTAAAAGTGGAGATGACAAATATTTTCAATTCTTAGATCCCCCAGAACCCGTGCTTGGAGCTTTTACTGATATAGCAAATGATCCTCGGCCGGCAGCAAGGCTAGCATTTTCTACTCGT